GAAGTTAGATAAACCTATGAAGAGCTCATATAAGCAAAGTCGGGAAATGCTTCCATATGGGCGGGGTTGCCGGCTTCAATTATCCACCTTACATTCCTCGAAAGCAGATGGAAATATAGAGTTTTGTTTTGGTACAAGCAAATATCTTATCAAAGGTCACAATAAATTAAACCAATACGCCCCTAGCTATTGGAAAAAAGTATCATAAGTACTGTGTCTCAATGACCGCCATGTTTTGGCGGCAGTATGGCCAGTCTTGCTGATGCCAGCGCCACCTGTATAAGACACGCGCAAGTAGCAAGGCAGGGAAGTTTCTGTTATATAAGGTGTCCCAATATTCCGTGGACAAATAACTTGCACGTATTTTTTACTCAAAATAAGTCGATTGAACATGATTTACCTCTATGCAAAAGTGCTTCGTTTGTCCGTCAGAGGGCGTTAAAGTTTTCTTTTCGAAACATATTTTCTAATATATTTTCAAAACCGATACCCCGATTTGAATGAAATTTGGAATACATATGTTTTGCTAGACGTTCTAATATTTGACTTTCATGAAAAACTCTCAAGTGTTTGAGAAGGGTGAAAACTACCCCCGCCCCTACATAAATTATAGCAGAATTTTTTAGCATTTCTCCTGGCGACTCTGAATTTTTTTTAAATCTTTTTATTTGCTTCATTTTTTGTCTCCTACAAAAACAGGCCACATCGGATAATTGCCGAAAAAAAATGAGCCGCGTCAAGAAGTTCCCAAGAGTCTTATTATTTAATAATAATAATATTAGTAATAATAATAATAATAATTAACGTCTTTTTTATTTGTAATAGTATTACAGGAGGCGAGATTTAGATACTGTATCTATTCTACCACCTAACTCCCTTAACAATACGAGATGATTTAAGTGTCGTTAGCGAAAATAAACAAGTATTACAATATATATATATATATATACAGGGTGGCCAAACACGTGACGTCATAAAAAAAAAATTAGATTCTCCACATCGAGAGGAACCCAAATCATCCCCATATATATGGTCCGATTTTGTTTAGTTTAGGAGTTATGATTTTTTTTCGGATTTTTCGAGAATTTTTGAGTTCTGTGTTTATTTTTACCATAACTTCGTTAATAATTGTGATAAATGCCTGCTTTTTCCCCGATTATGTAGCTAAGACCTAAGGCTTAACTATCATATAATCATTTAAGTCATGTAACTAATACTACTTTTTAATTTTTTTCAAAATCTTCGAACATAACAAAAAAGTAAAAAAGTGCAACAACTTTGAACGTTTATAGAAAATTGAAAAAACATGTTCTTACTATTCGTAAGTATCTTAAAAACTTCCTTACGGTATCAGCTATTTACCGTAAAAATTTCATCAACCTAGCTTTACTACATGCTACCGTAATTGTGGCTCAAATAGAACCGAACCCAAAATTGGATAACCCTCTGCTCAATAGAAATTGTTAGTTTCGGAAAAAAATTTTGCAAAAACCACAAAAACACGTTTGATTTTTACTGAACAGCAGATTATTATTCATTTATGTTATTTACAAGAGGTTTTCAAAATGTCTGCCTCTAACAGAAATGCACAGTGTACACCTACGTATGAAATTTTGTTTTAAATCTCTAAATGCTTGTGTGTTGTTTTTCAACACATGTGTCGCTTCTTGAATTTTGTTCCTCAATGAATTTTCATTTGCACATTCTTGGGCGAATGTTATGTCTTTAAAATATCCCCAAACAAAAAAATCAATGGGGTTGAGGTCAGGGGAGCGTGGAGGCCATCGTATCGGTCCGTTTCGTCCGATCCATCTGTCTGGGAACCTTTCGTTTAAGTAGTTTCGCACGATCGTTGCGTTGTGGCATGGTGCACCATCATTCTGGAACACCATGTTCCGTCTGGCTTCCAGGCTTGAATCTTCCAGCAATAATGGTAGGCTATTTTCAAGGAAGCTTTTGTAGGCTACCGAATCCAACCTTGACGGCAGTTCAAATGGACCGATAAATTCCATATTGAATATTCCTGACCACATGTTCACACTAAAACGGTGTTGAAATGTCGACGGCCTTGACTGGTGGGGGTTTTCAACAGCCCAAGTATGTAAATTATGGATATTGAATATCCCTGTTCTTTCAAAACGTGACTCGTCAGTCCATAAAATTTTATCAAAAAAATCGGGATCCTCTCGTTGTCTTCGCAGCATTGTCTCGCAGAAATCCACTCTTAACTGGTAATCTGAAGGCATCAACGCTTGTACTCTTTGAACATGATAGGCATGATAACCATCTTCATGAAGAATATTTTGTATCGATGTTCGAGGTATTCTAAGGTTTTGTGCCATAGATCTCGTACTCGTTGAGGGAATCCGGCTAATTTCTTCAAGTACTACTTCTCTGCGATCCGGATCAGCTGTAGGATATCCTTCATTGCTTCCTCGTCCTGGAATGATGGTGCACCATGCCACAACGCAACGATCGTGCGAAACTACTTAAACGAAAGGTTCCCAGACAGATGGATCGGACGAAACGGACCGATACGATGGCCTCCACGCTCCCCTGACCTCAACCCCATTGATTTTTTTGTTTGGGAATATTTTAAAGACATAACATTCGCCCAAGAATGTGCAAATGAAAATTCATTGAGGAACAAAATTCAAGAAGCGACACATGTGTTGAAAAACAACACACAAGCATTTAGAGATTTAAAACAAAATTTCATACGTAGGTGTACACTGTGCATTTCTGTTAGAGGCAGACATTTTGAAAACCTCTTGTAAATAACATAAATGAATAATAATCTGCTGTTCAGTAAAAATCAAACGTGTTTTTGTGGTTTTTGCAAATTTTTTTTCCGAAACTAACAATTTCTATTGAGCAGAGGGTTATCCAATTTTGGGTTCGGTTCTATTTGAGCCACAATTACGGTAGCATGTAGTAAAGCTAGGTTGATGAAATTTTTACGGTAAATAGCTGATACCGTAAGGAAGCTTTTAAGATACTTACGAATAGTAAGAACATGTTTTTTAAATTTTTTATAAACGTTCAAAGTTGTTGCACTTTTTTACTTTTTTGTTATGTTCGAAGATTTTGAAAAAAATTAATAAGTAGTATTAGTTACATGACTTGAATGATTATATGATAGTTAAGCCTTAGGTCTTAGCTACATAATCGTGAAAAAAGCAGGCATTTATCACAATTATTAACGAAGTTATGGTAAAAATAAACACAGAACTCAAAAATTCTCGAAAAATCCGAAAAAAAATCATAACTCCTAAACTAAACAAAATCGGACCATATATATGGGGGTGATTTGGGTTCCTCTCGATGTGGAGAATCTAATTTTTTTTTTATGACGTCACGTGTTTGGCCACCCTGTATATATATATATATATATATATATATATTACAATTTTATTTAATACAAGAAACAAAAAATGAAGTAAATGAAAGGATCTATTAAATAAAAAAAATTATAGTCGTTGGGAGAGCAAAACAAATGTGTTCCAAATTTCATTCATGTCGGTCTATCACTTCCAAAAATATCTGAAGAAATGTGCTTTCAAAAGAAAACTTTGGCGCCCTCTAACGAATAAACGAAGCACTTTTGCTTACTTACTTCATGTCCAATCCAAACTTATTTTGAGTCTAAAAATACGTGCTTCTTCTATGTCCACGGTAAATTGGGACACCCTTTATGACAAACCATACGATTAAACAGCTTTCCAACTTCTATAGCTTTAGCAAAACATATTTTCACGTTTATGTTGAAAAACAAAGTAAGAACAAATCCTAACATAGTTACTGGACAAAACTGCGCCATTACCAGGAAAATCCAGTTAGCTATTGTAAGCCTTATAATAGAAAATATCCTATATCGTGTTTTGTAGAACAAAAAGTGCATTCTGTACAATGCAGGAAGAGCATCATCTTTTATCTCGTTATTTTGTCTGCACTTTTGTAATAAGATTAATGATTTCCAGACAAGGAAATATAATAGGGCGTAAGGAAAAACAGAAGATGTAAGATGATGCTGCTTTTTTATTGAAATGGAATCTCTAATGCGAAGATAACGTCCGCATCCGATGGGGCAGAAAGGAATATTCTTCTAGTGACTTTTCATTTCTCGGTTATTGATTTTTCATATTACTGCTTCTCGTCTGGAATATGTCTCTCCACCATAAAGCTGGATTAAAATTAGCTAAACTAATTCCAAGTGGTTCTTGAGAATTCACTCGACAGTGTTAAATCAATTTCAATATTACTTTTTTTAAATTTTAACTGTGGGCGTTATTTTTTCTCACATTCCCATATACGGATTGCCATATTTGAGGATAACCAAATTCTCAGAATTTCCTATCTTTACTTTTGTTATTATCTAGACTCTAGAGGTATAAGACTTAAAGACTTATATGTATTCAACCAAACCTATTTATTTTTTTATACATTTTAACCATTAGCAAACTCAGGATAATGGCGCACAGACCTGCAATTTTTCCAATAAAATGGTACAATATTACTCTATCGAACTTAGTACTGAAAATGACTGATAAGCGCTGTTAAAGCACAAAAATGTTTATGCACCGCATAGCATAGATGGTACATTTTAATAATACAAGTTTCACAAAGATCCTGACGTAACGAAAAAAAACGCGATACGTATAAGCACTGTTAACCTGCACATGAAATTTGCATATTTAGCATAATTTTGTGTACAATTTTGATTATCTTTAGGATTTGACCACCGCCTCCCCCCTAAGAACAATTGCTAGCCCACCAACATTAAAAAGCTTTGGGTAGGTACACTTTCACAAAAAGTTATATCTTGCCGATGCTCGGCCCCCTGAGAATAATTCCTGCGGGTACCAATGAACCAACACCCATTCAAAAATAAGAGTACTTATGATCAAGGGGCTAATAGGATTATATTTTTCTTATCTGAAATCAAAGCATTTCACGCTCACGATGCGACATTGTTTAACCATCACTATTCCAGAAAAACCGCTCAGTTACTCAAAAAAAAACAGATAATTACGAAAACTACGCTTATTTTTACCAATGCCTCGGAGCAGTCAAGCAAAGTTGGATGTCTAGCGACAGCCAGACTGCCTTCCCATGCAGCATCTTCACTGGATAGCCAACTGCTACCAAGTTAGCCCTAAGCAGCGCACAATCAACTGCAACTAAAAAATTCCTATTTTGTCTAACTGCACTGGAAGGAATCAAACAGCCATATCCTCAACATTATATTCTCATAGTAATAAAATAGCATCTTAACCTACTGTACTAGCAACGAAATACGAGTAGTGAAAATTGCTTGAATACCATCACTATAGGAATAGTTGAAAATGAAGAATGAAGATGGAACTCAATGCAATTCGATAACAAAAGCAATACGAAGACGTGACCCGTGGTCAAGTAATTATGGTACTTATTTTGGAATGCGTTGCCACCTAAGACGCAAGAAACAGTAGGCACATACCTACATCTCCATCGAGAAGCCCTTACCACCCACGGCTGAAAGAATATAATGTCTAGTCGCCCATCTATTACAATCGACGAATTACAACTTAATCTAATGCGCATTACTCTATATTTTTTTTTTAGTATGCCGTTCAGTCGATAATAACAGGTCAAGTTAACAAACTAGAATTTGGGAAGATAGAATGGTTAAAAAATGGTTTCCATATTTTAGCGTAAAGGTGGCTGATGCAACTTTCAGGTAGGCGACTGGGATGGGGATCACTGTGGGCATTATAACCCTAGAGTATGCAAATGGAAGGGATTCTATACACTGAACCACTTATAACTCAACAAACACCAACATTCTATATTCCGTTATAGGTACATACATTTGAAAACTTCCCACCACGGATTAATCGCAAACTACTCATTAAAAGAAAAAACGCCAAGACACGTCAAACGATTATTCAAGGGGGACAACTTTTTAACCAAAAACTACTTCGCCCCCTTTCACCCTCAGCCCCCCAAGGTCATCCCCTTAAACATTATACATGACAAGGGGCAGGTTGTTTGAAAGGTCTTTCGAAGTCGTTTATTTTGATGTTTGATTTTTAAAATCGGTCGATTCGTTTTCAAGAAAATTAGAAAAATCTTCATTTATCTTAATTAGCTCAGATAGAAAACAAAAACACACGAAAACATCACTTTTCATTCCAATAAGTGTTCAAAATGTTGCCGTTATTGGCCTAACAATGATATAGGCGATGTTCTAATTCCAGACGGACGTTTTCAAAAACATGTGGGATATCATATCAGCTTTCGATGATGCGTCGACGAAGTTCATCCAAACTTTCAGGTTGGGGAGTAAACACAATAGATTTCAAATGGCCCCATAGAAAAAAGTCTAGTGGCGTCAAATCAAGAGATCTGGCAGGCCATTCTGTAGGCCCTCTTTGCCCTATCCATTTATCCGGAAACTCGTCAGTGATAAGCGGATTGATGGTATTTTTCAACATATCCAAATAAATGTGTCTATCCACATTTCCATCAATAAATAATGGCCCAATCACTTTGTTTCCTAGAATACATCAATTTTTTGTGGCTACTGGGTTATGCCCTTCTACAAAAGCATGAGGATTTTCATTGCTTCAAAACCTGCAGTTATGCTTATTAACAAATCCATTTAGATAAAATATGCATTCATCACTGAAGCAGATATTCTTTACATGAATGGTATTATCATCAATCGGTGCAGTCAGTTGTTCACAAAACTCATCTCGCCTATCGAAATCATCTTCATTTGACTTAAGCAATATTTTTATTTTGAATGGATGAAATTTTTGGAATTTAGTAACTGTGTGTACAGAGCTTAATGAAATACCAGTCGCAGCAAGAATACTGATAAATTAACGTCTTAGACTATCTAGTCCATCTGAAAGAACAATCATCCATTTGATGACAGATGAGCATCGTTAATCGTATGTTTCCCACAAACAGTAGACCAGACATAAAATTGATAAGGAACCGGCATACACCACATCTGGCATTTTGACAAGATATAAGCGTTCCGGTTGAAAGCGTTTATTTGTCACTTTAGAGTTGCAAAACTGTAATTTGTAGTAAGTGAAACAAGGTTAACACTATAGCGACACATACTTTTTCGGTCAGTTGAAGAAAAAAAAAATCGTTTCCTAATATTCTATGAGCTAGGCTGACTCACGTTTCTTTAGTATCCAACTCTTATGCAATTTGTAGTCTCTCCCCAATATCTTGCAAGATAGCGTTATCCATCCCTAATCCCTATACGGTGCATGCAATGCTCCGATAAAATATAATAAAGATGAACAATAAAATCAGGGAAACGCTTAGTAATTTTCACGCATAATAAATTTTCTGTATCTCCACATCCGAAAATTACCTTCTGTCACTGGGAGGGCCCTTGCATTGTCGAATAAAAACGTCCTTTCCCCTAAAATATGTTTCATCTGGGGTAACGTGAGAGGGATGTTTTTTCGCAACATGGGATGATCTGTTACATTTCAGCTGTAGCTAGTTTTGTGTTGCAGTGTTTCATGATAAATGATTGGCAATTTGCAACGTTTAAGCTAACCAAGCCTCAACCTTTGATGGATGAATGAATATATGTCAACTGACAGGCTGCCAAAGCTCTGTAGTGTATTGCACATTCAAACAGACCCTTCCAAAAGACGGAAAGTTTTCATACAAAAAAATCACACAAAGCCAAGGCCATGCGACAATTAATGAGTCGTCCAAGATGTTTTCGCCGTTCGAAAAAATTACAGATAAAGCAGGAGTTTGCTTGAAGATACTTTCTTTTCTCTTTTTTATTGAAAACCTTTTTCCAACAACTGTCCTAGTTACAGTATAGTAAATAACTACGAGCCCCTTCCCACTTCAGTTGGCCCAACTATTGAAATCTTAGTTTTTTTCTTATCAAACACAAATAATAAAAATGTAGCAGGGTGTTATAGGTTTAAAATATTAACAATGAATATTTTGATAATATATAGTAGAAAACACCAACTTTATCACTCCCTAATCAAATTTGCTGCATAAAAATAACACATTACAGTATATCAACCTATTTTCATTTCAATGCAAAATAAGTCTATAACGCATAGGTGGCTGTGAAAAATAAAAGCTATGACAATACAATTGTTTTTATTAATCATAGCTGTCAGAATACGTTGAAAATAGCTTTGGGTAGTTAAGGTTTTCAAAATGAGTAGAGGAAGGGTTATTAATGAGTAAAATTCGGTTACTGATAATTAAATTTTTTAATTCTGGGAAATCAAACTCAAAAATTGCAACTTTGTTAGACTTATCGCGGTACAGTGTGAGAAATATTGTTAGAAGATATAACGTAACTGGTTGTTTCTAGCTTTGCATACATCTCAAGTAAGTGTATTTGAGAGAAGAAATCAATGGAATTATCAAATCCTCACTATGCACCTATGCACTGCCATTTCCTTCCAGCTATAGTATACAACTTACAGCTTAGACCTCCAATAATGCCATCTGTAAAGCATCAGCATCACCTCAGAGCCAAACATTGATAGCTGAAGCGTCATGACGTTTACGCAACACGTGCAGCTACGGAATGAGTGCACATCAAGTAAACAACTGCTAGTTCTAAGTCTTTGTACAAAAACCTTCATAATGTCACAAAATGTCACCTCACCTATATAATGTCACAAAAACTGACATGCTGACACTTTTCAAGATACCTAACACCTGAGCCTGTCAACATTTAATCTGGTAAGTTTGGCTTTTAGTAAAATACGTAAGATTTTAGTAGTTTTTATCATATCATCTCAGTTCTCGATGTATCCAAAAATGTGCAACCGGTTTTCCTACTATTATTGATTATTGTGTAGAATTATTTTTAGATTTTTGAAAAAGTGTATAGATGTTGGTAATCTTGTGAGAGGATACCTAGACAATACACGCAGGTTTTCAAGTGATTCAACACTGGCCTTTCATAGAAATCGTACATTATTTATTTTCCACGGGTTATCGACGAGTGATCCTAGACATCCAAGTTAGGAAATATTATAAATGGACGTTTTAACCTTTATTTTACACCGACACCGGAGCAGCCACGCAGGCAGAAGCCTAAATGCCAGGACACCGCGGCAGCCGTGAGCGGCTTAAAGAACCTTTGTTAATCCGATTTTTGTATTGTACCACAATCTGGATACCGTATCGACCAGTTCTAGGTATATTAAGTTCTACACGGTTATCATTACTAGATAGTTTTGGAAGTTAGTAATTAGTCTAGTCATATTAGACGAAAATACCCCTGGTTTGCAAAATAATTGTAAACTCTGGTTTTATTGATGCAAGTTGTTAAAGGGGTATTTTACATCAGAACCGAGCCAAACATTGATAAGCGAAGCATCATGACGTTTAGGCAACACGTACAACTACAAAACGAGTTCACTACAAGTGTCGAGCAGCAAGAGCTAAGTCAACATCTTATCGAAAAACCTACATAATGTCACAAAAAATCAATATAATGTCAAAAAAATCGACATAATGTCACTTTTCAAGGTACGTAATACCCGTACTGATCATTTGTGAGATGTCAAGCTTACATTGCTGCTGAATGAAGGCAGTCTGAACATTTATTGTGAATTTAATAAATACGTTCACGAATTAATGAAAATGGCGCTATTATATGTCTAGCTGTCACTACGTAGAAAGACACTGGCCGTCACTCCGTCTAAGAAGATGTAACTTTGTAGTAATGGGAACTAAAAGATCATCGTCGACATCTGGGACACCCTGTATGTAACATCGTTACCTAGGACGTGAAAAGTGATCAACTTCCGAAAATGGATTTTTCACGTAATGTACACATGGCCGAAAGGTGTGATAATATTCGTCGGTCAGGTTTTATTACGTTACTCGCTCCATGACCACACAGGAATGACATCAAATCCGTTCGGATATATAAATTAAGCAAAGGTGGTCGTTAATTTCATGGTCCGTCTGATTCCGGGTCCCTCTCACTCTGATGCAGAGCCCTATGTTATTAGAGGGTTTCCCTCTCCCGACTTCTACCGGACTGACAGAAGGTGAATAATATGTCTCTGAGGTCATATTACGAGTGTGTGTTTTCGAATGTATAGCTGGGTATGGCTTTATAAAACAGAATTGAATTTATTAACGACGTCACTAATAAATTGTTTATACAATAGGATGCGGCATAAGTAGCAGTCGCAGTGATGTACAAGATCCCCATACAAGGTATCTTGAATACAAAATACAAGATCCTTTTGAATTATTTCAAATATCAGATACAAAATACTTTCAGGAATAGTATTTAAAATAATAGGTACAGAAGATGTATCTTTCAAATACTTTTACTTCCCGCGTCTTACTGGCGGAGGAGGTATTATAATCCAGAAAAAAATCGAAAATTAGATATTATATCTAATCTATTAGAACTCGGTGGTCTTTCCGCTAATCCTTTCCTCCTTAGAATGTTACTTGAAAATAATACATATTTTATACTATTAATTCATGTTATTCAATGCAAGCATTTTGCTTCTTTCTTCGCATCTCTACCTCGAATGTGACCCTAGATTTGGAATTCGCTACAATTAGGCAAGGCCCTCCGACAAATTTTTATATGGCACACCTTTGAAGCCATCTACGCCTCTGGCTAAGTGCCACCCAACAAACACTTCGATAGATATTCTCTGCAAGGACATACTGAGGGTAGGTTCAACTCTCGCAGGGATGCCGTGAATTACCCAACAAGATCGTGCTATTTAAACCTCAATAGATATTTTGGTTTAGGGTATTCTGAAGTCGTAGGTCTATGCGATTGATTGAAAGTGTTTTTTGGATGTTATATGACATGTACATTACGAAAAGCCAAGTCACTGATTTCCGTCGGTCTCTCTGTCTGTGCGCTAATCCTTGGCCAGTCTATAACTTGGAAAATATGGCTCTGATTTGGATGAAATTTTTCACTATTACTACTATACCAAGGACGAAAAAGCTTTGTAGATTTTGAAAATTGGTCCAGAGGCGGCGAAGAAACAGGCCAAATCAATCAATCATTGTTCTTTGACGTTTCGCAGGCTTCTAATCGTTTTCTGAGAAAATGTTGTAAGCGTTAAAAATTGGGCTTTAGGGGTTACGACGAGTGGGGAGGGTATAATCTCAAATTTTTTACGTTGGTATATTTATATACCCCAGTAAAGTTCTACCCACTTAATAGGCATATTTCACTCATTATACATGTCCCCGTACATTTACCCTTAAAACTGATAGCCGCTTTACACGATCCAATAAATTGAAAATTTTTTGACCTTGAAGAAGTTGGACTCTGTAAACATGAAAATTGCTGTCATTTTCTTCACAACAAATTCATGAATAAATTGCCGGATTGGAGCTTATTCTAGCTTTCTGTCAATTTTTTGGGGAATTCTAGTTACTTTTGGTTCTTTTTCCCAGATACCTACTAACCTTCGTTATTTGACGCGTTCACATTTTGTGATTAAAATGATAATGCTTACAGATTGGCTTGGCGTTTCCATTTTGATTTAAGATTTATTATTTTTTTTTATACTCCAACTACCACGAAGGCCTAAACACCCATTGGGTACCGTGCGGCTATAGGGGGATACAGGGGAAAGTGGGAACGCCACACGGACTCTGGCGAGGGAACACGTGTGCATGCAAGATGCACACATTCTGGCTCCGCCTACGAGATCCGCCGGGTGGTACCTCCGCGTTCGACAGTCAGAGACCGTCTACCTTCTACGGACAATCACAACATCCATAGCCAAGAAAAAAATGTCTCTTGGAACGGGATTCGAACCCGCACAGCACAAGGCGACTGATCAGGAGACCGAAGAGTCTACTACTGCGGCCACCGCTGCTGCCTAATATGTCAACAGAAACAATCAATTTGTAAACCTCTTAATTTTTTAGGTTCATTATACATAGGTTATGTTTTGGTATTTTTTCCCTGAGGTTGGAATCATAGAAAATTACTATTTGCGGTGGTATGTTTGACTAGAATAAATTTGATTATGTAATTTCGCTACATGTCACCCTCAAAAAATTCATCATTTTTTCTGCCAATTTATTTGATTGTGAAAAGCGGCTATTAAAAGTATCTCCAACAGTGGCGTGTCGATGCGTGCGACGTGGTCCCCCGATGGTGGAGCGTCGTACGTCACAGTTGACAATCGCTTCTGCACTGATGTGGGGCTGTGTGAAGTGAACTGTGTACGGTGAAGCCCAATATCTCCATCCACGCGGTATTGGTCATCGCAAAGATCATGTGTGCCTGCAGGAATTTCTCTCAGCAGAAGGAGGAAGGTCATACAGTTTTTTGTTATACGTGTTCGTATCTAACTTTTTTGTCAGAAGGGCTAACCTGTGCCAAACATAATCCTTTTCAAACTGAGGTTGGAATCATAGAAAATTACTATTTGCGGTGGTATGTTTGACTAGAATAAATTTGATTATGTAATTTCGCTACATGTCACCCTCAAAAAATTCATCATTTTTTCTGCCAATTTATTTGATTGTGAAAAGCGGCTATTAAAAGTATCTCCAACAGTGGCGTGTCGATGCGTGCGACGTGGTCCCCCGATGGTGGAGCGTCGTACGTCACAGTTGACAATCGCTTCTGCACTGATGTGGGGCTGTGTGAAGTGAACTGTGTACGGTGAAGCCCAATATCTCCATCCACGCGGTATTGGTCATCGCAAAGATCATGTGTGCCTGCAGGAATTTCTCTCAGCAGAAGGAGGAAGGTCATACAGTTTTTTGTTATACGTGTTCGTATCTAACTTGTTTGTCAGAAGGGCTAACCTGTGCCAAACATAATCCTTTTCAAACTGATGACAGCGTTGAGTGGGAAGTAGAGTCAACTTAAGATATTTAAAGTTATAAAACAATGAAAAATTAAACTTTTAATTTAATGTGTAGACTTTAATGTTTCCAAGACATGGGCCGAAAATGATATGGGGAATTCTTAGGATTACTCAGACTATTTTCTCATTTGACGATTTTCAAAATACCGCTTGGTTTAGAAGAAACATTCTCCACTATAAATCGGTTTTTATTAAATAGAATTTTTGAAAAACTTCGTATAATCTAATAAATTTTGACAGTAAGGACGACGAAAACCAATCAAGAGTATCCAAAACTAAATTAGTATGTTGCTGAAAATATATGATATTGACTTTAACTGTTCAGTAACAGAATATAGTGGATGAATGTAGCTTCAGTATTCAAAATACCATCACATCATCTTATATAAAACTTCTGAAATCTCCAATTTTATGCATTATCAGCAACATACGAGTACTAGTTTAGTTTTGAATTCACTTGGTTGGTGTTGCTTTTGTCACCCTAAATATAATAACTAGTTCAGGCCTAACATGATGGTTTCCATAGAAAACAATTAACTCATTTAGTTCGACAGGAACGGGCCAACCCTAATTCAATATTGCTAATTTTCTACACCTTGTAAATAATGGATGAAAAGTAATATTTTTGGAAAGCTTCATAATTTATCTGGACAAAATATATCCTTGTTTATTTAGGATAAAACGAATTGTTTTTAAGAAAAATAGTATTATTGCAAGACTGTGTTATAGATTATGTGATTAATTCCGATATACTGTCTCCCCATTTTAGTAATACACTAATTTTAATCACACATTCATATTCAGCAACCTGATAAACCACTGCATATAAGTTTTGAAGTGTTTTTATTTTACTTAGCAATACATGAACTAAATCATATTAAAATGTCTGGCCTCAAAATACAAGCTCAAATCTTTCAAATTTACAAATACATCTTTGAAAAAATGTCTAGCTTTTGAATGCAACTGTTACTTGAAGGTGAAATGATGCAATGACCTCGTCAACATAACCCACTTATAGTAGTATCATTGAAAATAGGAAGTGTTGGATTCGCGTATTTGTGCGAAGCCATAGCAGACGTTTGGACAGTGTCATATTTTCCAAAATGGTGATCCTGTCGGAATACCAAAATATATCCCAAAAAGTGTATTCAACTCACTTTGTTTTACTTTTTTCTATAGTTAAACTTAGCAAAGTTAAAAGTAGTAAAACGAGAAGTAGTAAAACGTCCTCATAGCTGTAACATAATAGTTCTAGTGCAACTTTAATTTTTTCCTTGCTCTGTCCTTAAAATGTGACATTTGCAATCTTTAAAATGTAAGGGAAGATAACCTTTCTCAGACGTTGACAGTTTCACATAAAGTGTTGGTACATTCTAAAGATATATAGAATGAAATCAAATCCTATTTTAATCAGTTCTCTTTCAATACACCGGAGCAAAAAACAGTGACAAAGTTCATCAACCTTAAAAATATATGTTAATGGACTGTCTCCATTTACATATTAGTAAAATGTGCTATGTGCTTTTAAACCACACTGCTCTACGAAATATAACTTGGTAAAAACAGCCATCTACTAGACAAAATATGATAAATTAGTTATTGCTTCATAGTGGTTCCAATAAAACACATTATCAGTGTCAATCTTATAATACAGAGAAATGATACAATACAGACACTATGCAATCTTTTGTCAATACACAAACCTCTTAGTATTCATCCTCACATTCTTTTTTCTTTTATCATTCATGAAAGGCAACTACCTTCATCAGTCAACATCTTCAGGTCGTACAGGATGGGATAGTGGTATAACTGATTTCTGATTCACATCTCTGGAGCATGCCTTTCTCATATCTAGAAAAAAAATTAAATGTTAATCAGTATCTGCTAAGAACAGTTTCAGAAATGTTCTGATTCTGCTCAATTGGTTTTTGTAATTTCAGAACCATATTGAATTGAATAGAATTGTATTGTGAATGGCTGTAGGTTCAGATGGTTCTGGAATAGTTCCTTGAAAAAGTGTATAATAATGCTATCACAAAATACCCTATTTTGTGAAATCCAAGTCAAAACAACTTACCATAAGCATCTTCATCAGGATCTCCTGAATAATACTCTAAAACTGTCCTATAAACAATATATCCCAAATTTTTGTACATATTTATGGCAACCTTGTTACTAACTCTGACAAATAAATCTACAAAATAGCACCTTTTCCTAAAAAATGGATATATATGGCATTAGTTATATTTCACTCAATAATGAATAGGCTTACTTCTCAGAAACTTCTTCCAAATAATTCATAAGAGTTGCAGCAAGCCCAAGTCTCCTAAAGTCTGGAGACACAGTCAAAGCTGTGACATGGCCATGCCAATTTTCACCAATACCCTCTGCTTTACCCATAACTGAAATAAAAGACATTTAAATATAATCCAAAAAAAAATGCATGCACCCGTGTGTATATCTGGTAGTTGAACTATAGAATATCTAAGACATTCAGGGGTAAATGGAGTAGTAGCCGAACTGCCCTCACTTGGGATCCTAATATCTCAAACCTTATATTAAAAGTAGGCAGGGTCAAGAATGTCCTTTTGACAGAGAGTAAAGCATTTTTTGCTCTTTAAGCACTTCAATGAGTTTCTCTGGGCACTGATTTTCACTCAGATGGCCTATGGTTTGCCTACGATTGTGAGCTCATATTTCAAGAGAGAATAGATTTTTTGCTTACTGTATCCCATAATGTCACCACTGGGAGATTCAGCAACTTGAAAATATTCTGGCCAGTGAGCTAAATATTTCATATAAAAGGATAATCCATAGGTCTCTGTTAGCGGGTCTAGATTTCTGCAAAGTAAGGACTATTATAGTAATGTGTACGATATGTTTGTATTGTATTTGTTGTTGAAGATTTATTTAGCATTAATGGAACAATGTCAATTTTGTATGATGATTCCGTTACATATTTTTCTTCAATCCATTTTCTGTAATTTTACATTCTTGTCTTTTAAAATTATATACTTACACGTTATTAAATTTGTACATATCGTCGCAAGTAAATGGCCGCAAACAAGTCATTTCGTGAAGAAATTATTTGAAAACGATGTTATTCAGCATTAACTATAACCTAAAATTATAACATCAATGACATTTTGTAAATTTATCAAGTTCTTGACTATACATAGCATTAGCAGGTAGGCAACCAGTATTACACATTGGTGCTTACTGGATCATCATTTACAAACTTGTAAATGTTGAAACTAAATTCTAGTATCTCCATAGTCTATAGCTGCAATGAAAAAAATATCCAATAAGAATTGATGTTGAATCTAAAGCTTTTTAGCTTGTGATCATTCTAGCATAAGCTTTGTTAATAAAACATCATATACACAACAAAAATAATTTATTTTGCATTTTTTAAATTACAGTTACTAAAATGTGAAAATTATAAAATGTATGAATTTCATTATCTTATAATTAAAAGAACCAGATCAGTTAGCATTTTCAGTTGCACTACCATTCTCTGGCCAAGTGATTTTTTCACAAATAAAAGTCCTGGGTGGCATATGTGGAGATAACAAATTAGGGTCCCCAAACATTGGTAATGGTAGATTCAATTCCTTCACTCCACATTCTTTGTTAGTATATTCTCTCAAAGCATAATCCTTAGTAAATTCATGGAATAATCTTGTATCATTTACTCTAACCATCACACCATCTACTCTCAGGAAAAATCTCAGTAGTACAAAGAAAGAACTTGGCATTACTCTCTGAAAAATAAGCATATATCATTATTAAAAATGGAAACATTCAAAAACATTACTTACAATCTTGACTGTACATGATGAGATACCATTGTCATGTAATTCATCTTCATATAACATTAGTTCTTGATAAAACAATATCTTTTCCTTTTCTTTTAACTTCTCAATATCTATTCTTTCTTCAGTTGGTGTAACAATAACAGTATCAGACTCTGTACCTCGATAATCTGTGCTAAAAGTCCAGTCAAAAGGCTTAATTTTTTCCATCAGGTTCTCTGGTGCCCTAGAGTTACGAGAAAGAACAGATTCATTGAAAAGGGAATAACCCAGTCAAAAGCTGCACAAACCTTGTTTCTTTCCACTCATCTGCACAAGCAACCTTCAGATGCTGTTTTCCATTGCAAACTCTCTTCAATGCATCAAGGGCATTGAACTCTATCCAATATCCAGATTTATGTTTTAGTATCAGTTTGTTGTTTGGAAAGACCATTTCTGGTAAGTGTGGAAGTTCCAAAGTGTTTGTATACCTGAAATTTGGAGCTTTTGAATAGTTCACGTGATAACTCCAAATTGTAAAGGAATTGGAAACTCACACACATAACAGACACCGTGAAGCTGGGTCCTTGCATTTTTCCGATGAAGAACATATCGAATGGAGAATGTGGGATTTTGTGTATTTGATCGTCCAGTCATGGAAAACTTGTTCTTCTGAGTTCACTGGCAGCCGTTCGATCTCAACCTCGCCTTTTTCATTGTTAAGAGAACACATATTATACAATAACTGGACAAAAACCTAGCAAATTCGTTCGACTCACTTTTTATCAAATAAAAACATCAATAAAAATAAACAACTACTCTCAGTTGTCATTTCGACATTTAAGGTGAAGGTACCCCGAATTAGACTTGCCCACAATTACTGCTGTGTTGCCAAACTGGCACATATTAGTGCAGAATAAGAACTTTTCAATGGGAATACTTGGCAATATTTTCTCATAAAAGACAAGGTAACTGCATTAATTGAAACCCTGTATATATTTTGTGAATAAAACGTATAAACATAATCAGCAAAGTAAACACTCAAGCACATCATTGAAGATATGCAAAACGGTTGTCGCTTGTGTCAAGAATAATAGGCAATTGTGCTGGTATAAAAATTATACGATTTATTAAAGTGGTTAACTTAGCATAAGCAATATGGTTGTCAAATATCTGTTATTTTTCTCACTATGTCTATTTGTCAGGTGATACTATACTTTTACTATTAGAAATATTATGGCAACATTGTAATTAACATCTATGATGTTCATAATATCTTTGTTGAAATCGAAATTTAGCGTAAATATCCCAAAATTTTCTCATAATAATTTAAAGAAAATCAGGACAGGATTATTTTACTGTTATAGGTGTACGATGTCGAACAAAACTGAAGATATTATTGAGAAAACTAAACAATTGGCTCCACGTCTAACCAATGACAAGCACAAAGGTCAAGCAGGGCGGATTGGTGTATTTGGCGGGAGTATTGAATTTACAGGTATTAAGTTTGTTTCTGTTATTGATTCATATTGTTAGAAAAAGCAGGGGCGTATCAATGAAGTGCAGTGGTGTTGATCGAGTTTGTGGCGAAATGCCCAAAAATAACCAAAAGTTTTAATTACCCTCAAATAAATCGTCCAGAGAATTATATTCCCCAAAAAGTCCCCGAAAGGTGCTAAAATCAGCCGTAACGCCCTCGTATCTTTCTCAATATGCAGATGTGGATGGCATCGGATGGCAAACGGATACATTGAAACTACTGTAAAACAGATAACAGATACAAGCGGCATCGCCAGTTGCGTACCACTCGTCATCTGACACCTGCCACCTCGAAGTATAACGGTTTCCTAAGGCGTAAAAAAATGATTACAGATCTATCCAGAGGAGACATGGCATACAAAAATGCTAACTTACCTGATTTGTGAATAAATGTACATAAATATACCCTATTTCACGAGAATCCATCACGGTAAAATGACAGCTGATTATCTAGTAATATCTCAAAAGTCCCTATATCGGCACAGGACACATAATTCTGACGGATCCGTCAACGGCAGGTAGTCAGAGCCGCACTTTGTTTTGGTTTTTTGTACGCGACAGATTCATTTTGTACTCGTTAACAGCTATTTTATTTAGAAAAGTTCATTTGCATACAAAAACAAAACGCCACAAACAAGTTGTACTAAATTTATACCCGATTCATAATTGCCAACGTTGCAGACTAACACAAAAATATCACTTGCTGATCAGCTGTTCACCTCAGTAGACGTCAAAGCGTGGTGGATACTCGTGAAATAGGGTATACTTTTTCGTTAACCTAAATACATGTTAAAAACTCAGTGTTTAAATTTTAAAATATATGGCTTACCAGTCAGCGAGTAGCCAAGTAATCACTTTTCTAGGCAGCGAAAAATTTATACACATCCAAAGTCTCACATTACTCCCAAAAAAGTTGTGTGCAATACTTTGTAGACGCATATAGAGGGACTTCATTCTTAAATCAAGTACATTTCAGCGACGTTTTCTTTTTTTAAAAAAGCGCTGGGATTGTCATTTACATCGGCTACGCCCTACTAGATACATAAATAGCTCTTCTGTAATGTGTTGATGTTTATGTATGATCTTAAATTGATATAAATACAGACATATACGCGCTTACGTGTATGAGAGAGAGCGCAAGAAGCGTGCAACATCGGCGCACTCTTTCTAACATACATATTGCACGCTTCTCTCTTTGGTACACATTACGATGTCAGCCAAATTTAGTAGTAGTAGTAGTAGAAAGATTTATTTAGCACATTTGGATACATAAACAGAATAATTGTAAACAACTTAGAACTAGCAAATTCGAGCCATTTGATGTATGATGTAAATGCTGGGTAACCTACATATAATTGTAGATTTAACAAGTAATTTCTCAATTTTACTTTAAATTTTGTCAAAGTTTTCTGGTCTTTTATCTCTGAGTATAATTTATTATATTCAATCAACCCTTGTTGGAATACAGATTTGTAGCATATGTTAACTTTTTGGTCATTAAATGGAAGTCATCTTTATTTCTGGTATTATGTAAATGATGGTCGACATTTGATGATGTTAAATTAGTTAGACTTGGTGGAAATATATTATTTTTTACTTTATAAATGAATATCATTACAAGATATTTGATAAAAATGTTTACATTGAGCCATTTTAATTTGCTAAGTATTTGCCTAATTGGAGTATATTTATCATTATTCAGTATTATTTTGTAAAATTTGCAGTCTTTCAAAAATGGAATTATTTGCTGAATATAGAATAGTCGAACAGTACAAAAAATTTGGAAGAATGATGGTATTATAGATAATTTTTCTGCTATATGAACTCCGACATCCAGAAACTCTCGATAAATATCCCACTTTACTACTAATCTTATTTATAACTTTTTCATAATGAATATCAAAAATTAATCGAGAGTCAAAAAAAACCCAGGTATTTAAAATCTTCTACGAATTCAATATCTTCACCATCAATATTCAGTTTGAACATTTGTACATTGTTTTTTTGCGATTAACAATGCTTTCGTTTTACTTGCATTTAATTTTAGTCTGTTAGATGCTAACCATTTTGAGACAAGTTTCAAGTCTTCATTTATATAAGAGATACCAGTCTGAATATTTCTAGTACTTATATAAATCATAGTGTCATCGGCGAAAATCTGAATTTTGCATTTTTTGACTATGGCAGGTAAATCATTTATGTATAAAATAAAAAGAAGTGGTCCCAGGATACGGCCCTGTGGAACACCCAACGTATTTTCAATGTTTGATGAAATAGTGTCATTAACTTTTGCAACTTGCATCCTTTTAGACAAATAATTTCTAAAACAATCTAAAACACTTCCTGATATACCATATGGCTTCAATTTACCTAACAAAATATCTCTATCAATCGTTTCAAATGCCCTCTTCAAATCCAAAAATACTGCTATGACAACTTCTTCTGAGTCTATGGCTCTTCTCCAATTCTCAGTTACCAATTGGAAAGCCGTTTCTGTGGAAATTTTTTTTCGAAAGCCTGATTTCGCCTCCACTAAAATTTTGTTTTCTTCTATAAACTGCATTAATTGGTCATGCACTATGAACTCTAATAATTTTTCAATGTCTGGTAACACATTTACTGGTCTCATATCGCTGCATCTTTTAGGATTTTTTATTTTGGGAACTGGTGTTATTGTAGAGCATTTCAAATTTTCAGGAAACGAACTGCTTCTCAGTGAACAATTGATCCAGTTTAATACAGGATATCCCAAAATTTCGAAACAGTTTTTCAGCACGTTTTTCGTAGTGATTTCGGCACGGTTGTTATTTGATTTTAAACTGTTTACTTTTTTCTTAGATAAATCAATAATACGCTATGAAATTTTGAAAGTGTATGCAACATTTCCCCTGGAAACTGATTTTCATATAGTCAGGTGCAGCATTGGCAGTACCCACAATATCAACAATATTTTCCACAAATATTCATTTAGTTTGTTTGCAATCACCAAAGAATTTGTTTCGGTACCGTTTTCGAATTGATTTAATACATTGTTCCTCCATAGGTGCACCGTACTTTGCCTCAATAAGCTCTTTAAAGGTGGGTGCGGATCTCGTCTACTTGTTTACCAACAAAGAGCCTGCCACTGTCATAAAATCTTACAGCCCAGAGTTGATGGTACTACCAATACTAAATGATCCTGAAGCAATCAAGAAAATAGAACCATGGTTAGAGCGATTACACGTGGTTGTGATTGGGCCAGGGCTTGGAAGGAATGATCAAACGTTTGAAGTTATAACGAAGGTCATCGAGACATGCAGGCAGAAGCAGAAACCACTGGTTAGTAAGGAAAACCAATCATTAATCCCCCCAAATCGTATTCTGAACTGCAACAAAGCTAGGCACCTACTATATAGCAAGAAAGAATATTTAAAAGTATTACTCGTAATTCGAATAAGATTTGGCACCAAATTGCAGCCATGACTAGCGATAGTGAAAAGCATTCTAGCTCTTTCAACCGGATCAGTGGCGTCGGATTTATGAACAAAAATCGACAAATAAAAATTGCTCAAACGTTTCCCAAGCTATTCAATGTTATTTAAGATGTTCAGAGAAGACTATTAATTGAGAGCTGAGAGGTTGTAAAAGGTGGTAAAAGAGGGGAAATCTTATATCAATTTTGAAGCAGTGGCACTGCATATGAACTTCAAAGTAAATCTGCTTGATGCCTCGATTTCATTTTGCATAAATTACAGGTAATCGACGCAGATGGCCTGTTTCTTATAGCACAACGACACGACCTAATAAAGAATTATCCAGCCCCTGTTGTCCTAACACCCAATGTGATGGAGTTCAACAGACTGGTCGGAGACACACCCGGAGATGGATCGAAACAAGAGAAGGCAGCTGCATTTTTAATGGAAGTGGGAAGCAATGTCACTTTGTTGTGTAAAGATCATGAAGATGAGATTATCAGTAGGGGAACTACTGTTAAAGTGTCGGGTGGGTATTTTTGTAGATTTAGTTAAGCAAACTGTGATGGGTACTCGTGAAATAGGGTATACCTTATACAGCTTACTAGTTAACCAGTAGATGGTCTTCTGGTTACAGTTAACTACGGTTTTTGGACAAACCAGGCATTGAAAAACATATTATAAAAGTTCACTTCTGATTAGCTGTAAAATCACAGTTTGTTAACCTGCAATTGAAAAACCGGGCCTAAGACGCAGGCACAGGGGATAAACCAAATTATTGAATATTTTCATAAATCAAAGCGTAAATATTACAGAATGAATCTAATCAACTATAAATGTATTTCACAAGTATCCGTTACGTTTTGACGTCTACCGAAGTGAAAAGCTGATCGGAACAACAATGAATCGGGTATAAGTCTGGTGGCTGTATTCAGAGCTGTTGTTCACATATCTAAATACTTTTAGTGACTGGGAATTTTGATAATAAAATATACGGAGTACGCATAGAACAATGTTTATTAAAAAATTATTATAGTACATCTGGGATTTATTGGTTACGAGATAAGTCAATAGAACAGGCTGCGCAGCTGTAAAAATAATATAGACATGTGTCTCTGGTTAATTGTCCGTTATCAATGTAATGTAATTAAAATACAGGTTAAGTATGTACAGAACTCGCAAAAACATAATGACTTGCTAAAATAGTTGTACATTTCACTTACATTTGCCTAATTTCTAACCTGATAGAATACTGAGTAATGTTCAGACGGAATTCAGAGAATCGAATCTTCATATCAGTCCGATCAGTACACTGACACACATTTTTAATTAACTGTATGACTATTTAATTGCCCTTTCTAAAAAGGAGAGAAAATACATTCAAAAACTGTTTACCTTATTTTATTCCTACCTGGCATGCACATTAGCAGCCATTTTGCTTGTAGCGTTTTTTTGTATGCAAAGGAAATTTTCTAAATAAAAGAGTTGTTATTAACTACAAAATAAATTCGCTTTTATTCTACCGCATGGATACTCTTGAAAAATATTGTATTTTCCATGTTTGGTTTAAGGTGGAGGGTCTGGCAGAAGATGCGGCGGCCAAGGCGACATCCTAGCTGGTTCACTCTCAACTTTCCTCGCTTGGTCGATCATGGCCGACTACGCACCGAACGTAGCTTGCTACGCAGCTTGCAGAATGGTGAGAGATCTGAACTCAAAGGCCTTCGTGAAATACGGAAGAAGTATGACTGCGACGGATATGATTCCAGAGATACACGAAGTGTTCGAAGAGAACTTTGAACGGAAATAATCAATATAAACATTGTTATGGTTAACACATGGCAAACGGCGTTCTCGGGTCATTTTGTATTTTTATCATGCATGAACGCTGTGTGATAATAAATCATTTCAACAGTTTTCGGTCGCTTTATTTCCTGAACGTACATGTATGAAAGGTCACATCAAAACCAAAGAGTAGTTATATAAGGAGAAGACAGTTAGACAAGGTGAATAAAATTAGAGAGAGATAAGAGATTACTTCAAAAACATGGCGTCCACAAAGCAGCGATGCGACTAAAAACAGATGTTCTCACTTAGTCGGAGATAAATACGTTATTGCCAGAGATAATCCTTTTTGGATGAACTCAATTACTATCACTTGTAGTGAATGCGTAGCAACAGCTATGTTGAATAGGGTAGGCTGCAGCGTAAGCGTAGCTCGAGGCCGCCTTCAGGGTGGAGCTCTGTCATCCTAAGTGCGAGGCCTGAGTACCCGCTTCTGACGAGCGTGTAGCGTGCGTGTCAATCTCTGTAACCTGAGAAAAAGAAGATGGAAAGAAAAAAATGACACAAGTCCCAACAAAAGCCAACCTACTTGTTGGCGACTTCGTGTGTCATTTTTGTCCCTCTCCATCTTCATTTTCTCAGGTTACACCCGTATCCGGATGTATGGGCATGTGTATCTACTTTTGTGGTTGCATATGTCCATTCATATCGGGCCTGATGAAGCCAACAAGCAGAAATACGTATTGCTCGGGTTAACTTTCGGCTCGAATCCACTTTCCCCTTTAGCGGATTTTGCCATTATTTTTTGTTATATAGCGCTCTCCGCATGATCATTTTCTCTTTATATATATATATATATATTATATATATCTATATATATACTCTTCATGTCGCTCATTTCATAATTTCACTCTACTTGTCTACTAATAGTAATTTTGCATTTAGCATGAGGATTGAAAAATTCTAGATCTTGTCGGATTTAACTCACGTGTATTATATACGTAAGTTATTTCATTGTAATGATAATATACTCCTTTTTTAAGAACACGCGTCGCATCAATAGTCGCAGACTCATATTAGTATGGACATATTTGAATGTTTCTTACTTGTTCTTCCAAGGCATTTTATTGCTTCAGTTTCTGAACAGCACAGGCAAAAACCAAAATATAAAAAGGAAATACTCGAAGTACCATGTCTTGAAATTGTCTAACACGACAATTATCTGCAAAGACTCGCATGTTTAAAAAATATGAAAATACGCATTTTGTGTAAGAACTGTCAAAAAAGTAACTTATGTCAAGTGCACTTTTATCCTCACTACGGACTATGAGAATTAAGAGACAAACAAATCCTTGACTGGCTCCTTCTACCTATTAGTTTGAATCCATTGCGGCCAACCATGGACAGCTGTTTCGTGCTATTTGGCAACTCGTCAGCATAATGTAGGCTTGGTCTCGGGTAGGACAATGAATGAAAGCTGCACAAATATCCTCTATCAAGAGTTGCTTCTGTTTTGGATAAATTTTGTGCATGAGAATAGAGCATAATGAACCAAACAACTATGCACGATGTTAATCACTAAGTGTCCAGTCTTTATCCTGTGGGTGCAAAGGCACGTGCCCTGGGCCTCGGCTTAACGAGGTCCCTCAAATGCCCAAAAATGAATGTTGGCACTGGTTAAACACATGATAAACTATTAGACATTCGCGATCCATTTCCGATTACACGACTTATTGTTGTATACAGGGTATCTCACGTAAAGCTGCATCAATTGATTACTTCAAAAAGTTGCTGTAATACTCTGAGTAAAATTATGGCTTACAGTATAACCAATGGGAGCAATGCCGTTCAAATATTTTTAAAATGGTGGCCCTTCTGGTTGTTCCAGAAGTAGATACCAACTTGCTTATTTCAAATAGGATACCCTATATAATAGATTCCGTATATAATTATCATCCTATGCCTGAGTCTAACCGTTTTTCAGATATCTCAAATTATGCAGGCCAATGAAATTTTTCTCGTATTGTTGCCTTTTTTACGATTTATAACAGATTGTATGGGGCGTACTTTAGTAAATTTGATTCCGTACTTGGATAACAAATAGGACAGGATGGTAAAAAAAGAATGAGAAACTGATCTTATAAAACCCAAAAAGTCATTTTCTTTAAATGGAAACCATCATTTTTACGATTTTGGTTGAGGTCACCAAATATGCTCGGGCCGGAGCGACGCTACCCTACCAATGTTCCGAGTCGATCCGTTTGAACTGTTTGTCCCGGACTAAATCGAAACCGTGGGCTCTACGCATGGAAGCAAGGCGCAAGGCAAAAACAGCAGGATAGCACAGGACACAGGATCAGTGCTGCAGAGGCGCGGGTGTGGATGTGCGTCTTAGTGCCTACTGTCTCCGATGTTTATGTTGGAAATGTAGGACACATTTTCCGCGTACAGGATTCATGATACTCAGGTAATATTTCTAATAGGTATCTATAGATGCTTAAAATGTAGATTTATGCTCAAAACATGGGCCTGCATGCTGCTCTTCTACTCACAGACCAAAGGTTATAATTGATATTTACATGACATTCCAGAATGCTGAAAAATATGCACAAATATGAAAATACTCGTAATTTTTATTTTAGAATAATCACGTATTATTCAGGACAATTAGACAGGTATCAATAAATTATCACAAAAATAATATCACACATCGAATTATGTAGGTATATTGCATCTTACATGGTACTTTACGTACAGGGTGGCCGATATGTAACTCACTGGTTTGTATATATATTTTTGAAATGAAACAAAATACGTCCATTTTTTTCATCTTAATATTTTATTGAAACTTGGAAATTGTATTTGAAAAATAATATCAGACAAATGTCCGCCTCTAGAAACAGCGCAAACCTGATCCCTCTTGATTACATTTTTCATCACTTTTTGGTAGGTTTCGGGAGGAATATTTCTATAACATTATTCTTCATCTGCTCTACCTTATTTGTTTTGTTCAAAAATCCCCATAACAAAACTCAGGAGCCGTTGAATACGGTAACCTTGGTAGCCAGTTGACCACCGAATCGAGAAATTAAACGTCCCGGAAATATTGTTCGCAGAAGACGTTTCCCTAGCTGTGGGACAAGTTGCTCTATACTACTGGAACCACATGTTTTGCAGGTTAAATTGTTGGATTTGAGGACTCAGAAAATTTTGTACCCTGTCACGGTAGCGTTCGCCAGTGAGAGAATTACCTGCAGCGTCTTCAAAGAAGTAAGGTCCAGTGACACCTCCATACCAAACACCGCACCAAACTGTGACTTGACGAGGATTTAGTGGTCGTTAATGGATGACATGAGGGTTCTCTAATGCTCAGATAACAAATCCGTTCATATCGAAGCTGCAATATTGCATGACTGTATTGTCGGCTACTTTCATGGTCACTAGGCTGTAGTTTTTGGGTTAACTGAATTTTGTATGATCGCAAATGCAAGTCTTTTTAAAATAGGGCATAATGACGTGAGACGAATAGGTACCCAGTTCTTGAGAAGGATGTCTCAGGGCGCTCCACTACACTTTCAACTCTCACGATATTTTTCGGAGTATGAACAACCCGACCTTGGCAAGTCTTTAACTTCATTTGTTCAAATTTTCGCACCAACTGACGAATGATGATGACACTGGGCACATTATTTCGACTGAAATCTTGTCGAAGCTTCCAAATCGTTGCAACAATCGAGTCATTATTTAAGTAAAGCGTTTTAACCTCAGACTAAAAATATATTTATATATAAATTAAATATATTTATATATTTTTAGTCTGAGGTTTTAACAATATGGACGCGTTGTGGGATCGTGTAGCGCTCCATGATGAATTGATCACATATCACATGTGCTTTAAACAACAACGACGGCTCCACCTACTGAAATGCGTGTATCAAAAGTGGCGCGCAATTTGAATCAGTCAGTTATATATTGGCCAGCATGTATCTTCAAATTGGCACGTATACATTTAGACGTAGCTCGTGAGAATATGACAAAGTCTTATTTACTTGCTGGAGTTGATTTTGAAAAAAATCCGGTTTCAATACAGAAGACGCAAACAAAAGCTTGAACAAATCCCCTATTGTTTAGTTATTGCTTTGAAGCTGAACACTTGAAAGGTTAATGTGTATTAAAGCGTAATACATAGTAAGTTTTTAGTATATAGTCGGTCGATAACGCCGTTATTCTAAGAAATGCTAAAATAGCTATTTACAAAGATTATAGGAAAATAATATAGGTATATGCTCCTTACTTGGAAAATGTGCCCGTCTCTACGATTCATAACTATGTGATAACACAAATATGTATCTTCTTCATTGGAATACCTTGTATATTCAGGTATGTTCTCAAATACCTGGGAAGAACTAGATTAGATTTTAAGCTACAGTATACTTTATTCGAAGACACAGTTGATTTTCACAGGCTTAAGGCAGTCTCTTCTGCAGGTAGAGTTGCAAATTAACGTCAAATCTCTTAGCTTCTGGCTATACTATTAAAGGTGCACATACATTGAGTGGTAGGGAGGGGAAGGGGAGGGATGTGAATATCTTCCGCTGCGCTGAGTCCACTCATTGAAGCGACGCATATATGGAAGCGCTGTGTCACGTCTGACACGTGCAAATGACAAATGTCGCCGCTATTCCCTTCGAGTCGCTTCTCTTCAATATGGGTGCATATTTAAACATTTTTTAAATTTTGTCTATCATCTATACTGTGTCTATAAATGTAGAATGTACTATGTTTAAGAAAAATCAAATGTAACCCCCTCTTTATATTTATATTTGGCTAAGTTATTTAAAAATGACCATCCAAGAGCACCAGAAATACCAATCGAAACTCAATGATATGAAGGTAAATCTAATTTCTTACTTTAAAAAGGCCTATCAGGATATACTATAATATGCACAGTATTCCATTTAAAAAAGTATGGATGCGTTGCTCCTATAGAGAGCGGCATATTTTCCAGGTAAGGAGCTTATAGTCACCGACAAATTTTGTAAATAAGTTTAAATTGATGGATCTATCGATCGATTGCACATTGAAAACTTGTATTTTCTGAGTTAAAAAGCTATTTTTCCCAATTACTCCGCCACTGGACTACTTTCCAAAGATATACCTAATGATAAAAGCGATGTTTGGTGCTTTTATATTTTGCTAACTATGACACTGCCATCGCCTCCACCGACCCTACAGATTAAAAACCCTCCAAAAATCAAAACCAAAATTTGACGATTACTGGGATTACTCAGGGACAAACACCGCTGCGAACTAACTGACAGACAAACATACAGACTGGCAAAAATGAGAGTCATGGGTTTTCGTGATTTATCTGAAATTCGACAGCTTTCACAAAGATATTTGCGGCATTTATTAAGGAATCATCAAACAAGTTGCTACTCTAGTTTCCAGAGTACAGTCAGATAAGACGCAAGCAAAATGATCGACAATCCACCCCCGTTTTGTCCATTCCGGAGAGCCTCATTGCTCCCTCCAAGCACCACCAGTGGTGGCAAACGAAGCTTAACATCGAGGCAGAGCTCCATACAAATCATGAACGATGAGGATGAAGACGAGAAAAGCACCTTGAATCTGCAACATCTCAACGAAGCTATATTGGTTTTGACATCTCCCTCGGTAAGTGAGGCATAAAATCCATATTACTGTTACTGAAAACAACCTACTCGGTAATATGTTGAGATTTGAAGTGATCAAAGTTAAAGGGCCACGACGGAAAACATCTGCTAGTTTTTCTCGAAATAGCTACACATTTATTTGTAGGAGTGCAGTGTTCTTGACCTATACAGGGTATCATGAAAGTTGGGACTTTCTTTTAGTATCGAATTTTCAAATACGGTTTGTTTATAAACTAAGTTAACCTAGACAACACGCAACACCTAGTTTGGATACTGACCAACATAGTCTTAGTACATACGTACTGACTCATTTCTATCTTTGTAGCACCTAACATCTCGGTTATCTTAAAGCTTTGGTATATAAATTGTTAAAAAAACATGCTTATTATTGCCTGACCTGCAAACGAAAGTCAAAACTTTGAGGACGCCGTGTAGATACGAAGAGATTAAACCATTGCAGTTATTTGTTTGTTATTCATTTGTTGACTGTGTCATAATATTTATTAACCAGTTTCCACCTTTGTCATGCTTCAGTTGACCTTACATAGGGCTGCCATCACCTAAATTACCGACGCCAGATAAAAAATTCAAAAATCCAGGATATTTAGGTGAAACTGAGATTTTCCCCAGACACCCCACAATTTCTTTTATATTAAAAATAAAGACATCGTTAATAGTTTTTGCAATCTGCTTTTAGAATGAAGCAATTCAACAAGCACTCAATTCTCTTATCCTTCGAGAGAGGAATAATACTGCCACTTATAGATGCCTGTAAGTATATATCCTCCATATTATTTAACTTCACCAAAAAAAAATAAGCATTTCAACCTATCATACATCTTGTGCAAAAACAAAATTTCAAAAAGTGTTCCGATTTCACCCTGGGCAATTGTCTTCTGGACATACTGTATGAATTTGATTCAAATATATTAAAAATAGTGTCTTTTTCGAAGCAGCTGATCCCTTGTAAATGGCTTGAAACTCACTGCGTCAGAGCCGCCTCAAGCAAGGTTATATACTCATAAAAAATACAAAATTTTCAATTCCTCAACGACAAAAAAAGAGAAGCGTCGTTTACAGATAAATTGGACGTTAGGTATAAGAACCTGGGTCACGGGCAATAGGGATCATTTTTAGGCAACTGAAAGTGGTTTGGTGTAGGGGAGAATCCGGCTTAGAACACTTTACAATTGATTTAAACTATGTACAGAACTGGTTACCCGTTTAAATATTTTAGTGCTGCTCAACATTGTTTTAAAATATGGTTTAAATGTAGTTCTCTATTTTTTATTTTTTGGGATCAAACGCTTCTGTTCGTTATCAAAAGATACCATCATTCCTTTACGCTCATACCCAAAATATACCTGAAAGAACTCATACTGTTCTCGATTTGACAACCGACACTAACTCTGAAGCTTATACGAGTAGTTGTAACGCCTAATATACGTTTTATTCTTTCAGTGACAAACTACCGAAGAATCTATCACTATGCCCTCATTATGCTTACTTGGAGGATTTATACGAAATAATTGGCTTAGAGAAAGGTGGGTGTGTTGTATATAATATAGGTGAAGAATAAGGACACTTGAATCTTCCCAGAACAGGATTTGAAGCTAATCTATCTAAAGGAATTAATAACCAAGAAAAATTGTTGTACCTTGATCAAAAAATGTCCTCCTAGTTTTCCTATGAGTGTTAAATAGACTTCGTGATGCACTGATAAGTCCTTACGGTATCTGCAAATCGAGAGTACGACAAATACATATCCATTTGGCTGTATATTTACTAGATTACAACTTTACACAATATTGTGTAATTCTCTTCTCTCTCTTTGTGTATTTCCATGTAGAACATCAAAATATGGTATATATAATAACACTAATTGTTTTCATTTATAATTTATAAAAGGGCGAAGCTTAGTTTATGTAGCTATTCTTCCACTTGACCGGAATATCAAAAACGTATAACACAACAAAATTATGTGAAACTATTTAAATTTGAAATCAAATGTTCACATACACGTACGTACACATACATAAGCTAAAAAATACACTTATTCATACAGAGAGTGATCTTTCAATTTATATTTAAACCTATTTAGATCGGTTAAATAAAGCTGTCTTATGGTGAAACATAGTGAATAAATGCGGAGATCTGATAACTGTATTGTATAAAATTATATTTAAGCAAGGTATCAGCTTATTATGAAGGAATGGAAATGACAAACAATACAAATATAAAACATGCTAAACTGTCATAGTCCACGATCTGATGTATCACAAGAGCTCTCGTGACAAATATGTTCAGACGTTGGTCCACAATTCTTTTACTAGTATTTCTTTGTCGTTAACAGTATAAACCTGCACCAATATTGATGAATTATGATGAAAATAGGCATACTTTCAATTTGTGTCCGTACATGGTGGACACAACTTGCGGCGTCTGCAGCAGAAGTTGTTCATTCCGATTTACTTCTCTGTATTCCTCCAGCAACGTACGTTTGCACCCAAGTTTTGACTCTCATGATTGAAGATGTACTGCGGAAGAACTTTGGGTAACACCTGTACTCTAATCTAGATGAATTTTTCACATCAGATTTATCAGTAGACACTTCAAAATCAATTTACACTGGGTAAGTTTGACCTGTTTCTTTGTCACAGAGATTGAGGTGAATACATTCTTCGAACGTATTGGCAATGAACTCATTTCCAACCTTTTGAGTACTGCTGGCCGCTTGGAGAGGGCATTCAGATGCTTAGGTGGTGACCTCAGAGAGTTCCTCACAACGTTAGATGGAGTGCATGATGTACTCAAGTACCAAGAAAATGCAACGGAGGAACCTGCTGAACCATCAGAAGCTGCGTTTATATGTACAGATTGTGACGATGAGGTAACTGAATATTTTTTGGTTAATGATCCCATAAAGTTAAAACTAGCGAATTTGCCTCCCCGCAGCATGAACTGATGACAAATACCCCTCGCGATAAGCATCTGGGGAGTAGAACGGTATGACGACGCCTAACGCAGCAGAACCCATTATGCTTTAACATCCTAAACCACTGGGCGAGTAGATATTGCAATCGCGAAAAATTTCGAAAATGAGAAGTTTTTGGGATTTTTTTTATACTCCAGCTACCACGAAGGCCTAAGTCTAAACACCCATGGGGTGCCGTGGGGGGATTTAAGGGGAAAAGGGGGGACGCCACACGGACTCTAGCGAGGGAACACGTGTGCATGCAGCATGCACACATTCTGGGCCCGCCTACGAGATCCACCGGGTGGTACCTCTGCGTACGACAGTCAGTGAACGTCTACCACCTACGGAGAATCACAGTATCCATAGAAAAGATAAAAATTTCTCTTGGGACGGGATTCGCACCCTCGCAGCGCACGGCGACTGATCAGGAGACGAAGCGACTACCACTGCGGCCACCGCTGCTGCCTGTCATATGACATGTACATCACTCATTTCCGCCGGTCTCAGACTGTGTGTTGGTTTGTCCGTCTGTTGGTCTGTCAGTCTGTCCATCTGTCCGCTAATCCTTCGCCCGTCTATATTATCTGCTCGGATGTGAATGAAATTTTTACACAGCGTCAGTACTATGCCAAGGACAAAAAAGTTTTGTAGTTTTTGAAAATCGGTCCAGTAGCGGCGGAGAAAAAGGCTAAACTTGAAAAAATAAAAACCGTCCTAACTTCTTTTTTCTTGACGTTTCAGACGATCCTGATCATTTTTGAAAAAATGTTTTAGGAGTGAAAATTTTTGGGGTGACGGAGGGTATATCTCAATATTTTCATATTATAGTACATTTCTACTTATTAGTCATATTTCACCCATCATAGGGTTAAGGTTTGCTCTTACATTTGTCGTTGAAACTTAGATTGATATAGAAATGTTGCCGATATGCTCGTGTCTCCTGCAATCTGCGCTCAGCGCCCGGCGTAACAATCTGCTTGATTATTCCGCTGGTACTGCGGCGGCGGTTCGTTGGGCGTTGCCGTGTGACGGTATGGGAAGGGGCAACGTTGCCAGATGGACGGGGAATTTTTCTCTTCAATGTGGACTGGCGGGAAAGAAATTCTGTTTTGCTCTGCTAGTCGAATTTAGCCATATTACTAAACATAATCTCTATCAATATTCAAACATGATTTGAGGTAGGTTGTAAAAAAAAACCTGAAAGAATATGAATATTTTTGTAGGTCATCCAGTTGGATTTTATGACTGACAGGCCGGCAATAGCAGCATTACTAGTTGGAAGTTTGAAAGCAATCGCTAGAATTCTCTACAGTACGCAAGCAGAAATTTCAGTTACTCAAAGTAATCAGGATAAGAAGCATTTCAGGTAAGTGCTACCTAAATTAAACTATTAAGAAATTTTTATTTGCGCAACTCTCATCAATTGGCTTAAAATTTTCTACAATAGAAAATCTTTAATTTGAATTTCAAAGTAACATACTACCGAAAGTACTAGTTCTCACGAAGGATGAGATAGATCCACTTGATTGTCTATATTAATTGAGAGCATACCTATGTGGCTAACGGTATAATGGAATTTGACCTCTGAGGTTGAAAAAATGGTGCTAGATGCTTTTATAGACAAAGCGATTAAAAATAATCCCGCATGTCAGTGCTGTCCGTATTTGAAGATGTGGATCTTGGTATACTCGAAAGCAGCTCTGAACCACATCTCACTCCGAAAGCTTAAAATCTCCCAGTAATATCTATATAATGCGAAAGTTTCAAATGAACAATAATAATGATAATAAACGTCGCTATTTACACCAAAACCATGGTATATCCAGAGGGATGAAGCTTAGCACACGCTAATCCACCATCTAACCCCTCTCAACTAAATTACCTATGCACAATAAATATAATAATTAATAAAACTCCTTAGATTTGAAAAATAGCAAACAAAGAAATATGTATATAAATACTAAACAAAGTGGGCGATAGTATAAACAAAAAACATAAATTATGCGATGAAGATAACAAGACGATAGAAGGTATTAGATTTGGCACAAATCTTCGGACTTTCATTAGTCAGCAGAGCCCTTGTTTACTTTTTAACCTATATAGACTCAAGATAATCGCTTATTCGATTGTATTGAGAGTATTGAGAGTTGTAGATAAAATATCTTGTAAATAATGTTGTTGTTCCAGATTTTTAATAAAAGGAACAACACTAACTGGTACATTGTGTAAACAGAATTCCAGTGAAGAAAAATGTATAAAGAGTAGATTGCAAATGGGCGTTGTTACATTCTGTAAAGCATTTCCATGGCACTTTGTTCTAGGTAGGTCATGCAATTTTTATCTCGCATTCTATAGTATTTGATTAGCATGCAAATTAATTTTTGCTAACCGTTAAAAATAATGAAGCCTCACACATTTCAATTCCTACGAGTATTTAGGCATTAGTCCTTCGTGTTGGTTGAAGTATAAAAAAGATAGAAAACCGCACATCTAGATTGGATAGCATATCACATTCTTACAGATAGAAAATTGGAGTTGGTGCAACTAGGTAGCGGTTTCATGAGGCTATTTGGAAGGTATTTGATGAAATGTGGTACTTCTGTTGCAACCTACTTTGAATTCAGAAGACCAAGCAGTATAACGCTGGCTTTCAAGCACATTGTCGAAAGAACAAATACTCCTTTTGTATTGGTGGTGAAGAAACCAAAAGGTGTTGAGAACTTTAACGCCCAGGTAAAATACAAATATTCTATAGATATTCTTTGGGCTACTCTAAGACTACATATTTGGTTTTTTATTATCTCCGAAAAACCACTACATTTCAAAAATCCTTAATATCAAGGTATCGATTTTGATACTGCCGGCCAGTTCAAGATTCACGGAACGCCGGTTCGCCTCTGGCTTTGCTAACATGTGGCGGCATCATGTGAGAAAGCTCAGTGAAGAAAAGTCCGTTATCATTTTAAAAAGAACCCTTCTTGAACCTTGAAAACATCCTATTGTTTCGTTCTTCACTTTAATTTTCAGGGTTTGCAACTAAAAGGTCAGATGGTTTCCTGCCCTGAATCAGGTTGTGTTATGTTTATCGGCTCTCCATTCATAGACGGTCTAGAAGGATTGACAGGAAGTGGTCTTTTCATCTCTGATATACCATTACATGACGCTACAAGGGATGTTATTCTCGTTGGAGAACAAGCGCGAGCTCAGGTATTCGAAATATGGAAATAAATTATCAACTTAAACATTTTAGCTACTGTCATAAGTATGCTACCGCTAAAATTAGGTTTGTATATTGTCACGAGTGATCATCCTGTAATGCTTCACACGCGCCAGGTCGCTAGGTCATGAACAGATATCCTAAAGTCACAATTGTGACAATATTAGGGCTTGTAAAATATTTTTGTCTTTATCTTTTCACCGTTATTGACGTGCAAGTAAATGTTCTTCACATTTTTTTTGTGATTTGAAAACAATAGAATGAATTTTGATTTTTAGTATTAATCTAACATCTTTTTATTACAAGGACGGGCTCAGGAGGAGGATGGATAAATTGAAAAGTTCTATTGAAGAGGGAAACAGGGCAGTATACAAAGAACGAGAGAAGAATGTCAGCTTACTGCACTTGATATTTCCCCCTGATATAGCCAAAAGACTATGGTTAGGTAAGGGTGTCCACCCATCATATACTACTCGTATCGTCATTTTGCTTAAATAATAAATGAATAATCCAATATTTCTGGTAGCGTTGTGCTAGTAGTGATGAGGCAAAACTTTGCAACCTTCGGGCCTCTTTTTCGGCTCCTTAACTCTTTAACTCCTAAACCCGGCATAACTAGCCATCTGTCGGTCTCTTTATGATCAGATATTTACACTATCTGTCCGGGAGAATACCTCTTTTCAACAACCAGAACAGTTAGCCCACTAAGAACCTTTTGGCCTGCCTACAGCCATATCCCTCTCCATGCCTTCCGTACTTCCCATTTGTCTAGCACACAACCTAAGTTCGGGACCCATAGCATGAGTGTCTAATCCCCAATCTATCTAGATCCTGTACTCTCTCATAAGCCTAAAGTAAAGTCCTTTTTTCAAGATGACCCATGTGTTGAAGGACGGTGATACAGTCATAAAGTGTACTAGAGTGGGTCTTTCTTAATCTCAAGCGTAGCGCGCAACATTTTACTATAAATCAGTTCACAGCCCGAAATATAGGAAAGATTTATTTTTTGTCGTTAAAAAACAAGTTTCTCTCACTGTACTTTGTTACGAAGCTTTAAGGAAAGCAAAGTTCTATAACCATTTATGATCTCACATGCGAAATTACTTACTAATGGGGGTACTTTAAGGTGAAACGATAGAAGCCAAGACTCATGACGACGTGACAATGTTGTTCAGTGATATTGTCGGATTCACCTCCATCTGCTCAACATGTACTCCTATGATGGTGATCAACATGTTGCAAAATCTGTACAACGAGTTCGATGTCTACTGCGGGCAACTAGATGTATATAAGGTGAGCATTGAGCATACATAACCATAAAGAAAGATTGTGATGTCTAACGGATAAAAAAAGCAAAGATCAGCTTTAGCACATAGCAAAGCAAAGCACAAAGTTCGTACGAAGTCGCCATTTACTATTACTACTACTATTATTTGTTTGGTATTCTTAAGTGAAAATCTTATATATTGCTTAAACTTTTGCTCGGCAGATTCTGACATATCCTTATCTTCTCCCTCGAACTCAAACATTCTTCTTTCCTCTATCTGTCTGACTTCTTTGGACTTTGGCTCTACACCCAGAGTTTCACTAAGTTCTCTTGCTACTAATGTAGCTGTAACAAAATTTTTAACTCTAAATTTCTGAAAAAACTGAACTAGCGCTTTAAGTAACTGCGTGCCGGCAAACATAAGTCACCCACTGGCATGCGCGGGGTTTGGGTAGCTATCACACCAATTCGTTGATCGCCCCGGACCCCGCCGCCACTATCAAACGATGTTTTGCATTCTTTTGGTCACGATTATCTCGTTCGTGGGTTTTGTAATTAATCAATAATTCAATATATTGTGAGAGTAATCAGACAGATATTTTAGGCATGATATTTGTACATTATTCTATTATTTTCAATCAAACCTTTTTACTTATTTGTTAGCGCGGCGCTTGGCCTGGAGCGCCCGCTCCACTCGCTCCACCCTAAAGACAGCCCTGTCCCTCAACAACCCATCGCTTCCTTGCCAAAAATGGTGAATGCGATAACATCTAAAACATACGTCAAAATATCCATTTGTTCATGGTAACCTCGATAATGGGGGCTCGCAGATAGGTGCCAGGAGAGGTTGTACCCTGAGAATTCGGTGGAACCTTATAATTTGCAGATTTGTAAGATTTTTAGGGTTTGACAACTCCTCCTGCCCCTGAGAAAATTTGCCACCCTCCGCTCTGCAAAATCTTTTTACGGCGGGTACACTATCACAAAAAGTTGTCTCTTGCCGATAATCCCCCCTCCCCCAAACTTGCTACTAGTAATCAAAACATCTTATGACGATGAATGGTAAAGAGAGACATTATATTTGATCTGACAGCAAGGCTGCCTCTTTGAAGAGAATCATGTTGCTGATTTATTTAGGTTGAAACTATTGGTGACGCATACTGCGTAGCTGGAGGACTACATAAAGAAACGCAAACACATGCTCAACAGATAGCTTGGATGGCACTGAAAATGATAGATGTGTGCTCATCGCATCATACACCTCAAGGAAAACCTATAAAGGTATAAATTATGTATCCATTCACATATCATGTGGTACCTTGAATAACGTGAAACGAAGCTAAATATAAGAAAGCTTTAAATTTTTTCAATTTTCCAGATGAGGATAGGTCTCCATACTGGTACAGTGCTATCCGGAATCGTTGGTGTGAAAATGCCACGATACTGTATGTTTGGACATAATGTTACTATCGCCAACAAGTTTGAATCAGGCAGTGAACCTCTCAAGATCAACGTCAGTCCTACAACTTACGAGTAAATCTTAAAGCTTTTTTACTATTTCTACTGTTGTGATGGAACTTTTATTTTTAGACGCCTTGACCAGGCTGGTGGTTTCATCACAGAAGCCCGTGATAGAAGCTGTCTGCCAAAGGACTTTCCTCAGCATATTCCAGGAACATGCCACTTCCTAAACGACTACAAACATCCAAAGGTACTACGCGAGGAGCCTCTGGCCAAACATATCCAAGCAGGACTCTTGGACATCGGGCTCAACCCCGAAGGCACATAATCACATATTTTGTTCACTACTATAAATATTAACAACTTCCATATTATATCCAACAAAATGAGTTATCTGAGTTTGATGAAATATTTTTCTTCGAAAATAAACAGGCTATAGTAGCTTTCAGGTGTCACAGTGCTGTAGAAATTATTACAATTCTCATTTCATATCTTATACGTATAACTCTGGTATACTCCAGATGTCCATAAAGACGTATATAAGGCCAATCTATATTTCTGATCGATATATGCCTCACAAGATTGATTAATCATTTTACCCGAAAATAACAAATTTAATACTATATTTCCGTGTCCAAAAATTATCCGGGATGAAGTAAGATATCGTAGCACCATCTATGAAAATGTGTCACAGCTACGTTCCTCCCCGCGCTAATTAGAAACTTACTTTGGAAAGGTTAGTATCTTAGTAGATGACGATGTAGACAAATATGTGCTATATGCAAACACTAACCTCTTCAAAGCAGATTTCTCATCAATCCGGAGGAGAGAAATGTAGCTGTGATAACTTCTTATAAATGAAGCTACGATATCTCATTTCATATAATTTTTGGGACGCGATAATGTAGTGGATCTCTTTACGTAAAATACGTTAATGAATGGTCATAATCACAGTTTCCTGAATCGACACAAAAACACCTGGTGACAAATATTTTTTTTTCATTTTTTAATGTCTCTTTACGCTGATCCTTTAGAATTTGTCACCTATAAGAAAATACGCTTCCAGCATTTTTTTTGTTTTTGAGTATTACTATGATAATACATTAGATAATTATAGGTAACGAAACATTACTAAAGGGACCTACTGTATAAATATATGATGACACTACTTGATATACTATTTATTATAATCTAATTCAATGATAGTTGTATGATAATGTAAACGCAATACTAATTGTAAGAAAAATTAATAAAGCAATTGGAATAATGATTCAAACATATTAATTTTGATCACTCAAGCAATCCTAGTATGCCTCCACATGCGCATTGCCATGGGGTCACCTGGCTGGTTGTACAGGGCGGTGCGAATGTGCTTGTACAGGGTGATGCGGGTCGTTGTACAGGATTGATGCGAATCGCTTTACTGTTGTGTAAGTCAAAACATTCTTTTGATCATGTGTCTTGAATTTCACAAGATTATTCTCACACAAAAAGAGTTCGTGGCATTTCCCGATGCTTTTTTTCCACCTCCGATTATTTGTTATGTTACAGAGGAAACACTATTGGACAAGATCTGTTTCAATGTATTTAAAACCATAATAAAACGTATTTTTCTTTAAATAGTGCTGATCAATATAAGATTTTACTAAGTTAGGATAGCCATTATGAAGAGATTACAGGCTCGCATTAAATGTAATTCTTGTGCACATTTTTTCCTTGTTTTCGTCAAATGATCAAAGATTATCTACTACTACTAATAATAGTCCAGTTATGTATTCGCGTTTTGCTGGATCTCGATGAAAAGTGAGTCATTGGAAAATAACCATCAAATCAACTAATGCAATGATAAGCTCGAAGCAGATAAAAAATATAGATTTATTAAAAAATACACAAAAATAAACATTTACAAACAATAAATTAATCTATATTCTAACAACCATCAATGGTCTTGATGTCCCTTCTCATAGCCATGTTCTTTGCCAAATTTCTTTCCTCCCTTGTGCCCATACTTAGACTCCTGGTTGTGGTACTTCTCTTTACCACCATCCTTCTTGTAACCTTCAGCTTCATCTTCATAGTGACCTTTGTCCTTTTGGTCCTTTACTCCGTATTCCGCGTCTTTAAACCCACTATCATGCTTATTACCTTTTTTAGATAGTCCTGCATCCTTGTAATGTTTGGCTTTGAAGTTTCCATGCCTGTCAAAGCTACCATGCTTATCCGCTCTGTCGTAGAATGAATGGTCCTTTATGTAATCGTCCTTCATGAATACTGTGTGATATCCTGATGTTTTTTTCCCTTTGTCATGCCCTTTCTTTTCATCAAATTTCCCACCCTTTTTTGGTTTCCATATGCATGATGTTCTCCGTATCTGTCAGCCTCATCTTGATAGTTCTTCTTATGTTCACCATTTTCTTCGTGATATAACTTTTGTTCTTCATCTCCGTGTTCTCCCTTTGAGCCCTTAGCAAAAGCTCTCTCTTTGCCGTATGCAGTATCTGCTTTCTCTCCATGTTCTGCTTTATGTCCTTCGTCATAGCTGGAGCCTTCTTCTTTGACAAAATTTTTACGTGAACGACCCCTTTTCTGTTCTGAAGTGTCTTTGCCCCTCGATTTACCACCTTTGGCAATGGCAAATTTTTTAGGTGCCCTAAAAATTAAATTTCACAGGACATTACAAAATGTTGTCAGAATAATTTAAGGGTTTATTCAGCACCCGAAAATATAATGGGATATACTGCAGTCATGAGTCCGGAAATTGCTCGTTTCCATGGGCGCCCGCAGGGGGAGGGCCAGAAGGGCCGTACCCTCCTGGGTATCCGACTAGACATTAAAATTGCATATATTTGACATGATTTTGTGTACAATTTTGAAGATTTTTAGGATTCGATCCTCCCTGGGAAAATATGCTACCCCCGCTCTACAAAAAGTTTTAGGGGCAAGTAGACTTTCACTATAAGCTATGCGATGTATCACCCGCCCTGAGAAAGATTCCTGCCAGCACCCTTGCCAATTTCCATAGGATGGAGTGTTTAGCAAAAACGCCATTGTTTTTCGCAAAAATAAAAATGTCGTTTTCTTAAAGCCATGGAGACTCTCGTTATGTTCGTTAAGAAAGTGTTAGCGATTACAATAGTTCGATAATGATAAACAGTCTGATATACTGGTTAATAAGTGTGTTTTAGGAAACAATTTTGAACATGTTAACTTGACCTTTGACAATATTGTCCAGCATACTCAAATCTATCGAAATAAGATATCACAAAAGCACAAACTGCTGTCTTCTTTCGAGATCACCACAGCGTTCTGCGACTTTTCCATTGTTGTGTGGAGGAAATTATTCATGATGATCCTCCTTTCCCACCTTACAAGATAGCAATTGAGCAGGAACTTTCTGAATGTAACTTCAATTCTAGGATGAACGCGTGTGAGCGTCTTCGTGAAGTCGTTCGTGTTCCTATTTTTATTTTTTATTGATGAAGCCCATTTTCATTTGCGTGGATTCGTCAACAAACAAAACATGCACTACTGGGCTTACACCAATCCTCGAGAATTACAAGATTTGAAAACCAACATCCAGGAAAAAATTGCCAACATAACGCCTGTACAGTGTCTTCAATGAAGTTTTGAAAAACTGTACTGAATATACTGTCACACCCTGAACTTTTCTTTAGTTCTACAGAGAAGAGAGTCTCTTGTTTATGGCCAAATGTAATGGACCAGTGTTCTTTTCTTTGACATCTGAAAAATGTTACAAAATACAGAAACTAATACGTATAACTTACTCATGATGTAAAAAGCTATAGTAACCCTCAGCATAAGGATACATAGGCTTCAATTTCTCTTTGTCGATCACATATCTTTTTGCTAAGGCAGGAGCTTCAATGAGGCCAGGAGCATGGATGAGAGGCAGTTGGACATCTTGATACTTTGCAGTGCCAGCTGTAATAGGAGGCAGCTCTTGAGGTGCTTGCTGTACGACCATTACCATTGTTTCGTCTGGATACCTACAAAAATGACAGACTTTAGTGTTCGATAGTATCAAAGCAGTAGAAGATTTTCAGCTCATATAAAGCTACGCATCCATAGGTCCCCTTCTTCAGTGATATGTAAGGTGGGTTGACCATGGCAAGCCACCATAACAAATAAACAGTTATTTCTCTTTTATTTACTGTATGAATTAATCAGACTACCCAGAAAATATGAAACGGTATATTCACATTCTTAGAATGCACATTTTAGATCCTAAAAGAGATATCCTAATACAGCATGTTCTCAGCATATACTATTCATATCCCTTTCTGAAAAGCATATTCTCCTGACGGCCGTTTTAAGGATATTCGATTTAAGAACAATCGGAACGATGTCCATAGTATATTCACTTAAGGGATATCCGTTGGTTCTCATGTTAAGACACAATATCATGTCATGTGGTGATAACGTTCCACCAGGTAATAAAAAGGAATATTTCTGGCATGTGTTAAGAACCGGCTTCCATTTTGTTTTATTCCATATTCGTGCATATCTAACATAGTTTGCATCCTGTGTGTCTCCAAGTGGTACATTTTTTACGATGCTTTTTGTGAAAAAATGATAAGTATTGTGATAATTATTCACCCCAAATCATCTGACTAATGAACACTATTGTGTCAATTTAGTAAGGTGTTTACAAGATCACAACCTCCAAAAACATCGCATCATAGGAAATGTAGTTGTAGAGAGAAGAAACGGGCATGTACAACTTATCGTGATAGAGAGACGCAGGAAGTATATGAATAGACTTTTAGAATATGATGGAAGGGAACCTTGACTTTACATGAATACATACATTTTGTTATGATTAAATGGTTAATTTGCTTTGTTGGATTTTCAGTTATACTTCTATCTTCGTTTTGAAATTGGATTTGATAGGTTCGCGTGTCTATGGTGTGATCATCTGGTTATACTTGAAGCAGACATTAGATGTTTATATGATGAACCACTGGATACTTCACGAACATTCAGTGGATATCCTTATATATAAATATATATAAGTATATTAAATACATAACATTAGTACTTATTGTGATATCCTGATTCTTGGTTGTCGGTGGAAATCGGGATATCCAAAGTTGAATTTCTTGGATATTATCTAATAGACAACCATTGGATTAACGTGTGTTCTCTGGTAAGACTTTTCCAAATCATCTTATGCGAAAATTCGTAGAACGTACTGCACTTTCTTGGAATGTGTGATATCTGTTCCTAATAGGGGTGTTTAATATAGTTTCTAATATATTTTTAGCACATTCTATTGACAACTGATGCTATTACTACTTACGCCATATCTGCAACAACTGGACTCATCTCGTGTTCAATTTTCGCGATGTTGAAAGGCGTTCCATGATTGGAATGGTAGGAGTACGAAGAAGCAGATGACTCAAGATCTTTCTTTTTCTCTATCATAGTCGTTGAATGGGTTTTAGCTTTGGTTGATGCAAGGTATACTAGAATTAGTACTAGTTGCTTTACTAGCATAGCGAACACCTGGAAATGAATTTATATTCTGTATTTACCATACACTTAGGCGAACAGCTGGTCCGGTGACAAAGTTGTACAGAATGTAGTTTCGGAAGTAACATTTCACTATGAATATATACTAAGTGACATATAAATCCGAACACCCAGTTTAAATGGTTTTATTTTAATAAAATTTTGTATAAGTACTTAATGAAGCATAATAAGTAAATGATAAAAATTTCAAAATGATTGCACTGCTTTAAAGCCCTTTGACCTTTAATAATGTGTGGATGCACCCTGATGTGCTACGCATTCTCCAACGCGCCTAGGCATGCTTCTGATCAGGTGGTCAATGTCCTCCTGTGGTATCTCATTCCAGGCAACCACCAACTCCTCTCGAAGTGCTTCTAGAGTCTGAGGAGGACGTTGCAAATTGAGCAATCTCCTACCCAGCATATCCCATACGTGCTCAATTGGGGATAAGTCGGGAGATCTTGGTGGCCATGGTAAGAATATGACATCATTATGTTGAAAGAAGTCTATTGTGACTCTTGCAACATGTGGTCGGGCATTATCTTGTTGGAAAGTTGGATCTGCCAGGGTGTCAAGATAGGGTAAAAGATGGGGTTCTAGAACTTCGTGGATATAACGCTGGGCGTTCATGTTACCTCTGATGAAGATTAAAGGTGACCTGGAACCATAAGCTATAGCACCCCAAACCATAACTCCTACAGTGTGATGAACATGTCTTTCAACAAAAAACTGTGGATTCCTCCTTTCACCACGTCGCCTTCTAACCCTGGCACGACCATCGTGCATGCCTAAACAAAATCGTGACTCGTCACTAAAGACAATACTGTTCCATTCCTGATCCCAGAGTGACCGTTGTCTGCACCACTCAAGGCGATTACGTCAGTGTTCTCGAGTTAAAGGGAGGACCCAGTGTGGCCGGTATGAAAACAAGCCAAAACTTCTCATTCGTCGGTAAACACTTCGCATGCCAATAGGTCTTCCGTGTTCTGCAAACCATTCATTTGCAATGGAGCTGATAGTGGAGAAACGGTCCCTTAAGGCCAATAATCTTAGGCGGCGATATTCACGGTCTGTTGTTCTACGGCGGCGTCCAGTGCCCCTTGCTCTTTGCGTACGGCCTTCTCGAAGCCATGCCTGACAACACCTAACCACAGTGTCTACACTTCTTTGCACTCTAACTCCAATTGCCCGAAAAGAAAGTCCAGCTTCCCGAAGTCCCACTATACGGCCCCTATCAAACTCACTAAGTTGACGAAATCGTACAGGTCTCCGTACTCTAGGCATCGTAACCGATCGTAAAGGATGTCAAGAACCAAAATCCGCCAACGTTGATTCTTTACTGCGGCTGAAATATTCATTTTTAGAGCGTTAGTGAATTAAAAAAAAGCAGTATAAAAACCGGAATGTCCAACTGGTAAGGCTGAATTTTTTTTACTTGTTATTTACAGTAAGATAAATACATTCACCAACTTTTATTAAAATAAAACCATTTAAACTGGGTGTTCGGATTTATATGTCACTTAGTACATATACGAGTACATATATATTCAGACGGAATGTTGCTCATAAACAAATACATTTGGGGAAAATCTATATTTATGGCATGTTATACATGATATTTGAGGGCACATTTCTAAAATATTGGCAATTATACAGGGTGTCTCAATTTTCACCTACATATCAGAGTTGTGATCTTTCAAATGGAATGCCTGAAATTTTATTGCATATTTGGATAAACCAATTCAAAAGAAGAAGATTGATACATCATACAATGGGGTTTTGGTAATTAGCTGAGATGTAAGGTTATTTATCCAGAAAAACCGTCCACTTCGGCAACCCCTCGATCCGCCATTTTGAAATTTGGAGTGCTGAATTTTGTATCAAAAAGAAACTTACACAGCTCAGCTTTTGGGGCAGTGGAATATAGTCAAAAATGTATAAATAATCCAAGTGTCACCAATGAGGCGAATCAGTTGGAGGTTCTATTAAAGTTGCAGGAAAATCCCCATTTAAGTGCACGGCAAATTGGAGCATAAACTGATATATGCACAACTTCTGTCCAAAGGATTATCACAAGCATAGGTACCATCCAGATCACCTATGCTTTCATCAAGGCCTTCGTTTTCAGGATTTCGCAGCTCGAATGGAGTAGAGTAGAATAATGTGAGTAGAATAATGTGAGTAGAATAATGAGAGTAGTATAATGCTAAATAAAGTGAGTGAAGACACTACTTTCCTGGATAAGGTTCTTTTTAGCGATGAGGCAACTTTTAACAGCATATGTGTTGTCAACAGGCATAACATGCACTATTATGCGACGGAAAACCCTAACTGGGTTAGGCAAAAACAATTTTGATCGAGCATTTGCCTTTGCTTTTGGAGGATGTCAGCCTGCAAACTCGGATGCATATTTACTTTCAACATGACGGCGCACATGCGCATTATCATAAGCATGTGCGTAACTATTTGAACACCTGGAGTAACAATCGTTGGACCGGTCGTGATGGGTCTATATATTGGCCTCCTAGATCTCCAGTTATGACACCGATGGACTTCTTTCTATGGGGCTACGTTAAGCAAAAGGTTTATAGATATCTACCATCTAACCCGGAAAATATGAAGGAAATGATTAAGGATGCTTTTCTGAACATAAGGGAACGAACGCATGCTGAGGGATGTGCAACGGTCATTTATCCAAAGACTACGGCCGTGTATTCAACATGGTGGAAATATTTTGGAGCATTTTTTGTAGATAAGGTCTTGGGTAGTGATATTCGTTTGTTTATGTTGTTGTTATAGTTGTTTTTCTGTATTACGCTTGAAGCTGATTCATACTGTTCTGATTGTTATTAGTTTTTACGTCAAATCCGTACTTTTAGTGGCAATATGGATTTAGTCCACTGTTTGACTTTTGTTTCCTTGGATGATGTGATTTTTTTATTTAAATTTGGTGTGTTGTTCTATTAAAAGCTTAATAACTCAAAATCTAGTGATTTTATCTGAATCTTCTTCTTTTGAATTGGTTTATCCAAATATGCAATAAAATTTGATATGTAGGTCAAAATTGGGACACCCTGTATAATTGTCAATATTTAAGAAATGTGCTCTCAAATGTCATGTATAACATGCCATAAGTAGATTTTCCCAAATTGTATTTGTTAGTGAGTAATATTCCGTCCACACGTGGATGGGCCACCCTGTATATATATATATATATATATAAAAAAGTAGGAAAATAATGGGCAAAATCCGCAAAAAGGAGGAAAGTGGATTCGAGCAGAAAATAGGATGTAAGCCGAGCGATACGTATTTCTGCTGGCTGGCTTCATCAGGCCCAAAATGAATGCACATATGCAACTACAAAAGTAGATACACATGCCCATAAATCCGGATACGGGTGTAGCCTAAGGAAACGAAGATGGAGAGGAAAAAAAATCACACACGAAGTCCACAACAAGAGCCAACCTACACATTGTAGAATAAAATGGCTAGAAGACCTCGAATTTTCAAGGCGATACCACAACCACGCGGCCGGTTATAGCCACTTGCTGTGATACTTCAAGTCCAAAGGATCTACAAAGAGAAAATGATCATACGGAGAAAGGTATATAACAAAAAGTAGGAAAATATCGCTCGGTAACCTATCCTATTTTCTGCTCGAATCCACTTTCCTCCTTTTTGCGGATATTGCCTATTATTTTCCTACTTTTTGTTATATACCTTTCTCCGCATGATCATTTTCTCTTTGTAGATCCTTTGGACTTGAAGTTCCATATATATTGTTATTGCATATTACAACACAGATTCCACAACGACGATTATTAAGACTTTCAAAAAATAGTGCATTGGAGTGTCATTGGCCGATTGTGCGAGATGAATATCCGTCAGAAAATTAATAAGAACAAAAAATGATTCAGGTGAATTTCCTTTTAGAATGGGCTTGCGACATATTGAAAAAGTCAGACAATTTTTCTATTTTGGATTGCTTCTAATAAAATTATCAAAATCATGTATTTATTACAAAATGCATTTCTTAAAACCAATATACGGTGGCGTGGAATCCGTGGTTGAGGAAAACAGCATAAGAGTTTTTATTCTAATGACGGATTAGACGTTTTTACTTTTCTTGAAATTTGGTTTGGTAGATATGTACAGAAGTTCTGTAACTTTCGGCTCCCATTGGACACTAAAATGTCAAAACAAGTAGATATTTAATTTCTTTTTAACATAAGGTAAATGAAAAAATCAGAGACTATATCGAAAGTAGCTTACCTATTCATGAAAGCTATAAAACATTTTTATTAACTCTATACAATCAAGTTATTTATTATTTCACCACGAGATTATAATTGTAATGTAACAAAATTTATGAACATAAGAAATTGATCTCTTATTGTTCTGACAGCGCCAAACGTATGAGGTACGTACATGTTCCACTTCAGAGACATTTAAATGGTATAATATGTAAAGTCTATTGTTATTAACAACATTTTAAATAATCATATCTGTAAAAGGTCGTCGAGGAAGGAAGTAGGATACTGCGAATGTCACGAATCTCAAATTTTGTGCATACCACATGCTCGGTATTCAAAAAATCCATGTTAATTCTTCTAATGCAATCAACTCTATATAAAGTGATAGGCTATGAAATATTGATTTTAGGTTTGAAAAATTAGGATCAAATAACATTTGGAAGCTTATGTATCACCAACGCAAAAGCTAAAGCCACCATGTGGTTTATTTTAAATGCAATGTTTTGCATTGTGTAGATGTGAAAATAAAGTCAAATCCATTGACATCAGTTTTGTCACTACTGATTATCCATATATAAATACAAAAAAATGTTTAGCATCTTTCTATTAAATTTCGTTAATCAGTGGGCTTCTTCATAATTTCACAAAATCAATAAAGAGTTTCTTTTAATATTTTCAAAACTTTTTTAAGGTCTACAGTATCTTTTAAAATATGTTGACCATTGAATCATTGTAAGTTTGGTTGTGATTTATTTATGCAAATGTTTGATGGCCTCCGGAAAATACTTTAGGTGACTAGAAAATGACGTGAATTCATGGATACTAGACATATAAAAATGCTGCCAGGACAAACATTCATAGCAAGCATATATTAAAATCTTTTCGATTACACGTAAACTTCAAATTAAGCGAAATATTACTATCAATCTACCCTTCTCTCAGTATACAAAAAGGAATGTCACAAGGCAAATGAAAGTCTAACTGTAAAACCTACATTATCCGCGATTCCAAATCTTTGAAACGACTCTTCAGTGCCAATTAATCATACTTCAAGCGCAGTATGTTCTAATAATGATCGTCAGAATTCAAAAGTAAGTAACCAAAGACAGTATTTTGGAGCACGCAAACTTTGCTCTCCAAGTTTGAAAAATTCCTGGTAGGATGTGAGGAATGTTACTTTTTACCCACATCGTGTCATTAGAACTCATGTCTCTCGATAGGACGGAAACATACTCATTTTTCACTCTTTGTGCTGAATAGGATAATAATTATTTTAGCTTGAATCAAAACCGAAACCAACTGTTCTCTTATTAAAGTATTTCGTCAAAGTTTAGTTATACGTTTTACTGTTAGACCTCTCAAGTTAATTATATCTTCACGTGGAAGATGTTCTTCCGTTCACAAAATGCTAAATCGTTAGATTATGCTGATGGTGAAGGCGTTAAACTTGATATCTATTTATTTCCGAAAGAAACTTCGTCGACTGATCCACATCTTCCATGTAATCACTAACATAAAATTCTCTCTGCACAACTCTATGTTCACCAACGCGTCACTTGGTAATACTGGAACTAACCTTGTCTTCTCTTCACTATATCCAACAACTATTACCACTCAAGTATATACATCTGCCCAGCTTCCTTGAACAGTACTTCAGATCCGACCGAAACCAATAAACTATTAGTTTTTGTTCAGGATATATATTTATATATGAATGTCGCCGAATGTGGAATTTCTGCAGGATTGAGCAACACACCATGGCACCATGGCGGGTACTAAGGTCGCAGTGCATACAAAGAGAAAAAATTGTGTTAACTGTTTTATTTATTAATAAAAGCAAATTGATAATCTTTCACGGTTGGGAGGTAACCGTGTAAGACGAGATAAATGGCACCAGACCACAAATTTCATCAATTGTGTTTGATTGGATTTCGGTCGTAATTAAAACTGTAAGGTTAAATGTGGGTTAAACACATCGTAATGTTTTGTTGTTGACATATGTATGTCGCTTTTTGTATGTCAACTTGTCGCCACAATTCCTCTATCGATTTCAAACTAGCTTTTCGATGGAATACAGACTTCAAACATACAGTGAGCCAAATTTGTCTGACGGCTTGAGTTCAATGTGAACGAGAGAGAAGTTTGTACAGACTCGTATGTTAAAAAGATATAGAAGTAGTCTGGATAGCGAAGATCGTCACCGCGTTGCCTAGCAACGCTGACGCGGCAATTTGCCGAATACCATTATGTTCCACCAGTTCCTTGAATTAAGATGCATATTGATAATATGCGTTAGTTTAGGCTCAAATAATGGTTTTATTTTGAGCGTACACATTTCTGAATTGTGTCTAATCTGCTTAGGATCGATTCCGGATCGGTCCTAATGGCGCTCCATATTAGGTCGAAATGAAAGGTCATAAATTCTGCAACATTGCATCATTGGTTCGTTTGATAACCCCGCACCTTGTACATTCCAATGCAAGGTTTCCTCCTCCATGATCATAGTTGAGTGATTTTAGTCACTACCCGTTTCGCGCTGGTAGGCGAGTGCCGTTCTGCTTCGAAATGGCTCACCTGCGTCAAACATTTTCCGATCGCAGCGCTGTCGCAAAATGTAACATTTACTCAGGATGTGTTGATTTTATCACCATCGGAGGAAATCAAAGATGATTCTAAAATAAATTAAAACACTAAGTCGCATCAAAATTGAAATACTTCTAATAAAAATGAGAACAAATTATTAAATTATATGTTCAAACAGACCCCCTTCTTGGGTTTGACAGTCATCTAACGATATAACCTATTGTAGCAGCCTGTGCAAACATTAACATATTGACAACGCGACATATTGCATGACCTTCTGCGTCCCCATTTCGCAATGTGGTGATGACCTTCGCTCTTCATCTGGCTTCTATCTCTTGCTAACATGTGTCGATATACACTTCTCGCGCTTCTGTCTCTACAGAATTCAGTTCTATGAATGGGAAGGCAGGGAAGTTAAATAATATCGATTTTGATTTTAATCGATCACGTTTTCCTCATAATTGTATACATGGTTAGCGGTGTACTTCCCAAGGTGGAGTCAGGGATTACCGTACAGACCGACAGATCGACGCAAAAGATTGACATGGTTTTTCGTGATGTCATATGTAATATCCATAAAACGAAATATCTTATTTTCTAAATTCTTGGCGACTACAGTATTTTCTCGCCAATTGGCTTCGGAAGTAAAAACGATCTATTAAAACCACAAATTGACGACATTAAATATTTTAAATTCTTCTATTTATTTTTTTATATACATGTATACCACTACAAGACAGTGGTATGTACGTATAATTGGATTTCAAATTCAAGAAAATCTAGAAAATCAGTTTACAAAGTTGTAGTTAGTTTATCTGTTACAAAATACTTCAAACGTGTGTTGACACATTTCTAGATCAATCACATGCAATAACGAACTATAACGGAATGCAGTTGCACACTTGGTTGGTTTTTCGGTATTTTTTGCCCGCAAAAAACTGTTTACCTATTTCTCAATTTTACTTCTAATGATAATGACCTTCGTTATTCTTACAGATGAATTCAATCAAGATGAAAATAGATACGATAGAAGAGAGTACCGTTTTTTGTACCATTTCGCCACAAACGATTTATATTAAACAGTTTTTAACCCCTTATTGCATCCTGAGTCATATATGATACATACCAATATTAATATTTTTTTGAAGCTCTAGAATTTAAAGAGCGAATAACTGCATAGTGTCGCATATTTGGGACCGAGGAATAACCACGTTAAAATAATGCCGACGCTCCTCCGACAAAAAATATGACCTTGGAGCGGTTTGCAAGTTTACACTCGCACTTTTCGTGGTACAGTCGACATCTCCGATTTTATGAAGCATTTTTGTTGGGTGAAACGTAGGTTTTGGTGATAGAAAAAAATAGCTGTCCACAGTTTATTTGTTACTTGTGCGTTTCAAGGTAAGTTTAGGCAATAATTTCAATTTTTGCAGAGGTTACATACAAAAATTGTTTTGATTCATATATGGGACATCATGCGATTATAACGAGTGATAAGAGTCATCTTGATTCCAGATGGATCCAAAAATATTTTATGGAAGCAGTAAATATGTTACGAATGTACCGGAAAACAATGAAAGTGATGATCCCGATTTGTCAGACGATGAAGACACAAATAATCCAATAATTAATGATAATATATTAGCATTTGACAGCGACGACAACAGTGAGCCTGAAGGAGATTATGATGAGACAGTCATTTCTGAAACAGATGTAGAATCTGACGATAGTGAAAATATGACTCTACACGAAATTGCAGAGAAGATGAATCCAAGCGCCTGGAGAACTGGAAATCTCGTGAAAGATCCAAAGGATCTAGAATTTACAGGCAATATGAATATGCCTCCAGAAGTTACTGACTTAGAAACGCCATTACAATTCTTCAAGTTCTTCTTGACTAAGGAAATCATATCAGCAATAACTATCGAATCAAATTTATATTGCTCACAAAAGCGTATAAACCGTCCTTTGAACCTCACAGATGATGAATTAGAGCGGTTTATTGGCATATGTTTATATATGTCTATTATACAACTACCCCAAGCTAGAAACTATTGGTCGCCACATTTAGGTCATCATAAGGTATCAGCAGTTATGACATGTAACAGGTGGGAAGAAATCAAAAGATTTATTCATTTCAACAATAACGATAATTTCATACCTCGTGGTACACCTGGACATGATAAATTATTCAAAATAAGACCTTTTCTAGACAGTTTACAAGAAAGACTAAATAAAATTCCAGTTGAAGAGAACGTTGCGGTAGACGAACAAATTATTCCAACTAAAGCCAGATCAACAATAAAACAATACAATCCGAAAAAGCCACACAAGTGGGGCTATAAAGTATTTGTTTTGAGTGGAATCTCCGGCTTTAGTTACAGCTTCGACATTTTTGCTGGATCTCAGAGCAACGTAGTTCCTGTTGATGTTCCTGATTTAGGAACAAGCAGTAATGTGGTGCTAAAACTTGCCCAAAGAGTCCCTAAGCATATGAACCATAAAATATTTTTCGATAATTGGTTCACCAGTGTCCCACTTGTGGTTTACTTGAGCAAAAATGGCATTCCTACTCTTGGTACTGCGCGCTTGAATCGAATTCCAGGTTGTAAAATGCTATCGGAAAAGGAATTCAAGAAACTTGGAAGAGGATCTTGGCAAGAAAAAACTGCTATCAAAGATGATGTGAAATTAAGTACTGTTTGCTGGTATGACAACAAAATTGTCACAACTCTGTCATCTTATGTCGGCTCGCAACCAATTGGAAGTAGGCAAAGGTTTTTTAGAAGCGAGAAATGCTACAAAGATGTGCAATGTCCGCAAACAATCCTAAAATATAATGAATACATGGGAGGCGTAGACCTATTGGATTCTATGCTTGGTTATTATCGCATCAAAATTAGATCCAAGAAATGGTATCTCCGCATTTTCTTTCATTTTATAGATATGTGCGTTGTGAATAGTTGGCTTTTATGGAGGACGCAGAACGAGTTTTATATGCCACTTGCAGATTTTAAGGTAGCTATTGCGGATGCTTTATGTATCAGTGGAAAATCTGTATTGAGTAGAAAACGTGGACGACCTAGCGCCAATCTTGAACATGCTTATTTGGAAAAGACTAAACGTGGACCTGCGGCTGAAATTCCTCAAATTGAAGTAAGAAAGGACGGAATAGATCATTTGCCGGAATGGAGAGAAAATGAAAGAAATCGATGCAAACATCCAGACTGCAAATACCAATCATATATTTATTGTGTAAAATGTCAACTACCGCTCTGCCTAAATAAAGATAGAAATTGTTACCTAAGATTTCACACCGAGTAACTACATAAGACTGGTTGTTAGTGCATAGAGTCCCATATATGATACATACCCCTTTTTTGTAAATTTTTCAATAAAAACTTAATAAATATTTTTTTAATTATTTTTCATCTAACTTGTGCAGACTGATCTACCTCATATATTTTTTCCATTGAAAATAAAAAAATCATGCAATAAGGGGTTAACTTACCGCTTAAAGGTACTATTAATGTTTAAAGAGGACTGCTCAAAGACTGTTTCAAATTCTCTCCAAGATACCAAGTACACAAAAAAAAATGTATAGTATCGTTCGGTTATTACATTGAAGAAGTATGCTGTAGTCAAAGTTCGCCCTGTAGTCAAACTTGACTTGTCAGATGGGGGACTGACCAATGGTTTTGGTCAATGTCTTGAGTATCAAACTACGACCGAGCTTTTTTTAGAATCAAGCCCATCTGACCGACGTACACGTGATGCAAATTCAGGTTTGTCCTAGGGACTTTAACTGCCAATAAACATTAGCGAGACGGAACGCAAGATTTCGACCAAAACAGTTAGTTACTCGGAATTATGACCATAGTCATAAAGGTAGTCAGTATAATTGACAATCCGGTACTTTATATGCTCTGCTACTTATTATTATCACAAATGCTGTTGAGCTACGAGTATTATTAGCAGCACATCAGTCAGAGAAATCAATGATTTATATCGAATTTCAAGCCACCATTCCAAACAAAAACCAATTAAGCGCATTTTCCCGATTTTTATGATATTTCCCTAATTTCCAACAATTGCCACCGTTCAACCGTCATGACTTTTTGTGGATGATGCATAGCTCTAAATGGGCTGCTTACCCGTTCCAATTGCAGTTTGTATCATAATGCTCAATTCACAGTTTCATTGATACCGTTTCTCAGTAATATTCCTAAACTATGTGAAAACAAAATTGGCAAATTTTGATGGTACCAATGTAGAAAAAAAATCAAAGATTTAGTGCCAAGGATTTGTGCCTTACATTCTTGCAGTGAAATCTGGCAGTAATTTTCACATACTGACAGAAATGGTAGACTTTTTACACTATACGCATAAATAACTATTCTGTATTATTTTATCAGCCCTCGTATAAAAAATACGTCAAAAGTCACTGTCAGTGTCAAGTTTTCAGGATAGGTTAGGGTAGTGTTGATAAGTCAATTTTGCGGTACGGAACTGGTTAAATTTACTGGATTTTTGTTTAAATTGGGAGGAATACCGGGATAAAATTCATTGTCCGTAGTGGTATTCCAGACAAACTGTCAGTGCTTTCCTGAATCTTGAGTGATATGAACGTACACGTGTACGGAATGCACTACTGACCCTAGCTGTTGTTAAACGTGTAAAATTTCAAATATTTTGCTGATTTAGGTACATACAGGTTTGTAACCTTTTGTTAACATTTTTACTTTTCTTCATGTTATATTCATACCATCTACTCCATTATAGAGTATGAGGAATATTTACATTGTTACATTTATAGCTATTGTCATAGTTAGTAACTTGAGCTTTAGGCACAATTTATTTATAATTGATATATCAGATTTCTTGTGTGGGATGTGTTAAAGCAGGATGGTGCTGATGTGGAAGATACACAGTGATATCATCTCTCTTTAGAATTACCTTCAAATTCTGATTCTTTTTAGAACAATGGTAACTAAACAAGGTGTCTTGCTGCTGATCATCATTTATGTGGTTGTTTGTCATACAAAAGAAGAATCTCACAGTGATAGAGTGTATAATAGAGAAGTTAGTGGCAAAGAACACTTTGAAAATGAGCATCACAACCCAGAGTATGACCATGAGGCCTTTTTGGGGGAGGAATCAAAAACTTTTGATCAACTACCCCCTGAAGAAAGTAAAAGAAGACTAGGGTAAGACTTTTCCAGTTATCAGATACTAGTTTTTTTTATAATGTTACTGTGTAAAGCATGTTCCCAATACTTCTAAATCTTGCCTGTGATTTGGAGTTTAAAAGACATTAAATACCTATATTGAATGACCTTTTCCAATAATATTTAGCTACTGAATATATCACAGGCTGAATTCTGAAAATTATTTTTTTGTTTTGGAATTAATTTTTATGTTAAATGTGTTCACAATAGCCCTGATTAGACATAGACAAGTGCTTATGGAACTTCTGAACAGACAATATTTTTACTGCATTTATTTAGCTGCAATAGAGTAGCCAGCAACAAGTTTAGTATGACCTAGCTGTATTGCTACAGATGTTTGAAATTTTCAGCTGATTTTCATATATTGCAATTAGTTTGAGAAATGAATAGAATCCTACTGATGATAAATCCTGATAAAGAAATACAGATGATATAGCCAAGATACATAGCATGCTACAGTATAGTCATGATCGCTGGGCTGTAGTTACCATAGTAGTAGCCAAATATTGCTAAAATAATTTGATACCTCCACATAACAGATGTACTGCAGCCTGTGCTACTGAGTGCACTAAAATTCACTCTGCTACAAGCTGCCAGGGCACACCCTCTCACCCCTGGCCAGCCGTGATACAACTGCTCAGCTACAGCTTCTTCAAAGGTGTCTGCTTGGCTGTGCTCTCTTCAGAAGAAACTCATGTTCAAGGTTTTCAAGAGACAATTTTGCTTTGTGAGAGAATGCTACATTGCAATCAAGTGATAGGCATACCTTTGTTGTGTAAAATCTTGTTCTTCAGATTTTATCCACTCTCCATTAGTGTTCATGAGTGAAACAAATTGTAGTGTTTTCCTGCTGTCATGCCAGTCCAACTCTGAGAGATGAGCAAATATACCCTGGCAGCATGTAGCAGACCAAGTTTGAGTGCACTTCTTGGCTTAGGTCATCTGTTATGTGGAGATATTGTATTGCTCATTTAGATGCTCCATTATGTACTGATAGACAGTATAGACAACTGTGGCATAGAAGACCCTGCTCGATATGAAAGAATTCCAGGACAAAGCCTCTGCCTTTAATCTGATAACCCTTGTGTTGAACTACAACTTATTCTGCAGAAATTGATATGAGCATTATAAATAAAAAACACCTTATAGGATAATTGTGGACAAAATTGACACAAACAAGGATGGATTCATTACGAGAGAAGAACTTAAAGACTGGATTAGATATACCCAAAAGAGATACATCACTGAAGATGTTGACAGGCAATGGAAGCAATATAATCCTGAAGAAAAACTTACTATTTCCTGGGACCACTACAGGCAATTGGTAAGAAATATCTCCTCCTTTTAACTCAACCAGTTATTTTGTTATAATTAATTTGAAATTAATTGTGATCTACAGTAAAGCATTTCTTTTATTTTTACCCATGTGTATAATTTACAATTTTTTCATTGTATGTTTGTTATATGTTATTTATCATTTTTATCATGTCTGTTTAATTACTGTAATTTGACCTGTTCCACCATATGTGATCAATAAAGACCATTAAAGCTATATGTCTAACAATTTTTGTTCTCGAGTGTTGATTTTTGATAGGTGTGCTATATTGAAAGGCACATGTCTGTTGTATAGGTCTATGGATTCTTGGACAATATGGATCCATCAGAAGTAGAACAAGATACCGAAGGCATCTCATATCGTAACATGATGAAAAGGGACCAACGCAGATGGGCTGTCGCTGATGCAGATGGTGATGGCAATCTCACAAAAGAGGAATTTGCTGGATTTTTGCATCCAGAAGAGACTGATCATATGAGAGACATTGTTGTCTTAGAAACCATGGAGGATATTGATAAGGATAAGGACGGTAAGAAATAAACTTTATACAATACCTAATATCTACCTTTTTAACCATAGAATACTAGTATACATTTGTTTTTGAATAGGGAATATGCATGTTTTTTGTATTCCCTGTCTATTATTTATGTTAATACGTAGTCATGCCATAAGTTCTGTCCCTCGTTTTCAAACAAGTGTAGACCTGTTAATACTTGTCCGATTGTTTACATTGTAGTGTCAGTTGATTAAGCGCTTTTCGGGTAATTACATATACCTCAGTTTGTATTGATCTCTCGAAGCATAACGATGGAGTGGGGCAAGGCAGAGAACCGTATTGCAGTGATAGCTTTACATAAGTGTAATCACAGTGCTAGTCAGATTTTTGAACTCTTACGCGGCCTTCAAATATCGCGTAAATTTGTGTCTAGGACCATTCAGCGGTACAATGAGACGTCCTCTGTTGATGACAGGCCAAGAAGCGGAAGACCTCGTCAAGTAAGGACTCCAGCAGCCATCAAAGCCGTAAAAGCCAGGATTCAAAGGAATCCACTCCGGAAGCAGAAGATCCTATCCAGGGAAATGAAGATTCCTGTCCGGACGATGTCGCGCATCATTAAACAAGACCTAGGGCTAGGGGCTTACCGGAGACGTACGGGCCAGCGACTTACGGCCACCTTGCGACACATCAGGGCGACAAGATCCAAGAAGCTCTTGGAGAGGTACGCAGCTGGGGGATTCCGAAAGATTTTGTTCACGGATGAGAAAATCTTCACCATAGAAGAAAAATTCAACCGACAAAATGACAAAGTGTATGCAAGGAGTTCACAGGAAGCTTCGGAGATCATTCCGAGAGTTGAGAGAGGCCACCACCCTGCGTCAGTCATGGTTTGGTGGGGGGTGTCCTACGAAGGGGTCACTCAGCTCCATTTCTGTAAACAGGGCGTGAAAACAAAAGCGGCAAACTATCAGAGCGACATACTGGATCCTATCGTCAAGCCTTTAAGTGGTACATTGTTTGCCAACCAACACTGGGTCTACCAGCAGGATTCCGCCCCCGCTCACAAGGCTAAGAGTACGCAGCGCTGGCTGGAAAGCAATGTGCCAGAGTTCATTGCTGCGGAAGATTGGCCCTCAGGGAGTCCGGACCTCAATCCTTTAGACTACAAGTTGTGGGACCTGCTAGAGCAGTTGGCCTGCTCCAAAGCCCACCGTAATATCGAGTCCCTGAAAGCGGATTTGATCCGATCAGCGGCAGCTATTCCTTTGGAAGCTGTGCGTGCAGTGATAGATGAGTGGCCCGCGAGATTGAAGCAGTGTGTGAAGGCCAAGGGGGGACATTTTGAATAAAACTGTTTGATTATGAATTCTAAAAATGTTGTCGAATAAATAATATCTTTCATATAAATATATCTTATCTTGTTTCATTTTTATCATGAGATTATCATGGGACAGAACTTATGGCACGACTACGTATAATACTGTAAACATATTTCATTCATGGAAATGTCTGTTTTTTTTAACTGAATATTTAAAATGCAATGCCATAAGGATGATTAAACACTACATTTTTTGGGCGCTTCACAGTGACGTCACAACTCATGGTTTATCACTTTATTTTGTTTGGTCAATTTGCTGTCAAGTTCTATTTTTGTTTTGTTGTTTTTCCGACGTTGTCTTGGCGGCGTAATTCTCGTAGCTGATGGCAGCATGTCCGCTGTTAAAGGGACATTTATGTTGGAAAAAGGGGCCTAACCCATTGTAGTTACATAACTCAGTGGCGCATTCTGCGTCAACCAATACGATTTGGAACTGATCAAACTGATAGGTTGACAATCAATGACAGCGACACAGAATTGGCTGCTCACTTGCCGTTATCGTGACTCAACGCCAATACCGTTGCGTTTCGATATTTTAAATTTGACGTTAAGTTTACCCATTTTTTTAGTAATTAAGCTCGTATTTTAAAGGGCAGAAGTATAAAATAAGGTTGAAGGTGGCTTTCTGTAGCAGTATAGACTGTAAATAAAAACAAATTAGTACATAATTCTGTATTGCATCATAATGCTTATATATCATAGTAAAAATACGAGGCCAAACTGTGCTAAGGATCGAAGTTTTCAATATCAACTTCAAAATTTATATTTATTTTTCAACCTATGAATTGATCAAGGAATGTGACAGTTGATATCATCATTGAATCATTTTGATTTTCTATCATTATCATATATGCAAGTAATAAACATTTTGATTTGGATAGTTATTTCAAAATGAGTGAGTGGACTATCATTTTTAGGCAAGGTGTCATTGAAAGAATATATAGGTGACATGTACCATATGGAGGAAGGAGAGGAAGAACCAGATTGGGTAAAGAGTGAGAAAGAGCAATTCAATATTTATAGAGACAAAGATGGTGATGGCTTCATGGATGATAAAGAGGTAAATCATACAACAGTTTTACAGGCAGTGCGGTCGCGTAGTGGTAAACGCTTTGGGTCTACTAGTCATACGCCGTGAGCTGCGCGGGTACGAATCCCGTTACAAGAAATTCTCGTGGCTATGGATGTAATTCTCCGTAGATGGTAGGTCTTTGATCTTTCAGCGTGGAGGTACCACTCAGCGAATCGCTATGGTGGGGCCATAATCCATAAAAGAAAAATATACATTATCAAATTAGAATAAAGTAAGTGATAAGTTATAAAATTAGTAGCAAAGAATTATGTTTGTTTGGAAGTATAAATAGTTGTATAGAAGAACAGAGGTATGCAGAAAAAAAATAGTTGATGCAATTTTGTTTTATGTGTTAACAATTACAAAGTTTTAAAATATATATTACAAAAGATCAAGAGATTACTAGAATTAACATTGAGAATACTGTAGTGCCGTACTTAGGTAAAAGGCACGAAAGTTCATTTACTGCCTCTTTTAAATTTTGATGCCAATAAGTATCTTTATGATTTAATAACAAAATACATACATATATCATTATGATGTTTACTTATTTATTTTTTATGCAATAATTCTATTATTTGTGAATAAGAATGTATTATTACAAATAATTACTTTTGCTAGAAAAAAAATAATTTGGAAAATATTCTTCGTTTAACTTAACATAAGTAACTATGTAATTAATTTTGTTGACTGTAATTATTAAATGAATTATATAATTATTAAATGATGAAAAATATTAAGTTTTGTACTGTTTCAATAAAATAAAATTCTGCACTATTGCGTTTTTCCATTGAAAAAATAATATTGATTATGAAAAACTACGAAAAAAGTCCCGAAATTTGTTTTTGCATGGTATAATACGAATAAATTATATGAAAATAAAACTCTGCATTACTGCGTTTCTCCTTTGAAAAGATACTATAAATATGTATGTTATGAGAACTACGAAAAAAGGTAGTAAACTTATTTTTGCGGAGTATAAAAGCAGTAAATCACAAGTTACTACTTTTTGCTTTTACAACAATTAAATACGGACTGTCATTTATTTTAGGACCCAACAACAATTATGATTTGAAATCACTTTTAAAAATGACTCTCTATAATGCCATGTAACTTTGCAATAATCATTTACTTATGTTCTGAAATAATAATACTATTTATTTAGTTCGAAAAAATCCAGAATTTTGAACTCAATTTTCTCAGACTTCTACATTTTACTGCCTTTTATTTTAGCTAAGTACGGCAGTATAAGCCTCTCAATTTGATATAGCTGTGAAAACCTGAAAAATAAAGCAACACCCTGGATTCATCATAAAATAAATGTTACGCGACCTGTGACGGTCACAGCAAAGCTACAGATTGGAGCAAACTAAACGTTCATATTATGCAATGCATAACCGTACCCTAATTATCTTCTTTGTTTTTCCATGTTGTAAAAATACCAGTAGCTTCTGTAGTAAAAATCCTTAGAGTAATTTAATCTTCTCAGGTGAAGAACTGGATTCTTCCAGACGATTTTGACCATGCAGAGGCTGAGGCGAGACATTTGATCTACGAGGCAGACTCGGATGCAGATGAACAACTGACCAAAGAGGAAGTACTGAGCAAGTATGACCTCTTTGTCGGATCAAAAGCAACTGATTTTGGTGAAGCCCTTACCAGGCATGATGAATTTTAGATGATGCTTAGGTCTGATGATGAACTTAAATCTGTTGCGTAAAAATGGCAAAGAGTCACTTTTGAAAAGCTTCTTGAAGTTGATAAAACTATATTACAAATTATATATAGTTACACAAGTAACTGTCTAAGAACAGTTTTATGAGAAGAGCTGTTTTTCACGTATCTAATGTATAATTTTTTTTATAACTATTAAATAGTGCAGTGCCATGATATAATATACTTTTTTATACTAACTGCTGCTAAGAGTTATTTATTGTATACAAAGAAAAAATGTGCATACTTGCATGTTCGAAAAGATGCCAAAATATATTTATTTAGGCGAAACGACGCTTTGATTGTTGTAAGATTCTTCTACTGCTTTTACTTAATCAAACATTCCTCATTTTTCTACTTGACATTTTCTCGACATTTTTTATACAACTCCAGTATTAGGCAAAGTTGGCTATATGAATCTCTTTCAATAACTATGGAAACTCATATTAATAGTGCATATATACCTACTGCATATGTATTTTTGTATATTTTAGTTTTGAATAAAATTTTGTGTAACTAATACCAGTTTTTAATTCTTTTTTGTTGATGATTATTTCTATACTCTCACTAAAAAATACTGTTGAGTAGGCTGACTGCACTTCCCACGCAACACTGTCATCACTTAGATTATTTTCGGCACACGTTATTGCTCTAAAAAAAGTAATTACGAACATGTGTAACAGAGGAATTAAATGCATCAAATCATTCAAAAATGTCGTAAAATTAGTCACTAGTCCCCATTTGACAAAATTGCGTTCTGATCACAGTTGCGGTGTACTAAACTTGAAAGATGTCTATGATTCTATTTTGAGGGCAAATGTGCGGGGAAATCCATGTGTGAAATATGATTAATAGTTACATAGGTACAATTACCGGGGTAGAAGCGAATAAACATACTAACGCCAAACCATTGAGATATACCCTCCCAGCACCCCCACTTTTCTACCACTCAAAAAGATTCCAAAAAGAGCAGGAGTATGGGACGACTTTTACTTATTCCGTTTGTCCACCGTAGGTCCGCCGCCACTGTTAAAGTAATGACCATATTCAATAAATAACGGAACTAACCCAGAAGTTAGACCACCTAAAATATTTTTTTAACTATCCCTTTTAAAATATTCTCATGAGTCTCCTTCAGGGCCAAAACCAATAACCCAATGCTTTACTTGCTCCCAGACCTTGAAGGTGGATTACAGCTTCTCCTGAGCAAGTAACCTCACACCACGGATTTATCGAAACCATTGATTAAAAGAAAAAAACGCCGAGGCACATCAAAAAATTTGTCAAGGGGGGCAACTTTTTAATCAAAAACTACTTCTCCCAGGGTCATCACCTTGAACATTTTAAATGACAAGGGATATCGAGTAATAGCTTGTTTAAAAGGTCTTTCGAAGTCCTTTATATTGACGTTTAATTTTTCGAAATCGGTCGATTCGTTTTCAAGAAAATTAGAAAAATCCTTATTTATATAATTTGTTCACTTAGAAAACAAAATCACGAAAATATCAATTTTTGTTTCAATAAGTGTTCAAAATATTGCCCGTTATTGGCCAAACATTGACATAGACCATGTTCAAATTCCAGACGGACATTTTCAAAAACATGTGGGATATCATGGCAGCTTTCGATGATGCGTTCATCCAAACTTCAGGTTGGGGAGTAAACACAATAGATTTTGAATCGCCTCATAGAAAAAAGTCTAATGGCGTCAAATCAGGAGATCTAGCAAACCATTCCATAGGTCCTCTTCGACATATCCATTTATCTGGAAACCCGTCGTCTAGCCATTGCCGAACCGGCCTCATCAAGTATAGGCTTTCCATCCTCTTTGATTTGATTTTCAATGTTTTAATTGATAAGCGGATTAATGGTATTTTCCAACATTTCCAAATAAATGTCTCCATTCAAATTTCCATTAATAAACAATAGCCCAATCACTTTGTTTCCTAAAATGCCTGCTTAATTTTTTGGGGGTACTGGGTAGGTAGGCCCTTCTACAAAAGGATGAGGATTTTCATTGCTCCAATACCTGCAGTTATGCTTATTGACAAATCCATTGAGATAAAATGTGTATTCATCACCGGATCAGATATTCTTTACATGAATGGTATTATCATTAATCGCTGCATTTAACTCTTGCAATATTTTCATTTTGAATGGATGAAATTTATGGAGTTTAGAAACTGTGTGTACAGAGCCTAATGAAATACCATTCGCAGCAACAATTTTGCGTAATGAAGTATTAGGATTTATCCTAAAATGATCCAAAACTTGAGCGGATTCGTCCAAAACTCTCCGATGATCACGTTTTTTATTTGCAACACATCCAGTTTGAGTAATTTTAGTAACAGGATCCAAAACATACCTTTGGGTATTTTTGGGGTGATTTATTCTATTTTTAACCACACAAAACTGGACACTCCTGAATAACAATTATATCTTTCTGTGGCTTTTTCTTTACTCATGGTATAGAGCTGTATCCATAGTCAAAACACAGAAAAAATAAGGAATAGTAAGATGTGAACGGCAGGGGTATTACGTAACTTGAAAAGTGACATTATGTCGGTTTTAAAAAAACGAAATAGTTAAGATGTGAACCGGCCGGTTAATTCAGCTATTCTTGTCTCACACGTTTCCGGAGAAAGAACTAGATGATGATTCGTTAATCCTCAAATGGCGAATGCGCTTATCGTTTTGAGTTCATGAGCAACCACTACACAAAAAACATAACTAATACTATAATGCCACGATCACAGGAATACTTATGAAAAAGCAAATTATAAACTGATAATTATCTTTTGATGAATCGTGTAATTCTCCTGCGTAAGACCCTAAGAGCTAATCAGCTAGGGGACAACTTACAAGTTTCACAAATAACTTCTGTTTGTATGAAGTTATAAGTCACCCCTACCCATTAAGTAGTGTGATTTAGGCGATTTTATTGAAAAAGCTGTGATTCTGGGGGATTTTTGTGCTTGTTTTGGGGGACTTCCTTCTGACCCATCCGACAACGCTGGCCAGGCCAGCATATCGTCAGTGCAGTGATCAACGCCTCCTTGCGTAAATGTACGGAAAAATGTATGTGTGAAATGTCTAATAGATGTGATATACGCTTTCCCACCCTCTATAACTACAACCTTCCATTTTTAAGCACCTAGAAATTGTTTCTGAAAATGATCAGGAACCTCTCAAACGTCAAAAAAGTTTGAGCGATTTTTCTTTGTTTCTCGACCTTCACGCCGCCTCCGCTGGACCGTCGATTTTCAAAAATTATAAAGCTTTTTCGTCCTTGGCATAATAGTTACCTCGAGTGATAATTTCATCAAGTTCGGTACTGTCCAATTTATAGCGAGTCAAGGATTAGCTGACATATTAGAGACCCACAGACTGACCGACGGACATGACTGGCACGGTTTTTCGCGACATATGTTACATGTCATATAATATCCGAAAAACATCTCATTTTCGAAATTTTTCGCATTACAATACTTCTTCCGCCAGCAGGCGTGAGAAGTAAAATATCAGCAAACCTTTATTGATGGCATATTAAGCCCATAACTGGACCTCGATTGAAAACTGCTCAAATCTAAATATATTACATTACAGAAATGCATATAGTAGCTTCATTTTCATCAGTCGCGGTAACTCTGCTCTTTACCGTTGTGTCCGCACCTGGAAATGTCTTGCATTGACTTATCTTCAGCTTAAATCATCCACTATCAGGGTTGGGTAATAGATAGAAGACAGTCATACTCAATATTTTATTTCGAAACTATTGCAACAATTTCAGTACAATATTTGTTGTTTATGGTAGAAAAAGTGAAATTATATACATTACACATACTGAAAAATCGTATCACATTTTGAAAAATAAGTTCCTGACTAGTAAAAATACACTGGAAAGAACAAGATATGTATCTTTACGATTATTCAGGGAAAAACATAAACAGAATTTGCTGTAAAAGTAGAAAATATATAAAATACATCAAACAGTTTATTACAAATACAAACATTGGTCAAGTGGTTATTTCAGACAGTTTTTTGAGCTACAACTAAGAAGAGCCCATTCTCGAAAAATTAAATTAACATTAAACCAACTAATGGAAGTAGCTCATTTTGGATTAATCATAATTATTTACTATATGAGGCTATATGATATTCAAGCCCATTTAAACAACTAAAATGTGGATCATTTTTCATCACAATATTTTTCATTTATCTGCATCTTACGGTTTTAACCGATCATGTTCTGCCTTAGTTCCCAATCATTGTTTTACACATAGAACATAGAACATAAAATATTGGAACAAATGATATATTTTGAAATGCAAATTAATGTATGCAAATACATGCCAGCATGAGATGTTAGGATTTTTTTTTATTTTACAACAAGCATGCATATGTGTATCCGAATATCCGCGTTTTGTATTATAATACATAAGTACAAATGTTCACATATCGTCCCTTAAGACATCATTCTGTTCTTCTAGATTTAATTGGTTATTTATGAATTTCTATTTCAAAACCATGATGTTTTTGAATCTGGTGACAATGCTGCAACACTTTTAATAGTACTCTTTATATAAAAACTTAGTCGAACTACATCAGTTGTAGTAACGTAATTTTGCATATTTGATGGAACATCTGAAAAAACATTATAATTATGATTCTCAAAGAGTCCTCTGACAAAAGGAAACAGCCTACAGAGCAGACATTCTAAACCATTTTAGTTTTCGGTGTTAGGTTATAGAACCTTAAGTCGGCCAATCAGATGACAATAGTGAATCTAATTCTAAAAATAACATTAAATCAGTAAACCACAGTCTTTACTTTTCCCAAGAAAAGTGTCAATGTTGTCTGAAGAGATGCAGTACTACGAATGGGGAATATTATGACACTAATATCTATAAACACCTATCAAACAGATAATAGACACACATTTTTTAACAACGTCCTAGGCGATGCAGATATTTTATGGATTTTGGAAGACCCATATAATCAGAACTAAAATTAATTTACGTTAAAAAATGAATCAGTTACATAAGAATATTCGCAATATCCAAAAATGATTATGCATATAAAAAATAGAACTAAGAACAAGCAGAAAAAAGCAGTGGAATAAATGATACCGCAATAAGTTGGAGACCATATGCCAATTCAGATTTTAAAACGATGATATAAAATGCATTAAGCAAAAGTTCACCAATAACTGTTTCTTAGGCTATTGAATGGAATGCATTAACATATGACGTATTGCAATAACCGAAAACTGCCTACTTGATATATTATTTATTTGAATATGTGCGGATGAGGCAGTAATAGTATTTTTTCAATAAATCAAATAAGCGTTAAACATTTTCTATCACAGCAAATAAAGTGTATTAGTAGACCATACTTCATAGTTCTGTCAAGTCTAAACTTATTAGGCACTGTTTATTAACAGATTACGATATCATACATTACTTTCGTTCCACTTCATTGCAAAATCAAATTCTATGTTGCTTTCCTAAATATTTTTTTAAAGTGCGTTGGAGATGTAATTTGAATATGAATTGAAAATTATTTGACGATGTTTCAAACGCATTTAGATATACTGAAAAACACAAACCTAATATTTCCAGCCTGTTATACAGTGATTTTCATTAAGCCCTGGATCAAGTTAGCAAACCGAAATTCGCTTATGAAATTGACGAATGGCGGACTAGCAGACTGTTAAAGTTAAGCGTTTTTGTACATTGATTCACTTATAACCCAACATCCAGTCATCGAAACGTTACACAAATCTTTTCTTGCAAGGTTTATACGAATGTGCAATAAGATATGGGACGTTACGTTTAGAAAAATTTTAACGTTGTCGACTTATAAGCGATTCAATGGACAAAACCACTCAACTTTGAAAGGACTACATTTACACATAAGAAACAAAAAATGACCACCATTCAAAATAAAAAATGCTCCAAGAAGGTGCAAGGTGAAAATATTTGCTACAGAATCAATGTAAAGATAATATATAACATATTTTAGCAAATAAAACAAAAAGCTATGAAAACTGAACAAGGAAATCATTACGGTGACGATGCAAAAACTTGCTAATTATATTTTTTAAATAAGGTTTCTTTTCAGCATTGAAACTGACCTTACCGACCTTACCTCGTCTATCAAAAAACAAAGGTAGCAAAAATATTTTTGATTTGTCCGACATAACGCGTGGAAAAATATTTTTTTTTTGTAGATAATTAGAGGGATATCAACTCTCAACCATTTCAACATTTATCACAATCTTTACCGTTTCTTATAAACATGAACAATACTATACTTATATTTTTACATTTTCGTGGTCTATGGAAACATACATAACTCAACATTTATGGTAACAAGTATCAATATTTTAACTGACGTTAAATTTAGACTTTTTCGAAGGTAAGGTGATCAAAACATTCCAGAACTCTGAAATAAATGAAATAGACAGACTTATAAAGTGTCTTCAATTCTCATGCGAAAGATGAGGTGAAAGTAATAGAAGCTTTCGTCCAAGTATGGTCTAAGTATGTAATAGAAAAAGTAGTTATTTCATGATATTTTATACGAGGAATTTGACAAAAACTTGGAAGGGTCTACCTATGTATGGTCTTTTAGACTGTCATGACTGAACATTATTTGATCACATAGCCTTTGAGGTTTTTGATTATATCTTTACATAAGCATATCTATTATTTACTTGGCACTTTTTTGTATCAAGAAAGGGTAACGCTAAATAAAAATCAGACTATTTAAGGCACTATAGCTGGAAGTAAATTTTACCGCCATATTTGCTTCAACCATTGAAGTATTTTTTTTGAATGTTCGAATACTGCTTTTATATGGATTATAAGCGACCGATTGTGGTTGGACGCATCCAAAATAGCGCTGAGCACAGCTATTATTATTAAATCACTATAAACATATATTTCCATAAACCATGACAATAAAAAAACTTGCAAGAGACGACCTCCACTTGATTACATACCTCTCCAGATTTCAAGACAAAGTCTGTGGTAATCTCTAATCTACAAAAGAACCATTGGAATCCTCTGGGAAATGTGCGAAAGGTTCACCATAGGAGAGAACCGGAGAGGCTCTACTTATAGAGCCACAGCTGCTCGTTGGACTGAGATTTCCTAAATCTCGAGGACGATAATCTCGACACGTGCAGACTGACCGTTCGCCTCCTCCTAAAATGTACATAGAATAATGTTCCACCACATTCTTAAGAGGTTACTCCTAAATCATTAATTGCTCGATCAGTTAGGATGCAGTATTTTATTTTTTGAAAGCATTCTGATACCGAAATTTTCTATTTGTGAATGAATGAGGAAGAGTGGTTTCCTCAATATTGGATAGATTAAACATTGAAACATCAGTCTATTGCGATATTTCAAAAAAATTAGAAGGCGTAGGTAGCGCATTTGTAAATCTATAATGTAATTGAACAATTTCGGCCTCCTGATGCATGTAGCATTTATGCCGCGGATGCAGTAGCTATCGAAAGAGATTTGTATTAATTAACAATAATTTAAGAAATGTTGCAGTCTTTACAGATTCATAATCCTTTTTAGATACTATAATATGTTCTAACAAAACTTACTACAAAGAGCACGTCATTTGAAAAATTCTTATTCTCATTCGGGAGCAATTTTTAGTAGGTACTCATTTTATCTTTATTTGGGTAAAAGGGCGTGTGGGCATACAATAAAATGAAAATGCCGACATGGAAGCAAAAACAGCCATTGTTTCAGGAGCTAGAGAAAAAACACAGACAAATGTAATTTCAACAACGAAGTAATAGCTACTACTATTTGCTACATAAAACTCTTCCCTGACGTATACTGTATACCGCACATTCTCAATTTTAACATCAAAAAAAGTACTCTGCTACTTTATCCAGATTTAAAGTCAACCATGGAAATTTCCCAGCACACCTTCACAAAATAAGATTAAGAGCCACCCCTCTGTGAGGGGTCGCACTTAATCATCTGTTTCTGTCATGCAGTACATATAAGACTGCTACAGATAAGCTTATATCACTCGTAATCTAGACGGGCCATCAACTTCCACTGAATATTAATACATTAATAGCATCTGAAAATAGAGAGGTCTACCGTGCATTATTAGATTTTTGCAGAGACTGGACGCAGAATATAATTTTAGATTCATAGATCATTATGGCAAAAAGACTTGCGTCTGATGCCAATTCCTAAAAAAATGAGGGCTTTCGACGATCGAGAGGCGCCGGCGAGCCCTGTTGCGCCTTACAAATTGGGCCATCGCCACTGGAATCTCGGTAAGTGTAAGAGGTATGTGGTCGGTTAAAATGGTGGTAAAGTTGCGCATTTAAGTGATTAGGTTTTGAGATTCAGGGTACTTCCGAGAATTTTCCCAAAACCGCTTTTATTTCTTCCTGACCTTATTTGAAGCGGAATTTCATAATAAATGGCAAACTAACATTGTCACTTTTTCTCCTCTACAAGACGGCATAATTGTCTTCAATTGTCAGCTTTATTTTTCCTCATAGAGTGCATATTGGACATTTACAGAGGTGAACAGAGATTTCAATCATGATTCCAAAAATATATGTCATACATTCCTGAACTTAAGTTGTTTGAAAAACTAATATTTTCACAGTTGAACTTGAACATGGCAGCTTATCACACGTTTATTCTATTACGTTGCCAATTAAAGTTTGGGTTATGTTTTTGTATATGTCCATTTATCGACTATAAATAACGAACCTCCGTACATGAGACCTTAGATGTAGGTTTATTTATCTGAACGACGTGTGTATCGGTTTAGATATGGCTAATATACTGTCAGATATTTCAATCAGATTCCAGAAATTATACTGTTTGTTTATTACTAGACTCTAACAATATGAAAAGTGACTTCATTCGATGAGTTAAGACCAATTATAGGAAGACTACTGTCCTAAGCAGTTTAATAATATCAATCCGTATCATGTTATGTACAATATCACAATGCAACCTACATACTTGCGACTAAATGGTTGTAACAGTATTTAACCAGAATAAAGCAAAAAACATAAATGCTTCAATTTACCCTCTTTTAGCCTGAGCTTGTATCTCTTACCGTTTCAGAGAACCCAATGGTGGGTGCCGATTTTGGAATCCCCCGTATGCAACAAAGTTATGTTTGACATTAGGTTCCTCTCATTATCATCTCAGGGATCTAATGAGTTATAAGGCATTGGATCAAAGTATCACAAGTCTATGATACCTAAAACACTCGCAATGACAGAAAATGTGGGCCAAGCACTTTTGTACCCAGCAGCATGCACATAATGTAGGGTGACTTCTATCTAGAGATTGATACATTAGTTATAAGTCATACATTTCAATAATTTACTTTGCATACGGTGGCTTGAGCTGTCCAGATAGGCTAATCATTGCACGGACACATCTAAAGCTGGTTCAGGATCAACCATCCTGCCCTGGAGCACCGTTTTGGGTTTACAGGTATTCAATACTTTGATAGCTGTCGAATCAGAATATTATTGATCTCCTAGGCTCAAACAAGATTACGAACAAAGAAATCGTGTCACCGGATGCCCAAAGTCGTACGAATAGTTTTCTTCACTGCTTTAAATCAATTGCAAAATAGTAAACCATTAAAAATAGTGCGCATTATATACAAGTAAATCAAAACTCAGTTTTCAGAGACTTTTTATTGTTATCAATTGTTCTAATTATGTATAAATATTGGAACGTTGTCTACATTTATGTGTGTAAACCTTTGTCAAAAAGTCCATGATTACACAGGTATAAACACAATTCTAGAAAACATCCATGGGTACATATTTTACGCATTGAACTTATGAGCATAAATAATATGTATTGCAAATTATTTGATTTGACACTACAGGTATCTAGAGTGAAAGTATGTGAAGACAAATTTTGTAATATAAAACGTTCATTATTTACCTTGATGAGATATCACTACAATGATATATTTCATATTGCTAGTATTTACCATTTTTCAGATTGAATTCTTTAGTTAAAATGGGAACATAGACTAAGAAATATAGTAAAATCGTTGGGGGAAATTTTAAGTGGACAGATTATTTTCTGAAAATGTGGTATTAAAAGAGTAACTTTACGACAATATGGGTAGTACCACAAAAAAATAATCCCCTTCAATTTTTATATTTGTGAAAAATTGTGTTAAAAATCATGTTATATCTTTTTCATCAAGTTATTGTATCGCTTTGAAAGTGATCAACGTAAATAGTAGTAGTGGTAGAACATTTTTTTTTCTGGCTCGACCCATATTCTTGAACAGTAACCCTTTTTACACATTTTTACCAAATATTGTGTCAACTTACAATCTTCCACGGAATTTCATTTGATTTTCGCTAGATTGCCTGAATTAACAATAAAACAAACAAAAATGTGCGGAAACTAGCACAGCAATTTCAGAGAGCTTCATTCCTAAATATGCCCAATTGTCTTGATACAAAGTGAATCTATAGTCTAGATAGAATACAGTCTTATGCATGAAGCATGTCAAGTAATAACAAGAAAAACAATAAGGGTGCCGTACTTCAGCAAAGAGAATTCAAAAACTAAGTCAGTATGTTGCTGAAAATGTATAAAATGGACGACTTCAGGACTTGAACGATCAGATGATATTTATATTAATACTGAGGCTACGTAGTTTTACTAAGTTCATACCCGGTGTTTCAATTCGACCCTCACCATTGGGATCTCGGTAATGGTAAGATGAGCGAAGATGATTGAATGGAGGCAAATTTGAGCATTTGGATAACTGAGAAAACGGTATATATATATATATATATATATATATATATATGTATACAAAGAGAAAATTATCATGCGGAGAAAGGTATATAACAAAAATAGGAAAATAATGGACAAAATCTGCAAAAAGTGGATTCGAGCAGAAAATAGGATAGGTAACCCGAGCGATACGTATTTCTGCTGGTTGGCTTCATCAGGCCCGAAACGAATGCACATATGCAACTACAAAAGTAGAGACACATGCCCATACATCCGGATACGGGTGTAACCTGAGGAAACAAAGATGGAGAGGAAAAAAGTCACACGAAGTCCACAACAAGAGCCAACCTACACATTGTAGTATAAAATGGCTAGAAGACCTCGAATTTTCAAGGCGACAAATAACCACAACCACACGGCCGGTTATAGCCACTTGCTGTGGTATTTCAAGCCCAAAGGATCTACAAAGAGAAAATTATCATGCGGAGAAAGGTATATAACAAAAATAGGAAAATAATGGACAAAATCCGCAAAAAGTGGATTCGAGCAGAAAATAGGATAGGTAACCCGAGCGATACGTATTTCTGCTGGTTGGCTTCATCAGGCCCGAAATGAATGCACATATGCAACTACACATGCCCATACATCCGGATACGGGTGTAACCTGAGGAAAGAAAGATGGAGAGGAAGTCCACAACAAGAGCCAACCTACACATTGTAGTATAAAATGGCGCAGATTCCGAAACCATGGTAAGAGGAGCTCTTGTGATTCAAAAATTGTGATAGATTTTGTTCGACAAATACTGCCGAGAAGAAGTTATTTTCGGACTTGACCAAATAACCTATGTATCCAAAAGTGTTAGAATATTTGAGTTTAGATATTGTGATATCTAGGGAACCATTTAAGTTATCTAAAACTTTGTTCGTCGGGCTATAAATTCATCATTCTGTACCGCAAAATCGCACCGTACCGTTGACAGGGCTCTGGGTTCAATCACCTTTTCGGATCGGGGGTAATGCTGGAATAGTACAAATTAACTCTAGCTGTGTAAAAATACTGCATTATTTTAGGGATAATCCACTATTTTGCTCTTCGCATTAGCGTACATTTTAGACCCGTCTGGTGCCTCTACTTTCAGATAATAACAACAGACCTATAGACCAAGCTTACTGATACATAACGAGCTGGGAGTGTTTAGCCATAATCAGGGCTAGGGCAACCGAACCGTTTTGTTTGTGCCGGAAATTAGGGAACGCCTGGTCACATAACATACTCCGTCTGCACCGCATCGCAGAAATCACTGTCGTTGAGGGCCAAATCGCTTCGAATTAGCGTACACTCTCATTGGTGTAAGGAACCGTTAGACACCGCAATCTTAATTATTATTGATTCTCTGTAGACACATCTGGAGCCTCTATTTCAGATAATAAATTCGATTCATTAAATCGACCAATATTTAGATCTTACATATGGTAACAACTAGGCAGTAGCGGTGGCCGCAGTACTAGACTCTTCGGTCGTGCCGTGCGCTGAGCGGGTTCGAATCCCATCCCAAGAGAAATGTTTCTCTTGGCTATGGATGTTGTGATTGTCCATAGGTGGTAGACTGTCTGTGACTGTCGAACGCAGAGGTACCACCCGGCGGATCTCGTAGGCGGGGACAGAATGTGTGGCGTTCTCCCTTTCGCCTGTATCCCATGGGTGTTTACGGCTTAGGCCTTCGTGGTAGTCGGAATATAAGAAAAAGAAAAAAAAACTAGTGATTCTCAATTCCATCCTTGTGTGTTGGTCTTTTGTATTTTATATAGCTAAACCTCTGAGCGCGTGGCCCTTCGTGGATTATAACCGAAGGAGCTGCGGCGTCCAAAAGACTCCCAGTGCACCAACCGAAAACCTAGTCAATTGTGTCACGTTCCGTCTTATTGTGTTGGTCTCTTAATCCGATGCTGTTAAACCTCTAGACACGTGGCCCCAAAAGAGTCATAGTAACCGGCATTCAGTGAAGAGACGTGGATTGCTGGTAATTCGGAAACACATTCCATCTTAGTGTGTTGGATTCTGGGGTCTGTGTAAGTTGAAGCCCTGGACGTGTGGCCCCTCGTGGATTTTAACCAAAGGAGGTGCGATACCGGTAATCATAGAATCCGACACCCAGGACAGCGGTGGAGATTAGGAAAACTGACCGAGAACTGAAGACTTAAAATTGCTTTTACCAAAACTTAGGAACTGTGGACATGAATGAACTGTTGGATGTTTTACCCCAGTTGGGGGAAACGCTGTTTCAGGTAGCTCGAAGATTTTACGACCTCAGTAGCCGAGTCCTTTTCGAGATTCACAGCCACCGATTACAAGCAGTTTCTTTATTTCTGGCAATGGGAATGTTTTCCTTGATTGCGATGTGCCAGACAGAGTAGCAAAGGTTGCACAGAAGAATGACATGCAAATTTTTAGGTGTGTGAGTAGTACTGGAGGGTAGAACAACCCTGTGGCAAGGTTGTAATATTCTATACATAGCATCTAGAATGTGAGTGCTACTAGAGGGTAGAACAACCCTGTGGTTCATAATATCCTATACATAGCATCTAGAATGTATTCAAAATTTCGCCTGAAAATTTAGGATCTAGGAAAACAAAAATTGAGGGGGTTTTCGATACGAAAACATTCATTGTTACTAGAAAGTTCTCGAAAACATAAAATTTCTTAAAACAGTACGCGCTTAATCGAATGGCTGGGTGACGTCAGTACCCCGAGTGTAAATATGGACTATAATAGCTCAAAAAACTCACTCTGGTATCGGCCGTCCCAGTGGACAGTACCCCGTTGCACAAGCAGAAGCTAAAATAGACACCGAGGTAAGAGAAACTTGGAATGACGTGTGATCAGGTACCGCATTTTATTTTACAAGTTGTGTTTCAAAAATTGTGACTTTTCGCACTTAGCTAAATAACCTAAGTAACCGAATGTAATAGAATATCCGAGTTTTGATCCTAGGGAATCATTTTAGTTATCCAAAATTCTGTTCGTTGTTTTCAACTATTATTTTTTTTACAATTCCAACCGGTGCGTTTTCTGGTGAGTAAACGAAGGGCCGTTACTCCATTTCACCGAATCGTTAATAACACCCTGCATCTATCCATTGGGAAAGTACCGTTTAAAGCATGTAGTTCATCTCTGTAGAGTGCAAAACCGTACCGTACTCTTGACAAGGCTTTAGATACAATCACCTGTTCGGAGAACGACGATCGGGGGCAATGCTGGAATACTACAAATTTACTCTAGCTGTGTAAAGATACTGCATTGTTTTAGGGGTGATTCTCTATTTTGCTCTTCACATTAGCGTACGCCTGATCACATAACTCCGTCTGCACCGCACTGCAGAAATCACTGACGTCGTGGGCCAAATCGCACCGCTTTTGCGATTCACGTTACTATCATTTTTGTCGCACGCTACCTACTCACTGCCTAATCTCTCACTGCTGCTTGCTAACGTGTTGCTCGGTTTTAGTAATAGCTCTGGCACAAATCTGGGGCTACCTGTTAACCAACCATACCTTCCGCATACAACCGCTAAGACAATAGTTAACAAATCTAGTCGTAACAAGATCTGTACATTGTACGAAGACTAAAAGTTTGGTTCAATAAGTTGCCGTGGAAACTTCATCCTCGTTTCATTTAAGAAGCACCTCTGAGAAGTAAAAATTGAGAGAACATAAGTAGGTCCTCTTCACAGAAGTTCGTGAAGAAAAAACTGCTGTCTCCGCACTTTAAAAAGAAGGCTGCCGCCCAACGGGAATTAGCATTTTCAAGAGATCTACGTTGCCTCAGTCAGCCGAACAACGAGATTAAGCTCGTTACAAAACAAACAAAAAACGAATTTTCCCATAATCGTCTCAATTTTTTGCTGGCTTTATTTCAGATGGGGTTTCAAAATAAAATATTACATTAGCATTGCCACTTTTTCTCGTTTACAAGATGGAATGATTAGAAGTTCAATATGACGCTTCGTCTTCTTTCCTTAATCATCAACTTCATTTTTTCTTACTAAGGATTGGCAATACCAGTGTATTACATATTATGCATTTTTGGAATCATAACTAAAAACTCTATTCACCTGTACAAAAAAGCCATATGGCGCCTCTAAGAAAAAATAAAGTTGATAATTGGGGACAAGAGACATAACGTCATTTTGAAATTCTAATCATGGCACCTGGTAGAGGAGAAAAAATTGCGATATTAATGTGATTTTTATTTTAAAATCTCATCTCACATAAAGGCAGGTAAATATTAAACGGTTTTGAGAAAATTCGGTTTCTGTCAACTACATCCGAAAATAATCTAGATTGCTAAGCTTTTGGAGTACACTTTTTGGAATTACGTAAATGCGCCACCTTACTCCCATTTAATCGACTCCGTATTTCATACCGTTTCCGAGATCCCAATGAGTAAGTGTCGAATTAGAAACACCAGGTATAAAGAGCAGCTGAAGTCACTAGTTTCATATATTTCAATTTAGTTTTGAATTATCTTAGTTGGTACTTGCTACAATATAAATCATAAGAAATTAGGCACCCAGAATACAAAATTGAGCTAAACTCAAAGCATACCTTCTGACATACATAGCTTGCCATGTAAATTTTCACTCATCATCATTTTAGGTTCTAATAATGTAGCTTCAGTCACAATGTAAAAATATCAATGTCAATATAGATGGATTTAATATTCAAGAACACAAATAAATTACACTCAAAATTACAATAAGCAATGCATGACATAAATTTGGAAATGTATTTGCCAGCAAATACTCATGATGCAGAACACACAATAATATTCATATAAATATACAGCTTAATGGATTCAGATACTGAAAAAATACATTGAGTTCAAATATTATTGAAAATGAATATGAATATATATGAATATTTTTGAAAGCTGGATGTTAAACAGGAAAGGCTCACTTAATGGTGTTCAAAGTTCAACTTTGATTTTTTGTAAACGACAGAATCAATCTCTAAATTTACAAAAAAAAAAAATATTTGAAGTGTGTCATTTTTCCATCTAACTTTCTGAAACTACGTAAAAACTCACAAGAATATATAAAAGGTACATTTCAGCAAAACAAAAAACAAACTACACAGACATTAACAGATATCTTCCACAAGGTAAAATTAATCATTCAATTATATTTGACTCACTTTCACCTTCACTAGCTTTTCAACCAGCATTCAACTATATTCGACATTATTTCGCCGCCATTCAGGCGCATAAAGGCATATACATAGCATTGTCGAAAGTACTAACATTTTGACAAGCCAACCGTGTTTTGAGGTTCGGTCGGAAGCTTAAATAAAAACTATATACAGGACTTAAAAATAAATGTGCACAAATAAAACTAAATATCTTACCTAAATTATTACTATGGTTATTTATGCTCTTTCAAAATCTTATTACGCAAGTTGTCGGCTTTTTGGTCACTTGAAAACATATGAATTAAATCCATGTAGTTATTTTAGACAAGACTGTGGCGGGCAGCAAGTAAGTACCATGCACAAATAATTTGAAAATTGGCTACCAGTCACTTTTAGTGAAAATTCTTATATTAATAGATCATGTTGCACTGATCGCACGTTACAATGGGCCTAAAGCCCAGCAGAAATGCTTTCTATTTGAGATAAAGGGTGTTAAAGTTTGGTGCCTTAGCCCACATAGATAAGCAAATTTTACTAAAACTAACTGGTCTTGTAGACTTGACGATATAATAAAATTCACGTAAATACATACAATATATACAGGCGTCCCAACGAAAAGGGAAAGTCGTTTAATAAAAGAACGCTCTATACAGGGTGGACAATATATAACTGACTGATTTAAACTGCTCACCATTTTTGATACACGCATTTCAGTAGGTGGCGCCGTAGTAGTTGTTTAAAGCACGTGTCCAATTCATCTGTAGCGCTAAACTATCACACAATGCGTCCGTATTGTTAAAACGTTTTACTTAAATAATGAGTCGATTGTTGCAACGATTCGGAAGCTACGATAAAGTTTAGGTCGGAATAATGTGCCCAATGTCAATACCATTCGTCAGTTGGTGAGGAAATTTGAACAAAGCCAAGGTCGGGCCGTGTTCGAACTGTTCATACTCCAGAAAATATCGAGAAAGTTCGTGAAAGTGTAGTGGAGCGCCCTGAGACATCTACCAGACATCCTTCTGGGTATTAGAGAGGCCTCGTGTCATCCATCAACGACCACTAAATTCGCGTCGAGTCACAGTTTGGTGCGGTGTTTGGTATGGAGGTGTCGATGAACCTTACTTCTTTGAAGACGCTGCTCTTACTGTCACTGGCGAGCGCTACCGTGATATGGTGCAAAACTTTATAAGTGGTTCCAGCAGGACGGAGCAACTTGTCACACGGCTATGGAAACGATGAATCTTCTGCGAACAATATTTCCGGTACGTTTAATTTCTCGATTTGGTGATGTTGTCAACTGGCCACCAAGGTCACCGGATTTAACGGCTCCTGACTTTTTTATGGAAAAATAGGGTTTATGCCAACAAACCAAATACTGTAGAGACGCGGTTGAAAATATTCCTTCCGAAACCTACCAAAAAGTGATGGAAAATGTAACCACGAGGGTTCAGGTTTACGAGGCTTCTAGAGGCGGACGTTTGTCTGATATTATTTTTCAATAAAAGATTAAGTTGAAAAAAATGGACGTATTTTATTTTAGTTCATAAATATTTAAGATACAAACCAGTCAGTTACATATCGGCCACCCTGTATTTTCTCAAGTATAATCAGATAACCGTTTTAATAAACAAGTATTAAAATGATTACCAGAAGATACCTATAAAAACGCAAATCTGAAGGTGTAAAAATATACGGAATATTCCATTTAAATTTTATAAACAACGTTTTGCATTTTGCAGCACCGTGATAAAATTGGCGTTCTTTTTCATCCTCTTCCCAAATTCAGTAAAAACCTACCCAGAATGGCTGAAATCAAAGCCTTCAAAAATAATATCTAAACAAATGACACACAAACCTACTGTGTATCTTCTTGTTTTCGAAAGGTCTGTCCAAATATCTAATATAATAGCGGGTGTTCCATTAAAACACTTACCATTTTCGTTAGACACCCTAAATATTGTTTGAGTCCAGGTGATTTTTATTATATCGTTAATTTCTTTGAGTACATTGAAGACGAGATAGTTTTCGTAAAACGGTGCAGGCATAAATACCCACAGCTGCTACAGCACCAAACTTCAACATCCTGTATATCCATTTCTGAGTTTTGGGCCCATTAGAACGTGAGTTCAGCACATGATAATCTGTCATTATATGATTTTTTTTAAATTGACCAGTTGTCAAATTCCATATGTTTTGTTCCTGGTACTCTGTTACATTTTATAGCATGCTATTCTGCAATACCTGTGAGAGTTATGAAATAATTCTTAGTTTTATAAAAATAGTGAGTATAGGAGATAAACTACATTAATAACTGGTTCAGTCAACAGAACTAAAACAAAGATTGCTTCAAAATATGTGTATATGCCAACACCAGTACATCATTTTTTATAAAATGTGAAAATTAGTTTATTTCAATCAATTCGATCGATAAATAGATAAAATCCATTTTTAAATTGTACAAAAGAACCATACAGAAATGTAAGAATATATCTGTCAGGCCAGTACAGAACTCAAATATTTAAAACTTGAACCTGTCTCATTTTCTGAGTTTCTACTTTTTTTACGATTGATTACATGTTTTTTAATTGTTTGCTCACCTTTTTATGTTGAGACAGGATTGGGTCATTAGAAAAAGCATTAAAGTCTTTTTAAGCCTACAATCTATAATTCCAACCACCTTTCTTACAACTCATGAAACTGACCTTTATTGTATATTTACAAGTTTACTCTAGATTAATAAAATAATAAAACCTGTGTAGGGAACTTTGCAGATCCAAAACTAAACATTACATAGTTGCAGATCTGATGAATACTGAACATACACATGTAGAATAACAATTTTTGGTTTGGATATAAAATTAAGATAGAGAAAAAATACACAGATTGGCATCAAGTAATTGAATTCTAAGGCAAACTATTTTTGTTCAAAAAGCAGTTAAACATAAAACGATATACAGAGTGAGTTTTTAGTGAGGACTCAGTCGATAACTCTGTTATTGCGCATAGTATCTAAAAAGGTTATTTATAAAAATTATAGCCAACCGTATGCAACTTGCTTTTAAAATATTTTTATCTCTAGAGGGTGATTCATAACTGTGCGGTGACCCTAACATGCACTTTTTTACATGGAAAGCTTACATTTGATTACAGATTTACATACACGCTTTCAAATGAAGCAATTTAATATATGATACCATGTTTTGTTCCTATGCACCTACTTTTTCAGTTTATACAGGGTGATCGAACAATCTTTAAATGGAACATCCTGTGCATTTTCACATTCCTTGATTCACGTTTCACAAGCTTCTATTGATATGAGGCTTTTGGGGTTTTGTACGACCGGTTTTTGGGTTACAGCTAACCTCTTTGTAAGTCAATATTACAATTCCTTCCAAACTAAAAAATAGCATTTAGATGGTAACGGCAGTTAAGATTGGCAAATTTTCTTTTTAAATTAGTCTACTCGTACTTAGCCTTATGCAATAAAGTCGAAAAGTCAAAAGGTGTCCCTATGTTTTTAGCAAAGTCAAAAACTAGTCATACAAACCCCCATAAACCTTATATCAGAAAAAAGTTCATGGAAAGGAAAATCATTGCGTTCTTGATTATCTTGACTAAACTAAAAAAAACTAATAATGAAAAAATAAGTAGGGGTGAAAGGAACGATGAGAGTATACAATTTTTTAACGAAAAATCCAGTTCTCTAGCTATGACAGTTGCGGAGGTGCGAGTTATCAAAGTTGAGAGTTTATTTTTGATAGTTTGTCCAATATCTCAACAACCTGACAATAAAACCCTATATGGCATGCTATATGTAGTTGCTTTGTTTGAAATCTGCAATGAACGTAGAGCTTTCCATTAAAAAAAATGTTTGAATCGCCACGTAATTTTGACTCGCACTGTAGAAATACAAATATTTTCCAAGCCGAGAGGCTACAATTTTTGTATTTAATTTTTTCATATACAATGCGTAATAACGGAGTTATCGACCGAGCCCACACTAAAAACTCACCCTGTATAGAATACATCCAATTGTAAATAATTACAAATCGCATTTTGCAATTAACGTTACTTTAGTTTGATAAAGTAAAAGCTAAGCCGAATGAAATACGACTAAGTTAGTGAAAGTATATAAAAATTACATTTTTTAATATAATATATTGTTTCAAATTTAATTTTGTAGATGCTAAACTAAGCGGTTAAGGTTCGGGAATTATAACCTCTATCACTGCAATATTTGACTCTGATGAATTATCTGCCTTGTAATACATACAAATTATCATCTAGACACTTAAACTGATGGAGAGATATCTTATTTATTGCAGCAATCAAAGTTCCCTCAACTCATTCACTCCAAAATAATGACCTAGATTGACCTCTTCCACTTATTTCTTTCGCTTTTTCCTCCTAGCCGCTCTAGAAATGGTGGGAGCTAATTCAGAAGGAATCACGTCGGTGGATACAACTTTGCATGCCTTCCACGAGTCATCACTCTCTGGGGTTTCATTAGACCCACTACTTTCAACTTTTTCATCATCTGAAGACTTATATATTTTTATAAGGTTAGCGCATTCAGAGATAACTAAAATTTCAGAATCCTGGACTTTTTCTTCCATGGGAGTGTTGATATCAATCAAGTCTTCTTTAATGCACTCGGTAGGAAGATACATGAACTTGTCCACAAACTCGATTTTGGGCAAGTCCAAATCGAGATCATTTTCTTTATTATCACTGTCCAGCAGGGATCCTCCAGTTTCACATTTTGGAGCAGCTATAGTATTCCAAGATTTCTTTGAAGGAGCTATCTCAGTGTTTTCTTTTATGTTTGTCTCATTGTCTGCCGACTTTGAGGCAGCAATGGAACTCCATAACATTCGTTGTGGTGCTGCCACAACCATATCCACGACATCTTCCTGAGTTTTTTTCCTAATTGTTTCATTAGTGTCAGTAGTTGTGGTAGGTTTATAACTTGTTATGCCGCCCCAAAGTTTGCTTTGGGGAGTTGTAACTACCACGTCTACCACATCCTCAGTTTTCTTGTTGTTTTCATTATTGATATTTATGATTTTCACGCCCAGTTTACTTTTAGGCTTTCTCTGTAGTTTTAGTATAGGTTTATCATCAATTATCGGATCTGGTACTACTGTAACCATTTCTTCTTGCCTCTTCTTGATTTTCGTTTTTTTCTTTTCTTTGTTCAAACAATTTTTCTCCTCACTACAATCCTTCGCGTCCTCAAACTTTTCAGCTTTTGTTTCCAATGAGAAGAAATCCTCAGTGTCAATAGAAGGTATTTCTACTCTTTTGGGAAATTCTATTGGTGGTTCTGGCATATGTGGTTCTACCCTTGGTCTCATTACATCTGGGCTTTTCTGAATAAATTTCGCAACAGGTACTGGTTCTGGCATCTCAGGTGATGGCTTCATCACCTCTGGGCTCTTCCAACTAGTATTGGGCTTCTCCTCAGGCCGTTTGCTAGTACTTTCTTTCTCCTTAACAACTTCTTTCCGCTTAGTCTTTGTAGTTTTTGATAATGGCTTCTCTTTTTTCAAGAGACTCACCGCTACTTCGGTGTGTGGCTGCAAGCTCTTGGTCATGATCTCGTCAGCATACCGTCTGTTCATCTCGCGACATGCTGTAGTTATTGGAGTGACCACAGGTCTGAACAGCGTCTCGTCGCAGTTCTCGTGGATGACAATTTCTTCGGTCGCGGCAGCTTCCTGGTCGCTGTCATGTTCAGTGTGCACGTTCACGACCGTGCCCAAAGGATTCACCACTTTGGCAACGGCCGGTTTCATTTGCACGATCACGCAACGGCCACCTGGACAGAAAGAGCCAATGGCAGGTTACTTTGATTTTTTCTATACAGGTTGTTCGTGTTTTGTGCGAGGTAAGCCGGCAGCCTTGGAATATTGAAAATGTCACTTCCTGTTTTACTCATGGAATGCTCTAACCAAATAATGTTTTCATAACACTGATTCTGTATAGTCACATTGTTTGCCATCTTGAATCGAATAAAAAAACCTTGAATACAGCTGTATTTTTTATTTTAGATACTCAAAATTTAGAGATTCATGAACACAGAAAACAGTTATAAAAAGTTGTAAATTTCTAAGACCGCACAACAAAGTATAATCGCATTCCCCCATTAGGAAAAAATCGAGAGTTATCGCAACCATATCTCAGTCTGAAGTGAAAAAAATATCGACAGAATCAAGTGACATTTTCTATTTGCAAGACTGTACATGCACGCTATTTGGCATGCAGGAAGTGTGTGAAGAAAGCTACTGTGCTGCGGACGCTACTTAAAATCATAATCAAATTTAATAATGTTAGAAACTCCATATCGCAATTGCTTGTCAAACTTAAGCTGTCGATGTCCATCATCCACCACTGAGCATAACCATGCAAACGTTTGTTAAGCCTGGTAGTCGCTGTAACAGCTCAAAACTTTCTTTTAATTTCAGACGTGCTGATTTCGTTGGAGATCAAAAGAAATATAAAATATAAAGATAGATATCTGAGGAACTGTAAAAAATTGGACGACCAGCACTGATTCAAAGATCAGATCACAGATTTCAAAATCTTACAAAAATGATCTTAATTATTAATGTCCAAAAACTTATTCATGTATATTCAAAACAGTTTTGTCTTTTACCGATAGCAATTATTTCACGAAGTTTTAGAAATAAGAAATACAACAATTACTCAATTGATGATAATCAGGTGACTGCGAATTTTTTTTGTACTGTCTTATTTCTATAGACTTTATGTTCAACTTAGCATTGCCAACCATGATATTTTCAACGTCTTTAGGAAGCAAAATAGTAATATTTTCAAAAATAGAGATGATTCTAATTGTATATCCAACTGCATGCCAAATTCTATTATCCCAATATTTTCCAAAGTTTTTCAGTTCTTAATTTATGAATATATTTGGAGAAAGGTTCACAACCTTTCGGTTATTTCGAATGTACGGATAAATCAGAGGTTGACGCAACTTATACCGAGAGTGAGCACCCGATTTTTTTTATGATCCACCATGTATTAAAGCCAAGAAGCTCGAATAGTTATAATGTAAAACTTGGTGCCCCCAAGGATCAATTTTAGGGCCTATACTGTTTTATTGTTACAGTAATGAACTGCCTGACAGCATTTTTAATAGCTGCGAATCAATATTTGCTGATGGTACAGCTGTAATAATATAGGCTCATTCAATGGAAACATTACAACCTAAAGTTATAAAAGTTGTAAATGCGATGAATGCCTGGTGTTGCAGAAATAGGCTTCATGAACAATTCAAAAATTGTTTCTTTCCAGCATCTCCACAAAGATAATATAAATTTTTTCCGTTATTAGCCACACAAATTAGTCTACTTTAAGAGATAAAATATTTTAGTTGTTGCTAAGATTCATCTCTAACATGGAATAAGCAAGTCGATTACGTGTGTAGCAACCTAAACAGCGCCTATTATGCCCCCGCATATTTTCTTCAACACACTTAGCTGGCGGCATAGTACTCAAAGCTCAAGAGCTTTTATTGTACAAAAGCGACTTATCAGCCTTATGTTCAATTTGAACCCCATGGATACCTGCAAGCCTATTTTCATTAAGAACGGCTTGTCAACGGTAAACCTGTGTTTACATACTTCACTATATCATGTTTGTAAAACCTGACTGGGAAGAGTTTGAGTGTCATTTTGCTCAACACAATCGAAACACTGGGCATCGCGACCTTCTACGAATTCCACCACATAAGGCTTCCAAATTCAAAGGTTACCCGTTATACAACTGCATAAAAATGTATAATAAGCAACCATTACATATCAGGTCAATTACAAGCAAGGTAGTGTTAAAAAACCTGTTCTAGGTCTCTACACCTGTGCAGAATTTATGATAGACGAGATAAATGCCGTCTAATTTTTCGACTATCGCGTGTTTTTTTTTATTTTTATTTAATTAATATGTGCTTAAACTTGTGATATATTATTTATCTGTTGTGCTATATACATTTTTAGACTTTTATTTATTACGTGCGTGTGTTTACTTTTTGTCTGTCAACATTATATCAACTATTACTAGTTATTTATACTTTCTTTATGAACCCTTTGATATGTTTATACAGGGTGTCCGCAAAGTTGGGGTTTTCCTTTTCAGAAACAACTACCCTTGAAATAACAAAGGTAATGTGTGGTGAAGCGAGGGCGACCAAGTAAAAAAAAAATAAAGGAAAAAGTACTCACTCTCCAGTTGACGAGAAGGGCTAAGTACGTCTCTGCCCGAAATCATACCGCTCCAACAGAACATGAAATTAGCTGATGCGCTACCGAGCAGACGTAAACAGTCTAGGTACTGCATCCCGTCCAATCGATTTGGGAGAATAAATGGTCCAATGAGCCTACCGTTCACCATGCCAGCCCAAACATTCACCGAAAATGTTTGTTGAAAATGTGCCCGACGGACAGCGTGCGGATTTTCTACTGACCAAACATGAGTGTTTTGCGAAAGTTATTTACCCCATTACGCGTGAACGTAGATTCGTCTGTCACCAATATGCACTTCAAAAAGTCCGGATTATTGTCATGTTGACGCAACAACCACTCACAAAACCGCACTCTTGCTGGAAAATCGTCAGGTTGAAGGGCTTGTACACGTTGGAGGTGAAACGGATACAGCCTCTCTTCACGCAGCGTTTGTCACATTTTAATTTTTGATACTTGCACTTCTCTAGCCATGTCTCTAGTGCTTGTTGTTTTTTGAAACGCAATCGATTACCTCTACACGCGTGACCGTAACCATCGGTTGAAGGTTGCATACTGACCTGACACACTGACCCCGACCCCCGACCCAGTTCTGTCGTCGGGTTGAGCTAGTAGCCGGTACCAGTTGGAGATATCGTGAGTCGCGGCTACAGGACGGTATTAAGATATTTTTGATGTTGCAGAGCCCTTTATCTCGGTTCCCTTAAGACATTGGTGTATATGGTACTAAGAAAAGTTGCTTATGTTTTCAAGATCTACACGTCGTGTAAAGGAAAACCCCAACTTTGCGGACACCCTGTATATCTCTGACTTGCACATATTTGTTACACATTGAAGTGTTCAATTTTTTGGTGATGATTCTCAAATTTATAACCACTTCTATATTAGCAAGATTCAAAACTAAATTCTACGAAATCAAGTGATTATTTTTTCACCTAAGCCTTGTAGAAATCATGTTAAAAACAACTTTAATGTTAATTTAGATGGAGCTACTATCAGAGTTAATCAAGCAGCCAAAAAATTGGGAATTCTTTTTCATGAGTCTCTCAAGTTCATACCTCTTGTAAACAAAGTTACTAAAAGCTGCTTTCCGATATTACGTCAGTTATGCCTGAATAAGTAAATTCTCGTCTATCAATTTGAAAGAATCTTATGCAAATCATTAATTACGTCCAAAATTGCTTACTATGAAAACCCCAACTTTGCGGACACCCTGTATACATTTCATGTATCTTTGGCAAAATAAATACTACTACCACGTTCAAAAAATTATCCGAGATGAAATGATATATCATAGCATCATCTGTGAGAGCTGTCATAGCTATGTTTCTCCTCTCCACAATAACAAGAAATCTACTATGATACATTAACCTTTTCAAAGTACATTTCTAATTATTGCAAATGGAAGAAACTGTGGAAACTGTGACACATTCGAAAAGATGGCGCCAAAGTATCTCATTTAATCTCGAGTCTGTCTGTTCTTCGATAACCGAAATTATCCACGTCGGAATGGAGGAATACATCTCTCACACAGTGAAAGTGCCTAGACCAGGGTCCAACGGCTGGTTTAACAAATCGTGTGGCGCTGCTCGCCAGCAGAAGATCAAGGCACACAGAACCTTCTTACAAAACCCCACTGTAGAGACCAGCGGGCGTTGAGTCCAGAAACAGATATAAAGCAGCGGTTTGCAATGCCAAAAACCAGCACGATATAAAAGTTAGGCACAGGGTAATGTCGCAGCGCAATGGCAGTCGGTCTTTCTGGACGCTGGCCAAGCAGATTGTAAAGAACTTCTCACACAGTAGCCTTCCACCACTTACATGTCAGGATGGAACTATTGTATTCAACTCAAAGGCCAATGCGGAGGTGCTAGCCAAGATCTTTGCTGCCAACTCCATCATGGACGTCCCCCCCCCCCCCCAACGCGTCATTTCAAGGGATTCTATACACTATGCGGGAGGTAACATTCAGGCATAAGACCGTAAGACGAGTGCTCTTGTCGCTCGACATCAACAAAGCTTCTGGTCCGGACTTGATTCCTGCTATTGTACTAAAGAGGTGTGCACCGGAGCTTGCTCCAGTTCCTTCGCGTCTCTTCCAGATATCTTATGAATCCGGTACCTTCCCAGAAAACTGTAAATTTGCTCATGTCCAACCCATCCCAAAAAAGGGATCTAAGACCGACCCTTACAACTACAGGCCTATAGCTCTGCTTTCTGTTTTAAGTAAGGTGATGGAGAGGTGCATAAATCGCGAGCTTCTGGGCTACGTTGATTAGCGACAGGCAGTATGGTTTCCGGCACCAACGATCCACAGGGGACCTCCTAGCTTACGTCACTCAATTGTGAAGTAAACTCATCCAGTCTTTGGTGAGGCTCATGTCGTTGCTCTTGACATCATGAAAGCGGTCGATTAGCTGTGGCACGCTGCCCTCTTAAGCAAACTTCCATCCTATGGCCTCCCAGAAAAGCTTTGCAGATGAGTGGCTGACTTTATCTCTGGCCGCAAGATATCCGTCGTAACTGGTCTTGGCTCCGACACCGTTTCTCTTACAAATCAACGACCTCCTAGTCCTGCACGATCAACCTAATCCACAGCTTCGCTGATGACAGCACTCTACATGCAAGAATTCAGAGTGACAAGCTGATCTCTGCCGCCGAGTTGGAAAAAGAAGACTAGCGATGACTTCCTCTCTGACAAGAGACCTGTAGGCTATCACTGCTTGGGGACGCAACAATCTTGTACAGTTCAATGCTTCCAAAACGCGTCCCTGCGCTCACCCGGTTTCGATGGATGGTCGAGTTCTGCCAAAGAGTCATTCATTTCGGCTGGTCGGAGTCCAGATCACCGAGGACCTAATCTAGCACGAACACATCTCGTCAATAGCTGCAGTCGCTGGGAAAACGCTGGGCTATTTATTTAGGGCTAAAAGTACTTTTCTCCGCACGACCTTCTCATTCTATACAAGGCCCAGATAAGGCCTAGCCTCAAGTATTGCTCACACATTTGGGGTGCTGCCGCCCCGACTACATTGTCCATGCTCGATGCTGTCCAGAGGAGGGCGGTCCGACTGATCAATGACTCTTCTCTAACAGACAGTCTCGGGACTCTTTCGCACCGGCGGGCTGTCGGCGAGCTAGCTCTTTTCTACCGTTACATAAACGGGCTTTGCTTCTCAGAGCTCTGTTCCATGATGCCGCCGCGCGATGTGCCTGCCAGACAGACTCGCTTGACTCTGGCGTCCCATCCTAACCGTGTCGAACTTCGTACATCCAGAACCGGCCGATACGACCGCTCCTTTGTCCCAAGGGTGTCGAGATTGTGGAACAATCTACAAGAGGAAGCTTTTCCCAGTTCTATTAACCTTAGACATTTGAAAAATCGTATTAATAAAATTTCTTTGGGGTCATCATAGCAGCCGCGGTGTTCCGGCATTTAGGCTTCTGCCTGCGCGGCTGTTTCGATATAAAAAAAGAGTAATTTTTTGGATGCCGAAATACTCTACATGGTTGGATATATTCAGGTAAAATATCTTATGTTGATCTTACTCAAATCTACAAGATTTTCTTCCTGTATGGAGAACACCTAATGAGACATATTTGCCTAATAGTAAAACATGGTGGCGGAAACGTTTTAGTATGGGACTGCATGTCGTGGAATGATGTTGGAAAGCTAAGTTTGAGCGAAGCCATTATGAATGGAAACAAGTATGCTGATATTTTGCGCAATAACTTAAACAGCAGTGCTGAAAAAATGCGGATCAGATGAACATTTGATAATGACAATGATGTTCCTGCAGAATAGCCCAATCCCCGAATATCAATCCCACTAAACGTACCAGAAATAACTCTGTAATTCTATGTCACGATGACTGCAAGCCATAATTGATGCAAATGGTATGATAACAAAGTACTATACATACATTTTGTTTAAACTTGTTTATTTTTTTACATTTGAATTTCATCATTCCTATTACTATTCTTATATTCTGTTTATCTACTAAATGTTGTTCTTCTATCATCATAAAGCCCATTCTACAATCCATGATGTTTTTAAAATTTTATTGTGAGAACTTGTATTAAGTATACTTACGACGACGGATTAAAGCTTTGTTCCAGGTGCCAAAAATAACGCACGTAAAATCTTAAGGCGTTGCAGTTTGCAATAACAGTTTAGGACAAGTTAGTTTCACATGGATGGTACATGATTTTAAGTAACGACAGCAGATTATTAGGTGCATATAATATCCACAAAAAGAAAAACATATTTCTGTCAGTAAGCCTGCCATGGGCTGTTTCTTAACCACATTCAAATCCGTTTAATCATAACCAGTTTTATTCACACAATGTAAGGTGTTTTAGCACGACAATTTAGTCTATAGAAAATCATAAAATGTTTGTAATATGAATGTGTTCATTAAACATCAGTGCTAGGGATGTTGAAATAGCCAAAATATCAAATGTAGAAAAAGGATACAATTAAACTATTCCTCAACCACATTTCATTAGTCTGTTTGACTTGCCGCAACTATAACTTACAAAGAAATTCGACACATGAAGATAGACATGGGATATTCTTATGTTTAATGTCAATAGACTTCGATAGTCAATTGTTAAAATTTTATTACTACACATTAAACCAACCCATACGTGGTACAGTTGATCGAATCAGTAAGACTAAAAACTCTTCATTCACGAATATTAGTCACTAACATTAAGAGTGAAATACCTACAAAATGTAGTTTGTACGAGCCCCTTCCCACTTCAGTTGGCCCAACTATTGAAATCTTAGTTTTTTTCTTATCAAACACAAATAATAAAAATGTAGCAGGGTGTTATAGGTTTAAAATATTACCAATGAATGTTTTGATAATATATAGTAGAAAACACCAACTTTATCACTCCCTAATCAAATTTGCAGCATAAAAATAACACATGTTGCAATTACAGCATATCAAGCTATTTTCATTTCAATGCAAAATAAGTCTATAACGCATAGGTGGCTGTGAAAAATAAAAGCCATGACAATTGTTTTTATTAATCACAGCTGCCAGAAAACGTTTAAAATAGTTTTGGGTAGTTAAGGTTTTCAAAATGGGTAGAGGAAAGATTATTAGCGAGAAAATTCGGTTACTGATAATTATTTTTTTTAATTCTGGGAAATCAAACTCGAAAATTGCAACTTTGCTAGACTTACCGCGGTACAGTGCGAGAAATATTGTTAGAAGATATAACGTAACTGGTTCAGTTAATATTAAGCCACGATATGTGAAAAAAGTAATATCACAAATGCCGACCGAAGAGCATTAAGAATAATAATCGTGAAAAACAGGCGTGCCAATTATTTACAATTAAGTGCTCTGTGGAGTGACGCTGTTGGAAGGAGAATTTCGAGGTCCACAACTCATAGAGAGGCCCACAAACTGGGATTTAGCACTTACAAGGTAAGTTTTCTCATAGAAAAATGTGAAGTAAAAACCCTAAAATTGCACAACTTGTTTATAGGCCAAATAAAAGCCACTATTAACTCCACTGCAAAAGAAAAATCGGCTTAGATGGACATAGACAATGGACACCTCAACAATGGTATGCAATACAATGGAGTGATGAGGCCCGATTCGAAGTTTGTGTTGGTGACAGTCGCAGTAGAGTTTCTCTCAAAAAAAATGAAGCATTCCATGTTGACTGTCTGAAGAGAAAAGTGAAATTTCCAGCATCCATTATGGTCTGGGGCAGTATGTCATCAAAAGGAGTAGGAAAACTTCATTTTATTGATGGAAATGTGGATACAAACAAATATTTGGCAATTTTAGAAGAGTCGCTTTTACCAGTGATGGAAGAATGTTTGACATCCGGCCAAGATTTTGTGTTTCAGCAAGATGGTGGAGCGTGCCATACCTCAAAAAAGGCTATAAAATGGATGGAAGAAAATAATGTACCACTTTTGAAATGGGTTTCTAGCAGTCCAGATCTGTCACCTATTGAAACTTTGTGGCACGAGATGAAAAAGTTCTACGACAACATCCTGCTCGTACAATCACCGAACTGAGACAAAAGCTTATGATGGGATTCTTTTACACCAAATTTTTGCCAAAACTTGGTTAACACTATGCCCCAAAGAATTTCAGCCGTAATAAAAAATAAAGGTGATGTTACACAATGGTAATCTTTCAATTGTTGCTTTGTTAACTTCGCGCATTTATTCGCACATTGTTTATTTGTTCAGATGTTCTATTAGTTATAGGTGTAAGTGACTTCAAATATGTATTTTTTACGACTAGAGTGTATCTAAAATGTTTTTGAGAAAATAAATTGTTTTAGAAGTATATAGTTTCGCCATGTTTAGTTTATAAAGGCATATTTTGGTACAAATCTTGAAGGGGGCCAACTGAAGTGGGAAGGGGCTCGTAGTTATCTGAGAGGCATTAAATGTGTGGGAAAAAATGTAGAAAGTCCTCTAAAATGCAATGCATCGAGAAGGGGTTAATTTATCATCTTGGACGCAGAGTCGCCACATATTCCACTTTTTTAAAAGTACAATTTAATTATATAATATACTATATCCATATTCACCAAATTCCATTTCAACCTCAACCATCCATTATTGGATTTTTCAACGTCTCTTTTAAATGTTCACAAAATTAGCAAACCCGAACGATAACATTTCTAACACGCTTTAATTGGCTTAAACTTAACGTAACGGAATCTTTCAACCCAAATTTCACCAATTCTAAGATGTCTGATTAACTTGAAAATTTGCACAAGTGCCGATGACAATATATCGGTCTTGGAAAACAATCGAATCTGATGTATTTCAATAATTGGAAAATTTGGAAAATAATTTTAGGAAATTTTGAAAAAGAATTTAAAATTTCGAAATCAAAAAATGGAATAAAATATAATGAACATCGAAGCTCTTGATTATAAGTACTGTCGTTGTCGTTTCGAGACTAATTTAAAGTAAAGAGTAAAACTAAAAAAATGCTTTGAAATAGCAAATTGATCTAAAAAGTAGAAACAAAAGTGTAAAATAAAATAATTTTCAAGTATGGGATAGTTTGTGTTTCTGCAATGGAAAGTCCAACAATCTAGTATGACTAATTCATTTGGACAACATAAAAATACGATGTTAACAAAAAATTCAATTACAGTAGAAAATCAGTGGGGTGCAACAAACTATATTTTCATAATAACTCCAATTTTATAAATAGTAAGAAAAAAATGATTCTAACATTTAATACCAAGTACCCCACGCTTTTTTTCTCAACTTTTATATTCATCTTATTCCAACTGAATTAGTCAGATATCATTGTTGATCTTTCTATTGCAGTAACACAAACTCGAATTGCTATTGAAGTATTGTTTTTTTTTTGTTTTTTAAACTATAATTTATTACAGTAAAATATTGCATTAGCTACTCTCAACAACCACATGAATAAAGCAAAAACAAACTTACCAGTCTCTCTGATCCCTGGTGATTCTAGCATGGCGTCAGCCAATTCCTCCTTTAGTTGATTTTCCCCACCACTCGATTGTATATAGTTCTTACGAAATGCGTCTAAAAACAATTGTTCAGAGCTATTTGCTGATCCAGCTTCTATCGTAATAGCATTGGATTTGGATACTGGTACATTGATTGCACTTGATGGAGTCAAGTCCAGTGGTTTAGCTTCAGCCATTGCCGCTGGCGAGCTGGAAAAGATGATTCAATCAAAATAACCTGTTTGTGGATTATCATAAAGCAATTTTAAGGGATCAACAATGCACCTTATTACTTTTTAAATTCTGTACAAGAAACAATGCATGACTCGAAGGAAACACAGTAGTTCTATGCCATCTGATATTGTTTTTTTTTTCGATGATAACTTTTTACGGAAAATTATAAGTCACAGAAGACACAAAACAAACACAAAAGGCACAACATAATGAGAAAGGGTTATGTTATATGCAAACCACCACCTGTGTTATTGGTCTCAAGTATCAGTTACAGTGATGTCATGAAGTGCCAGTTCATGACGTAATCATTTGACAGATGTTACAAACCGCGTCACTTAAAATTAAAAGATTAAAACCAAGCACGACCGGTTATGACTGGTAGATCGCTTAAAATTGCTTTGTCTCTCAGATGACATCAACCGCTGCCACCAAAGGAAAAACTTGTACTTTGTAAAGTCTGTGAAAATTAAAAGCTCGTCAATTTTGGCATAGCTTGAACATCGTTTTAAAAAAAACTGATCTTAAAATACTATGCGGGCAACGTTTTAGTTTTAATTTAGATACCTGGTGATCTAAAAAAATTACGATGTTTAACCGAATTTTGAAGCGTATTTTTTCAACAGCCTACCTGGAGGAGTATTCTCAATACTCGTCTGATTGTTCCATGGTATGTATAGATATGACCGAAAAACAATGTTATCACTTTCTTTTATGTATTTTTTTGGCATTGTTTATGCATTTTTTTCTGCAATCGTAACTTGTTAACAAATAATAGTACAGCTCTAAAGTTGTATGTGAATATTCCACTTTCATGGAAGAATGAAGCAGGTGATCACTTGTTTTCTTATCAGTTTCTTTCTTCAAAAATTCTTTTCTTTTCTTGAAAACTCAATCTGCTGCAACATGAGGTTTTACGAATATCAAAGATTTTTTGAAGAGAAAATGAGATAAGAATAAAAGTGATCACCAGCAATAAATTACAATTTTTTGCCCGGGCGGTATTTTTCAGGTATTTTGGATCATTCAGGCCTCCAGTAACTTTTCTCTAAAGTTGACTGTTTTCTAGTTAATAGCGATTCAATGTCCGAAAATCCCCAAAATTGGGTATATTCAATGCTCAGATATTTGGTTGAAAATTATGATTTTTTACGTGGACGAATATCTAAATTAAAGTTACAAGCCTGCTCTACTATGAAATGTATTTTTAGATTAGTTTATTTTGAAGCGATTTTTAAGTTTGTTTATTAGGCCAAAATTGGAGATTTTTGGATTTTCGCAGACTGCACAATCTATGTAAGTACTATGCAGCTCGACTGTACGATGACTGATGGAACGCTGGTATTGTAGTTCTACATGAAGGAAAATGCAACGGACAATCTGGCAAAATGGAGATAAAATACATCTGCTGCTTACTCGATAAATAATGTGTTGCTAGTCATAATCGAGCCACGTCCTCCATATTATAAATCATTGTCTAATGAACGGACTATATGATGGAAAGAAGCACTAGTATTACCTCTTGCAAAAAACAGTTATCCCACATCAAATGCTGATTTAAGACAAATTAGTATCCTACATGTGCAATAACACTAGCAATTCCTGATTTTACTAAGGCATTTGATACTCCAAATCATGTAAATTTCATGGTTCCGATTCGTCTACTATGATGACTGGTTTTTTAGCGAATCCCTCTCAATGAGTTACTATTAATATGAGAGAGTCGCCTAAGTGTGCCATTTCATCTGGAGTACCCAAGGTTCTGTACTCGGGCCACTATTTCCTTAATTTATACAGGGTGTCCGCGAAGATGGGGTTTTCCTTTTCAGAAACAACTACCCTTGAAATAACAAAGGTAATGTGTAGTGAAACGAGGGCGTCCAAGTAAAAAAAAATAAAGGAAAAAGTACTCACTCTCCAGTTGACGAGAAGGGCTAAGTACGTCTCTGCCCGAAATCATACCTCTCCAACAGAAAATGAAATCAGCCGATGCGCTACCGAGCAGACGCAGACAAACAAGGAAGGCAAAATGTTGCGTAAAAAGTCTAGGTATTGCATCCCGTCCAATCGATTTGGGAGAATAAATGGTCCAATGAGCATACCGTTCACCATGCCAGCCCAAACATTCACCGAAAATGTTTGATGAAAAGTTTCCCGAGGGACAGCGTGCGGATCTTCTACTGACCAAACATGAGTGTTGCGAAAGTTATTCACCCCATTACGCGTGAACGTAGATTCGTTTGTCACCAATATGCACTTCAAAAAGTCCAGATTATTGTCATGTTGATGCAACAACCACTCACAAAACCACACTCTTGCTGGAAAATTGTCAGGTTGAAGGGCTTGTACACGTTGGACGTGAAACGGATACAGCCCCTCTTCACGCAGCGTTTGCCACACTTTAGTTTTTGACACTTGCACTTCGCTAGCCACGTCTCTAGTGCTTGTTGAGGGATTCTCGTCTACGCGATTACCTCTACACGCGTGACCGTTACCGTCGGTTGAAGGTTGCATACTGACCTGACACACTGACCCCGACCCAGTTCTGTAGTCGGGTTGAGCTAGTGTCCTAGTACCACTCGGGGATGTCGCGGCTACAGGACGGTATCAGATATTTTTGATGTTGCAGAGCCCTTTATCTCGGTTCCCTTAAGACATTGGTGTATATGGTACTAAGAAAAATTGCTTATGTTTTCAAGATCTACACGTCGTGTAAAGGAAAACCCCAACTTTGCGGACACCCTGTATATCTCTGACTTGCACATATTTGTTACACATTGTAGTGTCCGATTTTTTGGTGATGATTCTCAAATTTATAACCACTTCTATATTAGCAAGATTCAAAACTAAATTCTACGAAATCAAGTGATTATTTTTTCACCTAAGCCTTTTAGAAATCATGTTAAAAACAACTTTAATGTTAGTTTAGATGGAGCTACTATCAGAGTTAATCAAGCAGCCAAAAAATTGGGAATTCTTTTTCATGAGTGTCTCAAGTTCATACCTCTTGTAAACAAAGTTACTAAAAGCTGCTTTCCGATATTACGTCAGTTATGCCTGAATAAGTAAATTCTCCTCTATCAATTTGAAAGAATCTTATGCAAATCATTAATTAAGTCCAAAATTGCTTACTATGATATAATTTACAATGCATTTAAAGATACAATTTCTCTTTTGCATTTACAAACAATTCAAAATTCATGTAGCAGAATAATGAATAATTTGATAAAATATGACCATATAAGCGGTTCTTTGAGAGACTTGGTCTGGTTCAAGGTGAGAGAGTTATATGGGTGACATATATTAGATAATACTCATACTACTGTTACTACTATGCTATGGACGCAAAAGCTTTGTAGTTTTTCAAAATCGGTCCAGTGGCGACGGTGGAAAAGGCAAAAAACAAAAAAAATAAAAATCGCTCAAACCTCATTTTTTGACGTTTCAGAGGAACCTGATCATTTATGAACAAAATTTTTACAAGTAAAAAACTTGTTGGTATGGCTTGTATCTAATATCAGTATGCTGGGTTGCCAAATGGTCAGCGAGATACGGTAAGATGAGCAACACCATAGATTTGAAAACCCGCTGGACACTTGTTTTTGGTATTTTTCACATGCCCACTTTTTGCCAGGTAGCCAATAGCACCTCCCTTCCGTATGGAAATGTGGTACTAGTGCTTCAGCGGCCATTTTCACAGGCGACGACGAAGGGATCTAAAAAGTAACTTACCCGCTAGTAGTGTAGGTCTTGAAAGTGAACTGAGGACCCATCCAAAGCCTTCTATGAGGACCAGCATGTGTAACGATTTCAACCTGAGATAGCCATTCATCCACGTCTGGCCTGTTCTTCTTAGTAGAGCTTACATCACGACTAAAATAGTTGAAGTATTCTGGGGATATTGGTAGAGGCTGGTCTACAGAGCCAGGGAACCTTAAACAGATTTTAGAATTTTTAAGTTATGTTCTTGCTTTTAGTATACGAGATTACTAGTAATTTGATGTATTCCTTACGGGGAATATAAAGCGCAACCACTCTTAGCTCAGTAAATGAACAAATTTGACCTAACAAAAATTCTATATATATACAATAAATTGTTAATTGGGAAATTGGCAAAGTTTTTTTAGGCTTTAGTAAACTCTTTTAACGGTAATCTCGAGCTTTCGGCTTCACTTTGGAGCCATCTTCAGGAGCTGAAAACACAAATATGAAGCTAGCAACCAATACGGGAAGGGTTTAAATTATCAGACAACTTACTCGTCGCTGAGGTTGCAGCAAAATGGTGTTTCAAAACGAAAGCGTGGATGAGAGCACTTGTTACAAATATAAAACCAAACAGATGGACACATTGGGTTTATTGATAACGACGGAAACCATCGTTAGGTGTTAACACTATATATCAATACACCCGAACACATTAAAAATTATCGAACTGCAATTTTGGGGGAAATATATATATATATATATATTATATAGGCCGGTTATAGCCACTTGCTGTGGTGCTTCAAGCCCAAAGGATCTACAAAGAGAAAATTATCATTCGGAGAAAGGTATACAACAAAAATAGGAAAATAATGGGCAAAATCTGGAAAAAGTGGATTCGAGCAGAAAATAGGATAGGTAACCCGAGCGATACGTATTTCTGCTGGTTGGCTTCATCAGGCCCGAAATGAATGCACATATGCAACTGCCAAAGTAGATACACATGCCCATACATCCGGATACGGCTGAGGCAACGAAGATGGAGAGGAAGAAAAAGACACACGAAGTCCACAACAAGAGCCAACCTACACATTGTAGTATAAAATGGCTAGAAGACCTCGAATTTTCAAGGCGACAAATAACCACAACCATGCGTTATTTTTCACCTAACTGGTTTAGACGACAATGACCACGTCTCGTATATATCGTATATATTACGAAAAGTTCCGGATGATACCATACAGGAACTGGATATTGTTCAAAATCTATTTGATTTTTGCTTTTTTTATTACGGTACTGTAAATACTCGTATTACATAAAACGGTTATTAAGACAAAAGTTGTTCTTACATTATTTTCATATCTACGTTCGGTCACAAGATTATGGGAATTCTCTTACGAGCTCTCATTAGGCCATGCTCCTTTTAGGGTTTTGAATTACTTTTTTGAACCATTTACCAAGCTCCACAATTAATCAAAATTACAAAAAAAGAAAAAGCTAAATTTTATCGTGAATATATCCCTCCCAATCGCTGTTTATAGAATCAAAACTTTTAGATATAAAAAAATTATTTTGGTATAATGTTATACTAGAATTCCATAAAAACAAACTTTGGGCCATTCATAAAAATTATTAATATAATACTAGAAATAAAAATAAACAAATCATTATTGTAACACCAAAAAAAAAGAAATAATGTTGAAATCTTCTATATACTTAGGTACACAATTATTTCATAACTTACCAAAATATATTGGAAAAAACCGGATATCATGATTGAAAATAGATTTATACGAGTGGCTATTGAATACGGTATAAACATGATGTAATTTATAAAAAACTAACATATAAATATATTTTCTTCATTGCTAACCTACGATACAAAATAATTAATGTACATATTATATTTATATTGTATAGATTTTTTTCATCCTCGGCAAATATTGACCTCTTAATTGCAATTGTAAGTGTGCATCCGCTTTCTAACTTCTCATTTTACGACATTTGAGGTACAAGGACCCCAGTTGTTTGGGCACATTTGGTATACGCTAAGAAATTGCTCCAGTATGATGCATTCCCTAAAGCTTTATCGGTGCCCGTTTTACGTGTATGTGTAGCTGGTCAATAGCCCCAAAGACGTAGAAGATTCGGCAAGCATAAACTGTGAAAGTCAAGTTAATTGACTCCTTTCGCATCTCTCACATAGTTTGTTTATGTTTATTATATATGTCCAGTAATGGGTGATTGTTCAAAAATAAATATAGAAAAATTTCTTAAGCTACTGACTTTCGCCCATACAAGTATAGTGTGAAAGTTGCATTTTAGGTCCCCTATCACGCCTTGGAAGGAATACAGTGAATTACCAGTAACCCTGTATAATCGTTTTCAGAATGCAGTGTTTGCTCACCATACCGTATTACCACAGTATCGTCGTGCCATAAACGCAGCTTAATTTTGCTGGTGACGGAACGCTCTGTACACGACGGACGGCAACGCGGTACATATACGAGGTCTGAAAATCAAGTAGTGAGAGTACCAACGTAGCGTTCGATCTGGCAACACTGGAGGCGCCAAGCTTTGAGTAGAGTCAGGGGAACATGTCATCCGCCTTCAGTACAAGTTTGTGTTCTAAAAATGAGTCACATCAATTTCGAGCAACGGTGTGCTATCAAGTTTTGCTTCAGACTTGGGCACAGTGAAACGGAAAGTAGGCCTACGGAGATAGTGTTTTGACAAGAGCCCAGGTTTTTCAGTGGTTCAAGGCATTTTCGGAATCCAGATCCGGAGTCTTGTGAGTTCAGATCATCGGTTGACAGTCACGATGATTGGGAAAGTATTAAATTTGATCACCCAAGGGAACTAACTCATTTTGGGGCAGTTGAAAACATTCAAACGGGTATAACCGACCAGCTGAACGCTATTCCAGTATCGGAGTTCCCGCACTACTATGAGGAGTGTAAGTTGTTTTGAGGGTGACAATATAAAACTATAATTATATATAAATGAAAAAATCAGTCTCATCACTTGATTTACAGACCTCGTAGGTCTGTTTACCGATTTTGCGACAGCGCTTCGTGAATTTTAGCTTATCCTAGTCTACTATATGTCATCTAAATGGGGCTTCTTTGAACATTTCGAAAGCCTTTAGAATGACAGAGGTAACTTATGTGGAGTAGGTTATGTCGAACTGTGCTAGTTGTCAGCGGATTCAGTCGATAACAAGCGATAATGGGCAACTTAGCTAAGTTATACCTCACGCAGCACTAGCTGGCAGCAGCTGATCATAACCCATGGTTACATTCATCACAACAGAGTGCTTGATAAACAAATTGAGGGAAAACGGAAGGAAAGAACGGAAATATAACTTATGAGAATAAAACAATCTCTATTTAGACACTGAATTACCAGAGGTCCATTGCATGCTACATAATTGTAAAATTTCAATTAAATATGTACCTATAACATTTTTAGTCTTTTAAATTTAGATCCGAAAGCTGACAACTGACAAGCCCCAACATCGCTTCTGAAATGACGTGCAAAATGACTCGAGTATAATCAACTATAATGGCAGATAAGAGCTTAACTTTTTCAACTATGGGAAATTGCACCTTGCCAAGCTGATCACAGCTGCACTCGCTCTTGCACAGGTAAGAAAGGGCCGTTCATTCACTATCTGTGAATAGTGTGAGCTTGAACTGTTCACACACAAAGATATATATAATATATATGCATGAGATAGGAAAGCGAGCTTTACTGTGATCCGCAAAAATCGGTAGAAAGACATAAATCATATGAAAAGGGGAGACAAGATTTTTTTGTTGATTTTTTGGAAATCTGGTTCTTTTGATATACTATTTTACAACGCAGTTGATCAGCTGCTTCATGCCATGTTGCATACACTCCTAATGTGATCTTGGTATCATACGGTATAGTGGGCAACAACCATTATCCAACACATAAAGTTGTAGATAGGTAGTGATTTTGAGATCTTACCTTTGCAGAACCCACTGAGCCTTTGCACAAACTGTCAACTCAATTGGCGTTTCACTACACACTTTTTCTTTGGGAACATTGGAAGCTTGGTGAGGTTCCAGGTCGTACTGAATCAGCATTCCATGACTAGATATTATGAATAACGACTGCATAGGTCTTGCAGGTTTATTCATGGTAGTTTCTCGGGGTTGGTTGTCAATCCAGGCTCTAGGTGGGGCGAAACAACTGGCCACCTAGACAAGCAAAACAATGTTTATTAAAGTATTACTTCTGAAAAGAACACGTATTGCCCAAGGGCAAAATTACTGAAGTATTTCCATGTTATGATGTGCGTTAAATGAAACACATACATATTAAAAATTACGCTCATTTCAAAATATTAATACATTTAATCGGCAACGTCGTTTCTTTGTGTATTTGTCGTCTAGGTAACAGTTCATTTGTCTTGGGTTCCAACAATAGTATGAGCGGTCCCAAATCCCGACGAGACCGGGTGGCACCGCTCAAACCCGGCGATGTCCAAGACCACCCAGCGATGGAGTTTCATTTAACCGGCAGTGAAACATGGAAATGGATCAGTTAGATAACCACAGTATAAGTTTAAAGAACTATATTAATATCGAGAGTAGTTCACGTCACCGTGTACCTCGCGATTCAAGTGCATTATCATGGCTCACTTAGTTGGGATGATGAGATATCATCTTATTTGATAGCGAAATTGACGGCCTCCAGTTCAGCCGCGTGGTGATAATAGTAACGGGAGCCATCAGGGAAAAAATAAGTAAGTTAGAAGGAAAAATTGTTAAAAAACAAGTAAACAATGAGTAGTTTGTAAGTTTTTCTCTAGCTATGTTATTGATACGAAAAAAAATAAAGAGCGGAGGGGAGAGCTTCCAGTTGTCTCGGTACATCAAAATAATATTGATTCTATTCTTCAATTTATTGAAACACTTTAGGGTACCTGAGCGTCTAGCGGGACTCATTATATTATCAAATAAATATAAATATTAAATATTATATATATAGTATTCATAGTTAATTGCCTTAACCGTTAGGAGAAAATATCCTTGAACTTGAAGTTAATCTCTTTTAACTTAAAACTCAAGCTCCCCATGGTGTATGCCATCATCATCAGGAGTTAGGCTAAGCACATAGTGGAGCGGAGAGCAAAGCAGCGCCGAGTGCGGCGAGCAACGAGTAAACGGAACAGCGAGTTGATGAAAGTGAAGGTGGCATATACTGACGAGTTTATAAGCGAGTGTCTTTCAACGAGATGGAATTGTTAATTGAAAATTCTTGCTTAAAAATATGGTATTTACTAATAAGAAAAAGCCCAGAAGCTGTAGTGTACATGAGATAAACCGTAGTAGGCATACACTTGGTGAATTTCACCACCTATACAGTGAGTTGCGAGAACATCCAGCAAAGTTCCATGCTTATTTCCGAATGAGTATTGCAACATTTGACTACATTTTGGGGAGAATAGAAAATAAGCTATTAAAGAACTGGACAAATTTTAATTTAAATCCTATAAGTCCTACAGAACGTCTTACGATTACTTTGAGGTAAGTAGGTACACCAAATATTCAAACTTATATAATTAGTAAATACTGTAAAGCTAGTGAAGAGTTTCATCGGAAAAATTGCTTAGATAGGAGGCAACAGAGGTGGGATTTGAATATTCCTGGGATACAGTTTGCAACTCCGTAACATGGTAGGCCATAGGCTCCTATGGTGTGCTGCATAAAACTTCTGAAGAGTTTTGGTACTGATTTTGCGAAGGATTTGATTCAGCTCCGTAAACGAAATTGTAGACCAGCTCCTGCATTGTCATTCTCAATAGCATTTTTTTGCGCGGTGGAAGTGTTCTAACATGAGGAAGTAAGCTATCAAAAAAGTTTGAATCTTCATCGACGGTTCTTACTTGCTGATTTTGTAACATTTTTAATTTAGTTTCCTCAATTCTAACAAGGGCCGTGCCGATATCTTTATCGTTTTGTTGTTTTCTCACTTTGCTAGGCTTAGTGAGAGTCGCGCCGGGGGTCGTGGCCGATATATTTTCGTTTTCTAAAGGTAACTGGCTTTCATTTACAGATTTTTCGTAATCATCAACTTCAGTCTCAGTATCTTCATTCAAAATGGTATCGGCCATTTCATTAGGTAAATTACCACCACTGGATCGTACAGTAAACTGATCTCTCAAAAACACACAGGCTGTCGAAATATTGCCAAGATGAAACAGTTGATTGAGCAGCCCCGTCTCCAGACCGTTTCGCCGGTATTTTTTTCATCTCTTTACGAAAATTGTCCCGAAGCGTTTTCCACTTGCCTCTCACAACATTTCCTAAAATAAAATATTTAAGCATTAATGTACAGTGCTTCTTTATTCTCTATCAATGGAATTAACACAGCCAAATTTTGTTTACACTTTTGTCCTGGAACGAAGTGGAAGTCAAAATTCTGTACAATCGTAGTATGACACTTTAGCTACTTAATGCATAAAATTTGCGTTGGTAGCGTCACTACAATAAAAAAACAACTATATATTTTGTCACAAAAGATAATTAAGTTGAACGACTATTTTCTCTCTTTCCAGATATTTAGCCACAGGCTCCTCATTTAAAAGCCTGGGATTCACCTATCGAGTAGGAGCTTCAACAGTTTCCTCAATTGTTCGAGAAACAGTGGTAGTAATGTGGGAATCATTACAGCCTGTACATATGAAAATTCCCACCGAACAACAGTTTACACAAATTGCCAAAGAATTCTATGATAAATGGAATTTCCCTAACTGTCTAGGAGCTATCGACGGGAAGCACATTCGAATAAAATGTCCTCATCACTCGGGAAGTATGTACTATAATTATAAGAATTATTTCTCCATTGTACTTCAAGCAGTCGCTGACGCAAACTGTAAGTTGGTTACAATTGACGTTGGGGGATACGGAAAGCAGAGTGATGGGGGTACTTTCCGTTCTGCTTCCTTGTTTCATTTGTTAGATACTGGACGTCTGAACGTTCCCCTAGATAGTGTTTTACCTTCAAGCGCAGTTGTAGCTCCTTATGTGTTTATTGGGGATGAAGCATATCCATTATTGAGAAATCTGCTTAAACCTTACAACAGAAGAAATTTGGATGTTGATAGAGAGTATTTTAATATGCGGCTTTCAAGAACAAGGAGGACGGTAGAATGTGCATTTGGCATCATCAATGCTAAATTTCGCATTCTCTGGAAACCTATAGAAATCTCTCCGGAGTGGGCTGATAAAATTATTAAATGTATTTGCCTATTACATAATATTATAATCGACAAGGAAGGATTAGATATTAAAAATGAAATAGTAATGCCACATTCTGAAACAGCAGACGGATCCCGACAAAATAACAGATCAACTGATACTGCGAATTTTGTTAGGGAAACTCACAAAATGTTTTTATGTCAAAATAAAATTTGAGAAGCCAAATAACTATGTATATTATCGCTGTAAAACTGAATAAATGTTTGTTATACGCACTTACTTGTAGAGTTCATTTCTTTGGCCACCGCATCCCACAACTTATCTAATATAAATCGATTATGGTGTTGAGGGTCCTTTTGATCCCAGAGAGCTTATTTCATAAAAATACTAGTTATTAGTTCTTCGGTGTTCATTTTTCAATGTATACTATAAGCGATTACAGCAAAGAAAACAAACTTGTTTGAACGCTCTGCTTTGCTCGACTATAACAGCGCTTATCGCATCTCCGACGTTAGCCTCACTATGTGCGTTCAGATTTAAAAAACGTAACTTAATTTCGCTGCTTTGCTCGCCGCTCTCATCGCTGCTTTGCTCTCCGTTCCACTATGTGCTTAGCCTAAGTCGCCAAGATTGTTGTTGAAATTGTTCTTAGAAGAAAGTGGTATATAAGAAAGTATAACAAATAGAAAAAATAATGGGCTAAATCCGCTAAAAGAAGAAAAGTAGATACGATCAGAAAATAACCCAAGCAATACGAATTTCGGTTTGTTGGCTTGATGAGACCCGAGATGAATGTACATATAACAACAAGCAGAAATACGTATTGCTCCAGTTACCTATCCTATTTTCTCCTCGAATCCATTTTCCTTCTTTTTGCGCGTGAGTGAATAAAAACGTACACGCCGAACATCTGAAAAGTGAAAATGAGAAAAATGAGTGCGTGGGCACTCAACATCCCGTCGAGATGCGCGGCGAGTGAACTACTCCACTATTGTCCTCTGAGAGCCCTCCTCCAACGGCATGCCATGATAACTGCCGTATATTTCAGTCGGTTAGTTTAGGAAGGGAATAATTTAAATGGTTAGTACCCAAATATGCATTTGAACGACACAACACAATAAAATATGATTTATTCTTTATACGGGGGTTGATTCCAATGTTCCGCCATTATATATCTGCAGATAATGAATGAAAAATAAGTGATCTTAGTAGGATACTTTAAAAAAGTAGGTACTCAGTTTGTAGGTCACAAAGGCACACGTACACTGACGAAATTCAAAAGAAAAATTGATGTAGAACAGACCATGTGATCAAATAGTGCAATTTTCTGTACAAGTTCCACATTAAAACACAGAAATAACGCGTTCTGCTTTTATATGAAAAGCATCGTCTGACATTCAAATTTAAGCGAAACGCGTCACGACTTATCCTGTGAAAGATGAACTGCAAATTTTATTATTCGATCACAATCACAATCTATAAACATAAAACAGAGATCTTCATATGTCCAGCCGGTGACACTCGCAGATAGTGGGCCAGGAAACGTATGTTGTCAAAAAATAGGATTTGATTTTTATTCAGAATGTCGATACAACGTGACGTGAACGTGACCATACATTTCGTGTCCAACTGACAACGTTAGAGAATAAAGATTATTTTCCTATCTGCCAGTAGCCCAACTTCCATGACTGTAGTCGCGTCATATTCTAAGGACAATGACATATACGCTAATTAAACCCAAGAACATACAAATTTTATCCACGACCGGCTATAGGGCGAGTCAAGCTTTTAAGTAAACATTAAGCTAAATAAATCAACTGCACAGTATCAACGTGTGCCGGTAGTTTAAGCAGTTGGCTAGCAACAAATAAATGTGAGCAGTTCTCGTGGTCGATGGACGTAGGTCAATTTCAATTTAAAAATAGCGCGCGCTTAAGTTACTCTACCGTCCTATAAGCTCAAAAGCGGAGATTTATTCTTACAATACATTTCACCGGCCAGTCATAGATAAAACTTATTACGTCATGTTAGAACTTATTACGTCACACCTTTGGGGCGAAGTTTTGCGTTTGAACACATAACATACACTTTTTGAAAAAAATATTGATATTTCGTAAAATCACCCCATTCTTACCTCTAAATTCATATATGCGATGGAATTAGTATGCACTGATGAGAAGATACCATATGAACATTCTTTCTATAGAGTTAGACATACGTGAGTTCAGAAAAATGATATTACTTTGAAATAATGGGCCCGTTTTCTTTGAATAAAAGGAATATCCATTTCCGTTTTCAAATTTTTGTGGTAGGTCATTATTTATCATTTTTAGTGCTGCAATGTTACTTAAATACGTTTTGACGTCTATTGGGCTGAATAGCTGATCAGCAAGTGACATCTCTTTGTATTGAAGTCAATAATGAATTTGGTGAAACTCAGGACTGTAATCAGAAGTATTTACACCAAACGTATTTGTTTCGTAACCACTTGAGATGTTTTCCGGTTTTGGGTAGAAACGATAGATCATATTGCATTTTAGCGGAGGGGAGCGAGATTTGTGAATGTAATTAAATACAGGGTGAGTTTTTAGTGTTAGTGTGGGCTCGGTCGATAACTCTGGTATTGCGCATAGTATCTAAAAAAGTTAATTACATAAATTGTAGCCAACAGTTTGCTCTTTACTTAAAAAATAATTTTCATATCTACAGGGTGATTCATAATTATGCGGTGATCCAAACATGCACTTTTTTAAATGGAAATCATTACATTTTTATTAGAGATTTGGTTACACCCTTTCACGCGAAGCAATTTGGTTCTATTTCCAAATAGTTGAGATATTTGACAATTATATCGAGTAAAACACTGAGCTTTTACACCTCGCAACTATTATAGCTAAAGTACTGAATTTTTCGTTAAAAAAAAAGCCATATTTTGTTCCTACCCAGTTCCTTTTTCAGTTTTTTGAACAGTTTTACAGGGTGATGAACGATTTCTCAAAAATTTTAAGTGCAATGTTCATTTTCACATTCCTCGATTCTCCTTTCCAGAAACATTCCTTGATTCTCCTTTCCAGAAACATTCTTTTGACATAAGGCTGTTGGGGTTTTGTACGACCGGTTTTTGGGTTACAGCTAACCTGTTTGTAGATCAGATGTCAAGGCGAATGAACAATATTACAATACATTTAAAATTGAAAAATAGCATTTAGTTTTGTAACGGCAAATCGTGAGATTTGGCGTATTTTCATTATAAATTAAACCTACAATATAGTCGAAAAGTCAAAAGGTGTCCCTACGTTTTTAGTAACTCAAGCACCAGTCATTCAAACCCTCATAAACCGTATATCACAAAAAAGCTTGTGAAATTATACAGGGTGTTCCATTTTAAAATAAAAAAATAGCTTCGCTTCTTGACTACCCTGTATAAACTATCTGAAAAACTGAAAAATTAAGTGTATAGGGATAAAATAGGGCATAATAAATTTTTTTAACGAAAAACTCAATACTCTAGCACCCTGAAGAGAAAAAAATATTTTCCAAGTACACAATTTTATGATGAACTATTTTAGATACTATGCACTATTCAATTGCAGTTAGTTACGGCAAAGTTGTGCCAGGCAACCCTGCTGTAATCTATTTCATTATTTACCATTCAAAAAAATCAAGTTATATAAAAAAACAGATACCTGCAGGTTCAAGCGGCCAGATCTTAGACTATTACGACACCAAAGCCATGTGTATAATGGAGAATATAAAACTAGTGTGTTTGTCATTATGTACTGTGAGTAACGAGTCATATGTGGTTTGATGAATAGGGAATAATCTGAAAAGCCAGAAAAAGATGACGCTAGTAAGGTTGGTGGTCATATCTAAGGTTATCATATCTTTCAACGCAATGACTGGGCTACAAACACAGCGAGACTAAAAAATGTTAATGTTGTTACACGGCCATCCCCAGACCTAAACATCTCTGGGAGCATGTTAAAAGACAACTGACAAGAAAAACTTTTAAAAAATAGGAACGATTTATTTGATTATGTAAAAAATATTTGACAAAATATCCCAACAGACATCTGTAAAAAATTGGTGTCTTCTATGAGCAGCAGATGTCATGCAGTGTTGAATGCTAAAGGTTATGCTACCAAATATTAGCTAAACAGTATTTTTTAAATCTTTTTGTAGAGTTATTGTATTTAATTTTGTAATGATAAATATGTTTCCATACTTTAGTCGTCTCATTTTTGGTCATAAAATAATATGAAGGTATTTTAACGCTAGTCTGTAGTACCACAGCAAACACAAATTGTCATTTCTATCCTCAAGACTGTAAGCAAACCATATGAGAAAAAAATAGTTGTTAATAATAAAGCATAAAAAATTAGCGCACTTTTTAAAAATTACCAAGTATGTTTCCAAACTTTTGTCTGCTACTGTATATGTGGTTTCATTAACTATACGAACATGGGGGATTATGGACATGAAAACCACATGATAAATTTCAGAAGTTACAATAAAGATAATAATGCCTTCAGCAAATTTAAACGATTTCCCGCCACGTAAAAATAAGTTTTGGATTTTTCCAAAATTATCGATACAAGGTATAAACAATAATGAATAAATACTGATTGAATAATGTAAGAAACACAAAAAAAAAATAAACGGGCCCATTCTCATAATAACATCCAAAACTAACCACACCTACCTTTAAAGCTATGTTTTCTTCTGAAGAAGAAGATAGTCGTTGTCTGCCTTGCGGCCTCTGTTGCACGTTGACTACATTTTGTACGAAGAGAGGTTGTCTAATTTGAGCTAGGGGATTTATCACGGTAGGGTGAGGGTAAGAAGGAAATCGAGGATTGGGATATGGATAATGTGAGGTAGATGGTGCTTCAAAACAAGACACAGGGCTGTTCGATCTTCCATCCGCAGTCAAACCTGGAAAATAATTATGTATGTATCTAGAGCAAACGAGAGCGGAGCGCTGCGGGCTCCAGCACACCAAGAGGCATAGTCGCTTATTATACCCAAGATACATACAAAATTTGATCTACTATCGGGTAAAATCAAACATTTAGATTAGCTTTTATCTAAAACTTTAGTAAACCCGCGACTCCGCGTCCTCAGTGTAAAGTATATGTCATTCGTTTCGCATTAGTGTGAAGAAGATTGGTTTCATTATTTTGAAATGGAACAAAGTAATCCTGGTAGAACGTTAAAAGTGCTCTTTTGTTCCGTGCTCAAAACCTTGGGTATAAGCGTGTCGTGACTTGTCACCCTCATGGTCCATTGTTTGTTTACTTTATTTAGTCACCAAAAAGTGCTCAAAATTGACAAAATATATATTTTTCGCAATAAATGGGCTCGTATCCATAGCGTTTCTTATAATAAAAAATGGTAAGCGTAAACATAACTGGACTTTAGTTGGCTGTCATCAGGTGTCATTACATGATTCTGTAATAATTTTGGCGTTATAAAAATAAAGTTGTTATTAGTTAGTATTCCAGAGTAAAATTTGAATCTCTCAATCTACATTCCATTACTGGGGTATTACATCAACAAGTGAGTTACAAACACCTCCTTGCAAGGCTTCTCTGGGATGCCGCGGGGAAGCGTTGCAGATGGGTAGCTGTCATCCCCTCTGTCTGGCCGCAAAATATCCGTCTTAGTAGATGTGTTCAGGAACCGAATGATACATTTCGTTTAAGTTTAACAGAAACATGTGCCAAAAAAAATCCAGACATATAAAATTGTGACAAAAAGCTAGTAACACGTTAAAAATCTTTTCTAACCTATATGCGAATTGGGCAACTAAAATTCAGACATAGTTTCAACTGAGACATGTTTGTAGAGGTACCACATTTAAGATCAAATTGATTCTGCACATCTCGGTGGTCTGTAGGATTGAGAGATATAAGTTTCCATATTTACCTGCAGATCTATGAAATCTAGACATTTTGTTGACGACGTGGGGTGAGCAATGTGTTCTGACACCCACATTACCGCCATAAGTAGTTATGGGGAACACGTGAGAAGTGCCGCGCATGGTCGACACTACTACCCAGCGGGAATCAGGAGAAAAACACACATCCTGAAAGAAAGAAAAAACCTTACCAAAATACTGAATTTGTTATGTTGATCGTTGATTTGCTACAAATATTTCATAAGAGCCCTCCCTCCCAGGCAAGTTATGACGTCGCGTCGCCAGTAAAAATAATTTCTCTAACTTGTGTTTTGGCAACATAATGACTATATTTAAAGCATACTGTGGGAACAATGTCAACGTTTTATCTTTGTTAAAATGTTATCCCTTAGTTTTTGTGAAGAAAGCAGTTTCTCAGAGCTGAGTAGTGCAGATTTTGTTTGTTATTGCCCTCTCATTTACTAGTGTTAAGCATAGCAAAATGCCTCGAGTTCGAACACGTCCAAATTATCACCATGTTAGCGACTTTGACAGGAGTAGAACTATTGCCTATAGAGATGTTGGTTTGTCCTATTGCGAAATTGGCCGCCGTGTTAACTGTACTGCAATGACGGTAATGCGTGTATGTCGTGTGTGTATGGATAGAATAAGGTTGAGGAACAGGAAGAACGTCAACTGGTCTACCGAGGCGTACCACAAAGCGTCAAGATAGACGCTTCAGACAACTAGCCCTACGGGATTGCTTTGCTACTACGCGTCAGATCGCTGACGAATGGTTTGGAGAACAAGGTAGACCTGTTACTATGCGTACACTCTATTGTCGCATTCGAACCTTTGTACTTTTTCATACCGTCCACGGTTAGTGCTTCCTCTGACTGCGGACTACTGTCGTCAACGTTTGAACTGGAGCAGAGAACGGCAACATTGGGAGGCAGAATGGCATAATGTCATCTTTAGCGACGAATCGCGATTCTGTCTAGGTACGCACGAAGGTCGTAGAACGCTAAGACGCCGCCGTGGAGATCGGCGTGATATTGGATTTGCTGTTGAGAGGCATGCACACAGGACTGTTGGAGTAATCGTTTGGGCAGCTATTGCCTATGGTAACCGATCATCCCTTCTCTTTGTTCAAGACAATATGACTGCTGCGCGTTATGTTGATGATATCCTACAAACCACTTTACTGACGTACGTAGAGGGCCGTCCACATGTCATTTTTCAGCAAGACGACGCATGTCACTTATTGCTCGTCGTACTATGGACTTTCTTCAAAAAGCAGGCGTTAACGTTTTGCCGTGGCCACCCCGTTAATCTGATCTAAATACCATGGAATATGTGTGGGATATGATGGGGAGGAGACTATCCACTTTGCACAATCCGCCACAGACTCTGCCTCAGCTAATCCATGAAGTAGAGGTATACAGGAGTGTATTCAGCTGCGGGGTCGCCCAACAAATTATTAAGTTTTTTCTTAAAACTTGTCAATAAAATTTCGTGAGAATGTTATCATTCGATTCTCAATCTCATTGCCAAAAAATCAAGTTGAAGAAATTATTTTTTCTGGGTGTAACACAAGTATATTTATTTAATTCAAGAATGTTTAATTTCCTAAAGTTACTAGTTTTAACCAAACGGGTTTATTGTTAATGAACAAACAATAAATGAGTTCGTAACATATCCTGGATTTTCGATCAATTCATGAACTTGTCAATTCTACGATATGGCCACGGCATACGAGGTCTGTAAATTAAATGATGGGCGTTGTTTTTTTTAATTTTTTTATACAAATATTATTTTTTTATATTGTCACCCTCAAAATAACTTCCTTCTGAAGCCACACAACACTGGTGACGTTTCTTCCACTCTTCATAGCAGTGCTGAAACTCCGATACTGCAATAGCCTTCAGCTGTTCAGTTACAGCCGTTTGTATGTTTTCAACTATCCCAAAATTAGTTACACTTGAGATGATTTTTCAACTTCGGGAAGAGAAAAAAGTCACAAGGACTCAAGTCAGGAGAATAGGGAGGCTGAGGAACCACTTGCCAAAAACTCGCTAATTGACATTGCTGTGTGTGATGCAACATCCTGTTGTTCTTCATCTGATAAACGGTGGTGCGAGTCAAATCTAACTCTTTTCCGATCATTCTGACTGTCAACCGATGATCATAACGCACAAGATCCCAGATTCTGTCGATATTTTTATCGGTTTCTAAAGATGAAGGCCCTCTACTTCGTGGTTCATCTGCAATCGACTCTCTTCCGAAAATACCTTAAACTACCAAAAGACCTGGGCTCTTGACAAAACATTATCCCCGTATGCCTGCTGAAGTTTATCAAGAGTTTCCATTGCACTGTGCCAAAGTCTGAAGCAAAACCTGATAGCACACCGTTGCATACAATAGAAAAAACTGTTTCACAAAAAAAAATCGCTACAGACAACCAAATAACTCGAGCGAGTTCAAACGTGTACTGCAAAGGAGGACCTCGTATATAAAGTGCTACGGCGGAGAGCACCCGTGAAAACTGTAATTTATAACTATGAAAACAGAAGTTATTCTCAAAACATGTATGTCATCGCCCCATAGCTTCAACTTTTAGGGTCACACGCGGAATATTACACGATTCAGTTTAGTAACAAAACAAAAATATATGCCTGCAATTAAAATTTGTCTAACCTCAAATTGTCAGTTATATATACAGCTTCCTCTTAACGCCAGTCTCGTTTATATAATTTGTGCAGTAGGAATATAATCTACCACAGACTGACACGAATAACGTTTAAAATGTCAGTAAAATTGAAGGTAATTTGATCATCAATCAATCTTGTGCAAGAAGCTTGAAATTCATTCTAACTACATTATGATTTACCTGTACTCTAGCAGATGTATCACCGCGATGCAAAACGTAAAGATGATGAACCGCAGCTAAAATAGGCCCAGCAGGATGCGACTGGATTCGAAACACATGAAAATCATGTCCCCGTTTGTCAGCTGCAAACAGCAACATGCCGCTGGAATCAAACTTCAAGTAGACTATCGCCTCAGTGGTGGCGGTGAAATGGGCTATTATCGGATCGGCAGCTAGATTTGATTTATCCTGAGGCACATATGAAGGACACTGCAAGGAACGTTCATATAAAAATTTAGCTATATAATTAATTCCAAAAAACAAAAAAGTTGTAAATATACCAGACTTTTCAGTAATAAACTGGAATCATTACTTCCTTAGTTACGATCACTTTTAGCATTTGTGAATATTTTTCTTGAAAACCTCCCGTACCAAAAAGTTTAAACTAGGAGTAAAAACCCGTGGATCACAAAAGCAATGAAAATATCATCTCGAAATTGGGAGATCCTTACAGTATATAAAGAAATTTATAAAAAATGAATTTTTCAATAACTATTGTATGACGTAACATAGAATATATACACCTTGGGAAAAAACATTATTATACATTATGATGAGGAAGAGAGATGGAAATATACAAAAGTATGTAGGTGCGTGAAAGACACTCGATTGTAGGATCCTATGTGGCAGCGTCGGAGTGTGACGGACAACGGGGTAAAGTAGAAGAGTGATAAAAGAGAGGGATGGCAGAACGGGCGTTGGCGCCTACCGCTTAGACGGATGCGCTCAACAAATGCGATTTGTTTCTCCCATTCGCAGAGTTGCCGATACCAATATGTCATATTTCTAAGAAATCTAAGTCTACCCAAATTTCGGGAAAAATAGCTGCGGATTCCACATAAGAGTATTCCAAAAATGAAAAAAGTTCAAACTATTAAAATTGTATTAATGTTTCATGGTTCAAATCATATTTTTCATGTTTGTATATTGTTGTATAAATGATTTTGTAATCCCTATTCTTGTTGCCAGTAGAGATACAACAGTATTGAGAGAAATCATGGACCGCTAGATAGGGCTACAACTACCATATGACTATCAAATAGTAGTGATAAACAGGGTTTGTTTATAGCACAGTTGCCTAGTGTGGCGAATTTGCGCCATAGGGGCGATTTGACAACTTTGAAGGACAACTATAACGGTTACTATGGTGCCCGGTATTCGGGAATCTGGCAATACCTGATGATTCCTAACGTTTATTACGCCAGATTGTTTGCTGACTTGCGCAGTACAACATGACAATCAACGTGACTGAGCACCTGGTAACCCTGGTTTAAGGTGTTATATTTAAAGAGCTTGCGGCAGTTAGGTATCTGCATCTACATTTTTTAATGTATTTCGAGAAATCCGTAATGTTGAGTAAATACTAGATCACGTTTCTTGCTTAGTTTGCTGAAAATTCTACAATAGACGTACATTTTGAGAAACAGAGATTTGATGACGACAAAATCGTAAAAATATAACGCATTTTCGTAAAATAATTTCTTTGTTGAAAAGACTGTGGCTTGATGACCCATTGAACGAGTATAGTGTCCCGCTCCGCTTTGAATATTCGAAACACTATACTCCAGCAGCATTCAGCTTCAATGTTATCTTTATGAAGTTCTAACGTCTAGGCCATGCTGATTAAAAGCTTGAACGAATCAACACTTAACTCTAAATTCCCCACAATTCGGGAAGCTCTACTCAAATTGGCAACACAGCGTATCTGCCTATTATTCTCATTCGTGATACAGGTCTGCGGTTAACGGTAGGAAATATGTACGAATAGCGATGAAAGTAGACGAGCCGATGCGCTGTTGCCAAGAAATGATTTCCCATGTATAACAATGGTTTTTCCTAAGGTGTATAAGCAAGTTATCATTGCAGCAAAAATGACTCATTAAAAAAGTCGTAAATGAATTGAAGAGGTAAACCTCGTACTTCCACCAACATATCACCTACAAATCCTGACGTACTAAATAATTATTTTTGCGCAATAGCAAAAAGAAATACTATACAAAATACTGATAATCCGTTCACAAATCTAAGTCATATAAATATATGTCATAAATGTTTACTTTATTCTATGGACATTTATGAGCTGCAATAAATGTAAGATCAATAAATAAAAAAAATTAGGTATTGTTGAAATTTCTCTAAATGTTATAGCTAATCTTTCTGTCGATGCTCTTGATATGCTCACAAAACATAAATGTTTCTCTTAATACACAGGTTTTAAAAACGTCAATAGTTATTCCTATTTATAAAATATACTAGAAAATTATAGACCCATAAGTTTAATCACTATTATAGCAGAAAAAATAGTTCAAATTAGATGAAGAGACTTTCTAAGAACAAAAAATTAATAAGTGATTTCAAAAACAAAAAATACGTACTCTATTTTCACATTACTCCAACAGTTATACTCAAATTTCAATTGCTCTTTTTGCGATTTTTCCAAATCATTTGACTGTGTATGTATGTATATTATATACTATTAAAAAATATACACAAATATGGTTGAACTGGTACTTCCCTTCAGTTGCTTTAAACCATATTTAAATAATCATTATAAGATTATCAAGACGTTATATTTGAAATAAACGGAATATAACCTCAAGGTTCAGTATTTGGTCCGATACTATTTTTAGTCTATATCAATGATTTAATTAACTTAAACGAAAATGGCTTATTCATAGTTTTTGCTGACGATACCACAATTCTTTGGCAATACAGATATAAATAAAATCAAAACAAAAATGTATCAGTGATATACAATCAATCAAAAAATGGTATGACAATTACTTAACTTTCAATGTTGATAAGACAAAATTTATGACATTTAAATGCTCCCCTGATTTTATAAACTTAAATAAATAACTGATACACAAAACAGACGCCATCACATTTTTGAGACTGAGCAATGATAATAAATTAGATTATATAACTGAAAGCAATCCTGCAGCTACATGCAGACCTTTATTTCTAAATCTTAAAATAATGACCGATGTATCATTGTCATTTTTAAAAATAAATATAAATTTGAAACATCAAATATGTTACGATATTAGACGAAAACAAGATCTTAAATTGGTAGTACCTAAATCAAAACTTGTGAAAGACTATAATTTATAATTGCTGATGCTATAAAAAGAATTAACAATTTGAAGATATTCCGCCGTGAACTAGAAACTTTCTAAACCATATTATACTATGTGTCAGTTCTAAAATTCACTTACTTAAGATCCACATGTAGAATTATGTTATAGTTTACATTCAATTTAGCTTTGTCATTAAGAATTATTGTATTCTTCAGACATATTTATCTATCTATCTACTCGTATATAACAAACACATCCAATATAACAGAATTTGCAAGTACAGGAAAAAAGTAGTTACCTCAATGTCCAAGACAGTAACAACACCTTTTTGAATATCATCTGCAATGCCGCCAGCCTGGGGGCTGTTTGGGGATGTGCCTGGTTTGAATGTGGCATTTCCAGTCAGACTGCTAGCAAAGCTCTCTCCTAGTTCTCTAAGTCCTCTACTAAAGGACTTCGCAGCATGTAACACTGTTGCTGTGTAGCTCTGAAAGAATAAACATTTGTAATGACATGCGAACAATTTATTTGTCTATAACTGTAATGATTTACCGAGTCTAATGTTATTTTATATGAGAATTAGTGTTTAATTATTTTTTGTTTGTCAAGAATATGAAATAGAAATGGGTCTACGAAAGGAATCGGCTATACATCAGGATGACCACAGGTCTGGGATCTCGAAAAAAATGAGAAGAATGGGTAAAGAACTACTTTCACTTTTCGTTAGGTTTCCCTGTATATTTTGTATATGTTCACATGATTGTTAAGTTTACAATATGGGGGAGTCAGATTTCGTAAAGTAGTGCAGGCAGCCTTACCTACAGTGGCTAAGGCACTAAACTTTAACAGCCTTAATGTCAACAGAAAGCATTTCTGGGCGTTGCGCCCACTGAAACATTTGACTGGTGGTGAAATTCCATATATTTTGTGCCTGGTACTTTATACTCTAGAGTATACTGATAAGGAACTTCAAAAATGAGGTGTCACCTGACTTACCATTCCATTTAAAAAGATGGTAAAAGTTAGTATTGATGCATAAATTCCATCACCCCGAATTTTAGCTAGTCAACCTGTCCTAAAAATAACTTGGACTTATTTAAAAGTTCTAAAATATGAACGTATTATAGATTGTTACACATTCCTACTATGACTAGGGTTTAGTTAATGTAAACCAGTTTTGTATCTAACTATGAGCAATAGAAAATGTATAAGCATTAATGTTGAATTTTGAAAATATGGAAAGACAAGTCTACCTGGACTCCCTCGCCTTCGCTTCCACCACTACTTCTTTTAGAGGAATTCAGCTTTTTTTCTGCATAAGCCATCCATCTGGGTCCAATAGCAACAGGGTTTGGATTCAACCCTGGACTCAAGTAGCAGGTTGTGACAGTCAGTCGATCTTCTAAGGTGAAAGCATCGAATACAGCTATCTTCTCTTGAAATGTTACTATAACTGAACGCTTGTTGGCTAGCACGTCTATGATGGCATTTTTAAATTTTATGACTTTCTCCTAAAAAATGATTGATCATTTTAATAAACAGCCAATAGGAAAATACCAACAAAGAATTCAGACTAAGTAGAAGGAGCAATTCCATGATTCGTTTGTCTCCAAGATTCACACAAGTTGATACGGATTAAGCCGCCAGTTTAACAGTTGTTGACCTTCCAAATGAAATTCGTATTTTTCTGCGAAAACATAAACGTGCGTGGTCCATACTGTCGATTGTCGAAAATGAAGGTTTCTATGGAATGCAAAAAGCCGTTTAAATAGGATAATCTATCGGCATTTTACCTGGACAATTGTAATGTGATCTAAGGTTTGTTAACGGGACTGTATACCTAACAGCAACATGGAAAAATGAGTATTGGGGACAAACCAAATTTTTTGGTGGATACAGAAAACGTCCAACTGAAACTTTAACTTTAAATCTTATCTACTCCAATTTTGAATCTGAGTTCTTAGGAAAGGTTTTTACTTTCATGTTTTAAATAGTAATTTTACGTTTTATACCCACGAGATTCTAGTGAGGAAGCTCAGTAGGCTCAAAAAAAATATGAATATCAAATCAATTAAATTACTTCCAAGTCTTTCAACTGAATAAATATAGTGACAATACAAAGTATCAGTAATTTCTATATTGACCTCAACTAGTTATTTGTTTTTAGTAAAGAATCTGCTCTGATCACAAAAACTATTTAGAAAGATCGAGTAAAATTCAAGCAAGGTGTCTCTATCTCCAATATTCAGGTATTCTGCTACTGCTGCAGCTTGATGAAGATAATTTTTCATACTTCAGAATCAGGAAATAAATAGAAATGTTCATATGTTATACCATAAATATTTACTTTCGTTTTATTACGTTATTTAATTTATTCCTATTTATTACCAATAACTGAGCCCTGCTAAACGTGAGTGCAGCCAGTAAGAATGGCTACTTGAATACCTTTCGGAAAAAAAATGTACGTTTGTCACTTTGGTAGGCAATGGTAGAGAAATGAGCCCAAAAGTATACAATAAAACTACACAATTTTGACGACAAACAATGCAATGTAAACATATAGGTTTGGCTCCTTCTAACCTAGTCCAATTTGTTGAAAAAAACTGAGAAGTTTTAGATACCCTTAGCGATGGTACTGTGTCAGAAAAAACTTGTTTACATAAAATGTATACCTGCGATTTCCAATATTCACTCAAAAAAACTTTGCTTAAAGTGGGGTTCGTAGGGTATTAGTGAGCTTAGGAAAGTTAAAGCTTTTGATACTGAACATACATCTTCACATTGTGACCTTGAACGTGACCCTGAACCCTGAATATGAACCACTATTTTTGCCGCCGCAAATAAAATGATCAAGTAACTAAGCATTTTGTCCAAGACCATCAAGGGCATTTGGAGATGAATTTTTACCGGGAAACAACTATTTTTATTTCTTAAAATGTCAATTATAACTTCAAGTATATCGTTGTCAATGAACCTGACCCTATTTTCAAGCTCATAAGATCAGATAAATTGTCAAAGAAACTTCTTACTATTGTCAAGGATGTAAAAAATCGAAACATTGAAATTAATTTATTAAATTATTGCATAAAAATGTTTATTGCATTATTTTGAATGATGCATTTCTTTTCTCGAAACCAATCTCCTTCACAGTAATGCAAAACGAATTACTTCCGGTTTTATTTCCCTATGCAGAAGATTACACGATTTAGTTTAGTAGCAAGTAAGAATTGTCAGTTGAAATTTTTCTTGACCTCGGACTCTGCGAGCTCACCCTTAGGTTAACTAGGGACCCATCTTTTGAATGGCTTACCTGTTCTCCGGTTTTCACAGAAATGAAATTCAAGGTACTAAATGGTGGATTAGTTGAGGAACTATCACACACTGCAACTAGAGGGCGCTTGGATTTGAAGGTATCCTTTTTGTAGTCACCCGCGGGTATATAGGGATTTGGAAGAAATTTCAGCACCTTCACTGTGCCGTGTTTCCATGACATTATCTCTATTGCCTCGCCATTTGGTGGAATTGCCCAAACCTACGAATAGAATAATAGCAACAATAAAAAATAAACCTGTTTTGGAGGTACAGAGTATTCCCGAATCGAAATTTCGGGATCAAATTACTTAGATAAAATCTTTAGAATGGTATTTAAGCCATAAAGTAAAATAACACAGTGCTTAGGTTTCAGAATAAAATGACCAGATATATCGTGGCAACATTTAGTTTAATTTTAGAAGGAAGAAAGAACGTTAATTCAATAATCCGACAAAAACTCTGTATGGGTGGAAGTGTCAACCGCAAAAATATGCTTAATGTCAAAGAACATTTTTCTGGAACCGCTAAAATATTTTACCTGTACGCCTGATGTATATCCCACCACGAGAACTACGGACACTGCAGCAATCTTATCATACTCATAACCTGATACTAATTTTTCATCCTCATCTGGTTCCATCTGTTCAAAGCGGACCCATTGAATCTGTGATTATTAATTAAATAAATTAAGAGCAAAACATAAAAATAGGTATTCCTACAATATAGCAAATATGAGCTTATGATATAATTCGGAAAAATCATGTCACAGAAACAACGTTATTTTGTATTATGCCTTAATATCCTGGCTATCCGGGTCGGGAATGCCCGGGTATCCTAGAGTTTTCGGACCCGGGTAATACTAGACGAAAAACTGGGGTACCCATTTCAGTTTTCAGCGTAATAAACTACTGGCGCCTTAGAGAAAAGTTCATCAGGATCTTTTTTATCGAGAATTGCCCTAAAAATCTAGAAAAACATTCGCTGCGAAAAAAATATTAGAAACAAATTCCAAAACTTATTCCAAACATTTTTGACGCTATTTTGTAGCCTGGCAACATGCAATTATTCTTGAAGCAGATACTTCCTGGTCTGTTCGTGCTCATCATCTTCAGAATATAACTTTTTCAGTACAAACAGGCTACCGGTGAATAACGACCGTAAATATTTCGTGAAAATGTAATAGGTTGGTTCAAATTGTGGTAATACAAGGTACAAGCAACGTGACGTTTATTTTTTTATATTGTACCTGCTACAGAAGGATTTTTTTAAACAAGTGACTTTTACGGAAGAGCTTGAAGGCATTCTAAAAACAAAGTTACACAAGATTCCAGGATAATACAAATATTTTATTTGTCAATCCACATTCCGTTACTGGGAACTGTATTATCTTACTGATTGATTTACCAACGCACCTCAGCTGATGAGCCGAACATTTGTAATTTTGTTTCCAAAACTCGTTGCCACGTGGCAGTAGATTCTGGATAGTAACAATCACCGACCAGTGACCAGCCGACCACGTTTCGCCTTTACAATTACCCATAGAGAACAACTTAAGAATACGAACACTCACGCTCTACGCAGAATTGGTAAATAAAAGTATTTAATGGATCACTAGTACCGCATTGTAAGATGTATAAAATTTGAAAGGACCTAACTGATGGAAAATATGAAGTTTTATCTACAATTAAAAATACTCGGGTATTTAAAAACATACCACTCGGGTATGAAAAAACTCCGGCTAAGCAAAAATCCTAATGCTGGCATACCTGATCTCTAGTATCTCTTGGGGTCACATTTCCTGCCGACCCAGTGGGCACCACTTCATTGATGAACCCTGCTACACTCTCCAAAATCGTGGGGTCAGTAACCTGTTGTGGAGCCACGGTTCGAGGCTGAAGCCCGGCAGCTCCACCGCTGTCCGTGACGCTGCGGCGCGATGGGCTTGGCGACCCAGACATTTTCTTCTATTTTACTCTAGTCCTACAAAGAAAATGGAGTTAGGAAAAATATGTTTGCTATACGCTGTTTAGCGTTGTTGACGCCTTCGAACATCTAAGCAACATCGTTAACAGTACCGGACAGACAGAACAAAATATTCAGCAACGGCTACTAAAGGCTCAGCACAAAGTTTGGAAATCGTCAGTATACTCAAACAGAACAAAAATGCGATTGTTCAGCAGCAAGAGTCGGTCCTACTATATGGGCGAATATGAAAGCCAATGAACACAAATCTCGAAGTTTTGATCAATAGATGCCTACACAGGACTTTACGAATATTTTAGCCAAGAACAATATCAAACGAAGAAATGTGGACAAAGTTAGGGATTAAAACATAGGAACAGATTTAAGGGAAAGGGGGTGGAGTTGGTTAGTTCCCATACCAGGAAGAGGGACAGACGAATAAGTAGCTAAAGTGGCCATAGACATAGAAGTCGACGTCAAGTCGGAAACGGGGTATAAGCCAAGTCATAATAGTTATCAGAGATATGAAAAATCTAAGTCGTGTACTTTTCAAATTATAGGCGTTAAAAACAATCGGAACATTCTACACACTGTGATGATTGCTTAGATCCCATTACTACAAATTTCATTTTTTTCTTAGACGGAGTGACGTACATTCTATGTAGTGACATCACGACAGATAGTAACGCCACTTTTATTAATTCAAGATTGTATCTGAGAGGTACCCGAATGCTGCTCGTCATCCCGATCACCGAGTTTTTGTGAATGTGCACCGTTTACTCTCTGAGGGACGATTCCGAAATTAAGCATATGGCGAAGGACGAATTTACTTGCCTTACGAGGACGTCGTACTACAAGCAGTCGAAGTAGATCCGAGTACTTCAGTACATCAAACAGAAGCAAGTACGGGAGTGCCCAAGAGTACAGGCCACCGGATATTACGAAAGAACGAGCACCACCCGTACCACGTACAGCGAGTAAAATTTCTACAACCCTGGGATTATCTTCCAAGAGTTGAGTTTTGTCAAAAACTGTTACAGAGACACCGGAGAGATACGCGATTTTTAAAGAAAATTTCATGGACTGATGGATGGACAGCCAAGAGATTATTTTATGGGGAAGAAATTATTTAAAATCAATAAAGAAATACCGCGACCAGGGCAGGAAGATTTATTACTTAGATGAAACCTGTATAAGTGCAGGACATACAAAACCTAAAGTATGGGCTGACTACTAATAAATCTAACCAATTCGTCATTTGTGTTGTAAAAATGATGTCAAGTAGACTGAATCTATGAGCCCACTCTGAAAACTTAGCTACACTAAACTTAGCTATATCTGGTAGATTTGGAACCAATACCTGTCACATACTATGCTTGTATTATTAGTTTTCTTGAATACTATATGAAATAATTATTTCCAGGATAAGAAAAACGATTTGTTAGCTGTCACATTGGAATTGAAGATGGCTTTGTGCCCACTGCCCTATGGGCATTTGAGTCAAAGAAAACGACCAACTACCATGAAGAAATGGTCGGGAGTTCATTTGAACGATGGTTTGAAGAAATGCTCCCGAAGCTCCCAAATACCGTCATTGTACTTGATAATGCTGTATATACCACGCTAGAAAACTAGAACAAATTGTCCACAAGAAAGGCAGAAATTCAGCAATGGCTCCTATCAAAAGTCATCAATTTCAATGAAAATATGGTCAAAGAAGAACTTATCCATCTAGTCAGGCAGCACAAATATAAATATAATCTTAATGTTATTGGCGAAATGACTAAAAAGCAAAATAAGACCATTTTAAGGCTATCCTCTTATCACTGCGAATTAAATCCCATTGAAATGATTTGAGCAAATATAAAAACAACTATGTGGCTTCAAACAATAGAACATTCAAATTTTCAGACGCGAAAAATTGTTTTATGAAGGTGTCAACAGAGTGACGGCAAACCATTGGAAAGATTGCATCCATTACGTTCAAGAGACAATCGAAACAAAGATGTGGGACAATATGATAGATATTCAAATTGAACTTGTAATAATACTAATATTAACCATTCGGACGATGATTCAAGTACTTCCAGCGAATAAAGAATTGTGAAAAGTCTGCGCACTTATTTCTATAAAAATAATCATGTATTTTGTTAGATTATTCCAAGACAATTGAGGAAAATATGGACGTGTACAATCTCGCTTTTGGGCATGTTCTGTTTTGTCTGGACGTAAATGGACTGGTATAGACTTCATCATCGCCATTTTGCACGGGTATGTGAATCCCCAAATGGCGAAGTGTTAGCGAATGTGCGTATTGTTTTACATTCATGCGCAATCCTGGCTCAAAAAACAAGTTATTCTAAGTTTAAAAAATAATCTCAATTCCTTGGGAAATATATTATTTTTATTCCCCCGCACGCTAGCGGGCATATAGTTCTACGGATATTTGGTGACATATAGTTTCGCGTGATAACATCTCTGTCTATCATTACTTCTTCCACTACCTTCTCTTTTAAAATCGTTCCTCGAATTTGACAAAATTTGAGTTCCAATCTATACGAAATATGCAGAAAACATTCCAAATATCTGATCAAGTTTTCTTAGATATCTGGTTTCTTCAATGCCTTTTCGATATTATTCACGTTTTTGTGAGTTGCTCTGCATATATAACATGTTTGTGTCGAAGCTTTTTCCATTAGAGCATTACACACTTTACCGTCTATCATAGGGATTACACAAATATGTGAAACCGCAACTTCTGTACTGCCAGTACTTACATTTCTTTTTTAAATTCAAAGCATATAGGTCTACAATTTTATCTTTATGGATGTGAGAAATAAATCGGCATTATTAAGATCCTCCTCGACGGAAATTTGTATAGTATTGTGAATGACCTATGGAGGCGTAACTTTCATATTTGAGCAACAATTTTAAATTCTTCAGAACATCACTTGACAATGAAAGAAAAACTGGCTTTTGCAATTCTAGTAGACGTTTTACTGTGTGATGTGAGAGATCTTGTAATAATATTTCGGCAGTTGATTGTTACAATGCTCCCTTCTTTTCAGGGGCGGCAGCACATGATAGGAGGGATAGATATCGGAAAAATGTGCTTTTGCTGTCCGTCGATGACCAGGATACGAGTGTTTGGTATCTTATGATTCAATCATTACTGAAAAAGCTTCGTCTGGGGTGAGAGGAATTATTTCTTTTGTCTTCGGAATCCTTTGCCAAGCTTTCCTCATTTTACTGGCTATGGACAGAGTCGTCAAAAATTTTTTCCTTCAGTCTTTAGTCTTCTTCTTGCAGCCAAAGTAAGGTCCTCTATTTCGAATATTGATGACAGTTATGCAGCCTTGGGCCGTTTTTTTCTTTCACATCTCGCAGAAAATTCAATCGCAAGACGGCCTTGTTAAGTTTCAAAAACAATTTGAACATCTAACCATTATCTATGTCTCTCCAAAAGTCTACCCGGTTTTCTTCCGAAATGATCAAGCCTTCGATACAACGAGCTACACAAATTTGAATTTCCGTGTTTCAATTTGGCATGTTCATCACCTTCGATTTTGTAATGTCCCACAAGGCAACTTTTTTAAGACGTCAAAGAGTTGTCTTTTTGTCGCCATTTCAATCGAAAAATATAAATACCACTATAAATGTAAATAGAATAATTCACAAGACAAAACTAAAAATAATAGTCAGAACCGTCACAACTAAAAGTCTAAGTTCATTTTTCTGTTAAATCGAATAAAATCTCTCGACAAGAAATTAGCAGACTTTATAACTGAAATAATTTGATAAAATCAGCAGTAATGATTTCCGAATAAAGAGTCATGAACATGACACAATTGAACAAAATCAAAATATCTTTAAAACGCACTTGAAGGCGCCTCACATTCTAGTATGTGATAAGAGAATGTTGATGCTAACATATATTATAAAAATTGTTTGAAAGCTTGATCTAGCAAATTGTTCCTAACACAACGAAGGCTTGTACATGGGCGCCCGCAGGGGGTCCAGCGGGGCCACGGCTGGGCCTTAAAGTTTGCATATTTAGGGAAAATTTGCTACCCCCCGATCTTCAATGAGGTTTGCAGGCAAGTACACTTTTACAAAAAGTTATGTCTTGCCGATCATCGGCCCCTCTGAGAAAAGTTTCTGCGGGCGCCTATGGGCCTGTATCTGTAAGGACAGTTATAAGAAAGCATGTGTTTAGCATCAGGTAGATAATAGACCCAATGACGTTTCAAGGGCTCGAAATTCCGGGAAAGCATGCCTTGTTAACTTCTCTGTACCAGCAAATTCTGAGGATAATACTAATGCTTTTATAAATATTGATTTATGGCCCTTTTGTCGATTATGTGGCCCACTGTGTAATGGTGCAAAACCCTTTAGAATCACTAAAGCCCACAGTCTGAATGTATGTTTTTCAAGTTATTTCCAGTATATTTTTGATGTTTTCAAAGTGCGATTCATACACTCATCTCTATCGGAAATTAGAACATAAGGTTTTCATTTTCAATAATAGATCTAATACAGAAGTTTCGGTTATTTATTAACGAGAGGCTGGGTTTCAAATCAACATGTTTTTGAAATATAGTATAAGGGTATGGCGTCGTTTTCATTAATGCAAAATTTTCAAAAGTTGTTCTTATGACAGAATATTTTGCTCAGGCACTTATACCTTGACTCATACCATGGAGGTGTCCACACCTATAGTAGTGCACTCACGCAGACCTATCTCAAACCAATATCTTTAGCTTATAAGCTAAAACACTGTTGTTACATCACAAGTAGAGATAAGTTAAATTTAAATCTACGAAAATTAAACTTAAGTGACAACTGCCTGTAATATTTAGGGTCACCAAAATGGTCATTCTCACCGATTCTTGTTTAATATTTTGATAAAGTATATTGACAATTGCTTTCTAGGAATACGACATATCAGTTTATCAAGTCATTCCACCTTTTGACAAATAAACAAATAATCATATTTATTATCTAGTAAGAAGATACAT